CTGGGGAGGCAGAGACAGGAGAATTCCTAGAGCTCACTGACCAGCTGGTCTAACCAACCAGCAAGCTCTATGTTCAGTGTGAGACCCTGTCTCAAAAAATAAAGTGGAGAGACATTGAGAAAGACACCCAGTAGGGACCTCTGGCCTCTGCATGCATGTGTACAAATGGGATACGACACACATTCTCACGTGTGCATACGCATGCACACATATATACACTAATGTGCACATACATGCACGAGCACACAAAGACACATACCCCACATATACACCAAGACACCAAGTCCTGCTGTATGGGGGTCAGATCCAGGATGGAGTCAGGAAATGGGGTTTGAATGCCCTAGACCAATGTTTGGGTTCAGCCCTGTGGGAACTTCCACATATTCTGCTAATGGTTTATTTCCATAACAAGTGTACACAGTGCAGGCTGTCCCACCTAGCAAGTCATGGCATTTGATGGAGAACCAGGAAGAGTTCTCTGAATTCTGAGTCACTCTGTGGCTCTCTATTGAAATCCTTTTCCCATAACCCTAGCTCAGGCTGAACTGCCCACCTCTTTCCCAAGTGATAGCTGAATCCCCTTCACCTACCAACAGAGATCCGGACCTTTCTAGAGAGCCCTCCCTCCATTCCTTCCTTTACTTTTGAAAGGCTAAAAACATGTGTGTTTAGCAAGTTCATCTGTAGGACAAGACCCAGTAGAAACAAGCCACAGGTATTTTCAGGATTCATTATTATAATTAACTTCTTGGGCACATAGCCATCCTGGTGTGGTCACAGGGCCAAGTTCAGGGTTATCTAGGAACATGTAACTATCTAGCAGTCTCCCCAGGATGGAGGTCAATGTGAGTTTTCTAGCTTTTGGGGGAGTGCATGTAGAGGTGCACATATGTGCAGGTGCATGTATGTGATCAGGTGCATGTGTGTGTGGGTGCAAGTGTGTAGATGCATATGTATGTGTATTTGTGTTATTGTGGAGGTCAGAGGTCAATGCCAGGTGCACCCTCGATCATTCTCTATTATTTTCTTTTTAAATAGTCCATGCATGTATATAATACATTTTGGTCATATCCACCCTGCATCCCCTCTTTCTGGCACCCCTTGATGTCCCTACCCCAATATACCCACTGTCTCCCTCCCAACTTCATGTCCTTTTGTGGTTTTGTTTTTTTATAACCCACTAATCCAGTCACTGCTGACTCCACTTGATTTTCTGAGCCAGGGTCTCTCACTGAACCCATTTTGACTGGAACAACTGGCCAAGAGTGCCCCAGGGATATACCTATTCTCTGTCCCAATGCTGGCTTTTTCCATCGGTGCTGGGGAATCTGAACTCAGGTCCTCAGGCTTACACAGCTAGTGCTTCAGAAACTGAGCCATCCCTCCCTGGCTCACATTCTAGTTTAAAGGCCTCTTCATCTCAGGGGTCTAAGCCGCCTTCCCTCTCTCATACTAAGACAGATCTATTTCTTGAGTACTCCTCCTCCCCACCCCCATAGACAAGAACGTGGTACAATACAATAGTGAGAGGGAACAGAGTGAGCAGTTGCAGGTATCCATAGGGTCACTGCAGGGACAGATCACTTTGGACACAATCCTTGCACATACCCTGCAGAAATCATTCCCCAGGTCCTAAGCACAGTTGGTTCCGGCCTCCAAGCAACAATTTGCCCATGGCATGGATGCTGCATCACCAGAGCTCATAACTGGGTTAGGCTGGCTCTCCTGAAGAAGCAGTCCCCACAGGTTGGAGCAGGTGTTGCCCAGGGTTGCAGGAAGATCACTGGAGGCGGCGTCTAGCCCCCGTGGTGTGATGGCCTGATGCCCAGCTTGGCCCCGGCTTGCTGTCCTCATTTCAGGACAAGTCCAGAGGAGGCAGGTTGAGGCAGGGCTGTCACAGAGTGGCCATGGCTGGTGCCAACAGGGAAGAACGGAGATGCTGGCTGACTCTGCACAAACTTGGGCTCAGTTCCAGGGCTCGCTCACCCAGGCTACATAACCCAATCCTGACAACCTGGTGCTTGTGTCATGGTTACAACAGAGAGAGCCCAGAGTCAAGGTGTGGGAAGAAAGGCTATAGCCAGTTTCATGATCACCAGGCTTTCTGTCTGGGTTGGGGAGTATCTGTCCCTGAATTCCCTTTTCTACATGATGTCAGCCATGTAGTATCAAGGACTACATTCTAACTTGTTACCTTCATAGAGACCCTGTCTTCAGTTGGGATACTGTATCAATTTTTTTCCTTATTACTGTGACAAAATACTCAACAAAAGCATCGTATAGAAGGGAGCATTGACTCTGGCTCACAGTTGGAGGGTGAAAGGGAAAGTATTACCACAGGAGCAGGTGTTACATTGTTACAATGTAACTGGTTACAATGTATCCACAGTCAGCAATGGGGTGGGGGGAACACTAGGGTTCATCTCACCTGCTCCTATGTTTTCAGTCCCAAGACCTCAGGCTATAGGACAGTGACACTTACAGTTGTGGGTGGGTCTTCTCACCTTAACAAACTTAATCTGGAAACTCTCCTACTGACACACCTAAGAGCATGTCGCCATGGTGATTCTAGATCCTCTCAAATGCTTGCCAAGATTCACCATCACAGTCACATTCCTCTCACACATGCCTCTCAGTGTCTGCTAGCGTTTCATCAAGTTTTCAGAATGTCTACGACCCCGACAGAAAGCCACCAAGCTGACTTCTCACACCCCAGACTCTCAGTTGCTGATCCTGTACACTAGGGTTAGCCCAGCTCCCTTCTTCCAGCACCACTTCCAGAAGATCTGCCATCCAGCTGTGCCGCCCCCACCCCCACCACCACATTGTGGAGAAAGCATCTCCAAGACTCTCAGCCCTCCCTCTCTCCCTCCCTCCCTCTCCCTCCCTCGCCTCCCCTCTCTCTCTCCTTCCCTCCCTCTTTCCCTCTCTCTTTCTCCCTCTCTCCTTCCCTCCCACAATTCTTGAAATCCTTAGCATTCCAGTTTCAGGGTGGTGAGAAAGCAATATTTCTTCTGTAGAGACTGTACTTCAGATTTTGCTGGAATACGCAGCCCAATCATCATAGCTCCCTATCAGTGAGAAATCACAAGGAGAAACACCCAGCATTCTATTGTGAGCTTTGCTACTGAGCTGGGATGCCCCATGGGTTAGGTGTCATAATGAATTTTCTTCTTATGATATTTTCACTTTACAATGGGTCTGTCAGGCTGTGACCCCATGAAAACTCTAGGCTCCTCTATTACTAGTCCCTGGCTTCTGTCAGACCACCCACTCAAGCCGAGCAGCTTCATGATTCTCTGTACCCCCATAAATCAAGACCTAATCAGAGTCCTTGGCTGTGCACGTAGGCCCCTCATGGTTTCAGTGATGCAAAGATAAAACAAACAAGAAAGTCAGACATGGTGCTTGTAAGTTGAACTTGTAACTTGGAGAAATGGAGAAGGGTGAACCCCTTATGGCTCACTGGCTGGCTAGTCCATGCTATTTGTGGGCTCCAGGCCAGTAGAAGACCCTGTTTCAAAATAAGGTAGATAGTGCCTGAGATAGTACCCAAGTTGACCTCTGACTTTTACACACACACACACACACACACACACACACAAACCCACCTGCAGGCTTGCTAAGTGCTATCAAGGTGTTTAACATGTGGCAAGAGTTACTGGAAAGCAGGGCACACAAAACTGTTTTCTAGAAATTCTGGAAAGATCTCCAACCCAATGGCATTTGAGCAAAATAAGTCAGTGGCAAAATTGGAGACTTCCTTGGCTTTGGGGACTCTGTCATAATTACAACATGATTACAACACAAGAAACCATGAACAGGCCAGGCCCATGACTCCAGCTACTCAGGAGGCTGAGGCAGGAGGATGACAAGCTCAGGGTCAGCCTAGGCTACACAGTGAGTGTAAAGCCTGTCTGGAAAACTTAACAGAATTGCCTTGAAGGCTGGAGATGTAGCTCAGTGGGGAACACTCGCCTAAATATATATGAAGGCCTGGATTCAGTCCCAGTCCCTCACAAAAGAAACAGGCAACAGGGTGACCAGTGGAAAACTGAGCTTCATATAGCATTCGTGAAACATAAAATACTATTCTTGTTCAGGTTTTTATATTGAACCATGTAAAAATGGGAAAATATGCTCTAAGGCAGGCATTGACTGGGTCTACAGGCTACAGAGCCCAGACCCTTGCCTCAGGACAGTCAGTGAGCCATACCTGCTTCCCAATTATGGGGTGAGCATTGTCACCTGTGTGGGGGCCCTTAGCCTCTTTGAAGCCTGAGTGCCCAGGTCTTTCTCCCAGGTTTCTACAAACCCCTTAGCAGAGTGAGTTCAGGAAATCCTCACAATGTCTGTGGCTGCCCTGTCTCTTCTCATACTTTAGAAGGCCTCCAAGTAGAGCAGGCATCCCCCCACCTGGAAGCTTCCATCATCCCACAGCAGACACAGAGCCAGGAAAGGCCGAGTGTGAGTATGGCCACCACCTCAGTGCACATGTGCCCACTCCAGCCTCTTGGTCCTGAGCCTGGTAATCTGCATTTTGAGCAGAGACCTTGGTTCCCACTCAGAAAAAGTCATTAGTGTCCTGTATGCAGGGGTCCTGTCTGCTACACTCCTCTCCTCATTTATCCCCTCCCCGGTCATCCAGTGTCACTGATGGCTAATTAAAACATCAAAGCCAAGTACATACTGCAGCCCAGCAAGACATCTGGTGTGCTACCCAGGCCCTCCTGTTGGTCTGTTATCTTGTTTCTCTGCTGCCTGGTGGTGAGGGCTACAAAGACTGAATTCACAACATTCATCCATGCCATGGTGTGTCTTTTGCACAGGCAGAGCTGTTGGTTTCTGGGAACCTCACACCTGGCACCCAGAGAAAGCTGGGGCCTTCTCTCTGTGGAGGCAATGGTTGGCCTAAAAAGGGCAAAGCCTGCGGGTCTCAGGTAAGACATCATGGCCCCTCCGGGCTCTATCTCACGGACCACTTTCATTCTCATCCACAGCCCCCTGCCTCGGGGAAACAGTCCCCTACCAAGAATGGCAGCCCTTCCAGGTGCCCGCGGTTCCTCAAGGTGAAGAACTGGGAGACAGACGTGGTCCTCACTGACACACTGCACCTTAAGAGTACATTGGTGAGTGTTGGGACTGACACCTCACAAGAGGCGGGAGGGCATCTGTGTGAGGGGGATCCTGTGGTCAACACTACAGGCAGCCAATTCCCATGAGAGACCAGAATCCTCACCCACGCCGTGACAGCCAGAGGGTTTGGTCTGCAGGCATTGCCTCATACCTCCCTGGACGCCCCACTGATGGGCTTTTATGTGTGAGCATCTCTGCTCCCAGCAGAATTGAAGGGTCCTCGCAATTGAAAGGTCTTTGCCTCTTACAGTGTGATCACGGATGGAATATCGAGCCAACCCTTCCTTTGTTTCACACTGTGGCCTCTGTTCTTTACCACATTCTTAATACTCAACACTCCAACCCATTGCCTTCCATTTTTTTTTTTTTTTTAAAAAATGAGCCTTTTGAAGGAGCATTGTATCTGTTGGCTAGTGCAATATAACAAGCAAGTCTCAAACTCAGTGGCTGAAAACATCTGTTATAATTGCTTTTTTAAAGCCCACAGTCTAGCCAGGTGGCTCTGAAGACCTGGCCAAGAAGTGGTTGAATTTGATGGTGTCTATCTCATGTACCTCAATCACCCGAGAGGACAGCTTGGGCCAGGCTGCTCTAGGATGGCCCTGGCAGAGGTGCTTATTCCCAGGGCTGCAGAAGAGTACGCAATCTCTTTATTTTCCATCACCATACAAGACTCTGGAGACCTAGGCTTGGACATGGCCCAGGATCACTCCTACCAGATTCTGTGGGTCCAAAGCAACCAGGATCTGAGGGGTGAGGGGCCTGACTGCATCTCAGGAGAGATGCTATAGAATCACATCATGGGAACTGAGTGTGCACAGAAGGGAAGAGATGCAGCCACCTTCGACATCAATCTGCCATAGGGTGTGTTCAGACACATTCTTAGAAGCTGGGGTAGAGCTCAGTTAAAGTGCTTGCCTAGTGTGGGCAAAGCCCTGGGTTTAAGCCCCAGTACATAAGTGGTGTGATGGTGCATGGCTGTGATCTCTACACTCAGGAGGTGGAGACAGCAAAGTCAGAAATTCAAAGGTCACCATTGTCCTTGGCCATATAGGCAGGCTTTGAGTATTATATGAGACGTTGCCTTAGTAATAATAATAGTATCGTGACAGCAATGATCTAATGATGATGAAAAATGACAATGTCATTATTAGTTCTCTTTGATCAACAGAATAAAAAAGTTTTTCTGGAAATGGGGATAATGGCACACACCTGTACTTTTTAGCACTTGAAAGGTGAGAGCAGAAAGTCAAGAACTGAAGGCCAACCTCAGAAAGTTCAAGGACAGCCTGGGCTATATGAGACACTATCCCAAAACAAAAAAAATTAGATAGATAGATAGATCGACAGATGATAGACAGACACAGATAATAGTGAGAGATGATCAATGACAGATGAGAAAATAATGAATGGGTAGAGAGTAGATACGTAAATAGAGATAATGAATGATGGATGATAGCAGATAGGTAGACAGATAGGTATATAAATATATGATTGACAGACTATTGATATATTGATAATAGATAATAGATTATTAGCAGATGATAGATGATTGACATATGATAAATGATTGATAAATTCTATAGAAAATAAAAATAGGTAATTGATTGGTACTTAGATGACAGATTAATAGATGATAGATGAATATGTATGTAATTATAGATAATATATATCTATGTAATATATAGATTACAGAGAGATGATAGATTGATACAGGATAGATAGATGATATAGGTAGATGATAGGTAGATAGATAATAGGTAGATAGGAGATAGATAGGTGGGTGGATGGATTGATAATATATAGAAGATAGATAGATAGATAGATAGATAGATAGATAGATAGATAGATAGACAGACTATATAGATGACAGGTAGATAGGTAATAGATGGATAGATGATTGACAGAGAAAGGATACAGGTAGACATGTCAGAGGTAGACAGACACAAGTTTGACCAGTGGCTGTGTGTCCCGGTGGCAGAGCCTCTTCCTTAACTGACTAGTGCAAACACCTTGGGCAGCTTAAAACACGGCCACCACTCCTTGGGGTCTGTGATCAATCATGTCCAGGAATGTTTTGAAGCTGGCTTGGGAGATCCCTTTAGAATAAAAGGCCCAGTCAACCTGACTGTGACTATGGGGTCCTGGTCTTCAGTAATGATACCTGCCAACCATGATGTGACCAGAAGCCAGACACTCACTCACCTCCCTCTTGCCCCCAGGAAACGGGATGCACAGAGCACATCTGCATGGGCTCTATCATGCTGCCATCCCAACACACTCGGAAGACAGAAGATGTCCGCACAAAGGACCAGCTCTTCCCACTAGCCAAAGAATTTCTCGACCAATACTATTCATCCATCAAAAGGCAAGTACAGGGAGACCAGGGCGGTTGGACCGGTGGGGAAAATGCTCACCATTTAAGTGTGAGGACCTGAGTTCAGATCCCCAGAACACTTGTGAAAACAGAGCATGTGTGATATATGTCTGTAACTCCACTTCTGGGAGAGCAAAAACAGATGGGTCCCTGGAACTCACTGGACCACTAACATCGCAAAATCAATGAGCTCCAGGTTCAATGAGAGACCCTGCCTCAAAAAGTAAGAGATTGAGGAGTACCCTCACTGTTCCCCACTTCACCTGTTAGTAGCACAGAGCCTCAAGCCTTTAACATGTACACACACACACACACACACACATGAGTGCACACACACATACATGCACACATGCCCACACACATGCATGCATACACAGACACACACATGCATGCACACACGCCCACACACATGCACACAGACACACACATGCATGCACACACACAGAACACTTCCAAACCATCACATTGCGGCCCCCTCCCTGCCCCCCTTCCTTAGGTTTGGCTCCAAGGCCCACATGGATAGGCTGGAAGAGGTGAACAAGGAGATTGAAAGCACCAGCACCTACCAGCTCAAGGATACCGAGCTCATCTATGGCGCCAAGCATGCCTGGCGGAATGCCTCTCGATGTGTGGGCAGGATCCAGTGGTCCAAGCTGCAGGTAGGTGCTGACAGGCAGATGCCTGGAAGACCCTCTGGGGGGGTGGGGACAAGCTAAGGGCACAGGTGGAGCTTCTAAAGAGATCTAGTGTGGTGGTGATCTATCAGAACCCTGCTCTTCATTGGATGAAATTACCATGCCTCCTGGTAGGATTCAGGAAGTCCTGTCTCCCAAAGACCCCACCACTCCCTTTTGCTGTCCCTTTTGCAGAACACTCCACCACTCCCTTTTTCTTGCACCTGCCTAAGGGTGTTCATTATATGTGCCTGGTTTGAGTCTGTCCTGGGGAGTAATTTAATGTTACAAGTGGATTGGTTTGTAGGATCAAGATTTTCTGTTCGATGGGCTGTCTTAACATATACTATGCATACTGACAGTTTCATATGGAATTTCACTTTATAACGTATCTTGATCGTGTTCACTCCCTACTCCCTTCCTTGTCGCCTTCCCATTCCCAGCTGGTCCTCTTCTACTTCTATGTCCTGTATTTCATTTTTGTGTGCTGTGGCGCACTGATTTGATTTGGGCTTCTGGCACGAGCTGGGGTGTGGGGTTATTCACTGGAGCATGGTCCACTTTCCAGTGCTATGTCACCAAAGGAAGTGAGAAGCCATCAATGGCCAGTAGCTCCCCAGGGCAGAGTGGAGCCTCGTGAGCCCCCACCGCCACCCTCTGTTCTAGAGTATTTGATCCTTTGCTTGTTGCTGAATGCCTGCTAACCCCACAGAAAACATAACCACAAGAGCTCACTCCTCTCTCCACCACCCCATTTTCCCAGTCATTTGCCCTCCATGCATACTCCTGGGGATATCTCCTTAGTTATTAGCATAGAGAAAGCAAAAGGTTGCTGCTGGAGTTTCTTGTCCTGCCAGGTCCCACCACCCTTCAGCCCCAAAGAAACACACAGATGCTATATTAGTTATAAAACTGTTGGCCGATGGCTAGGGCTTCTTATTGGTTAGCTCTGTCTTAATTATTAACCCATTTCTATAACTCTCTTGGCTTACCAGAGAATGCCAGGACCTGTTACTCCTCTGGAGGCTACATAGCATCCCTTTGAAGCACCTCCTCAAGGTGTCTCTCTCTGCCTCTCTTCCCCAGCATCCTCCTTGTTTCCTAGCCCCACCTATCTTCCTGCCTCTATTGGCCAAACAGTGCTTTATTCATCAACCAATAAGAGAAACATATACAGAAGGACATCCCCCATCAAAAGGCAATAAAAAAATTACATAGCCTGAACCTCAAAAATGGGGGGGCCTGGCTATCTAAGAGGGAGGTGCAATTGCAGTGAGTTCAGGGTCCCCAAAAAGGAAGTCTTCCCAGGAGCTGCCAGGGAGAGAGGAGGCAACCATCAATCCCACCATGCACTTTTTGCAGGTGTTTGATGCCAGAGACTGTACCACAGCCCACGGCATGTTCAACTACATCTGTAACCACATCAAGTATGCCACCAACAAAGGGAACCTCAGGTGAGTCATCCTGCTGGGGGGGGGGGGGGAGACAGGTGATGTCCCTGCGGCATGGAGTCCTAGTTCTGGACATGGCTCAGCTGCCAGAGGAAAAGGCTGTCTCCCCTCCTGGGGTGACGGCCAAGCTGGCAGAAATGGCCTAACAATCTTATCCCCCACCCCTCCTCTGTTGGAAAGAGTCACATGGAGAGTCGCACTGAACTTTTGTTCCCTGCCACCCACAGAGAAGACACTGATTAGGATTCCTAGAAAGAAAAAACAAATAAATAAATAAATAAACTCTCATTTCCAAGTAGAACCGCTCTCACAGCAGCCCACCCTGCTGCCTGTGGCTGCCCCCCCCCATTCTGTGGGACACTGTGCCTTCCAGTTCTGCCCCATCTAGGCCTGCCTGCCTTGGACTCTTGGACCAATACAAAGAACACAGCCTATAGGAACCAGCTGAGCCAGGGAGGTACCTTGATTTTCCACCCTGGCCTCAGCTGCTCCCTCACAGATGCGGCCCCATCCACACACAGCTGGCTGCACTTGTCAATCCTGCTAGTGACATCTGTTCCCTGCTGCTGAGAATCAGTCCCGCCTCAGAAACACCCAAGGCTATTTCAGGGATATTCCCACAACCACCCCCCCCCCGCCCTGGGTCGCCCTGAGTTCATACAGAGGGGGGGCTTGTCTGCCTCAGGCATGGGTTTCCTTGCTGCCTAAGCCACCAGTCGAGACGGAAATAATTTGTATGTGAGGAATTCATATCTAGGACTTTTTGCTAATTAACATCACCCTGAGAAAACATCAAAGAACTTTCCAGCAAGTGGCTAGAGAGGATTGCTCAGTTGGTGAGGTATGCTTGCTGCACAATCTTGGGATCTGAGTTCAAATCCAGGACCCATGTCTTAAAAAGACAGGTGTTGTGGTATACAATTGCAATCCCAGGACTGGGGAAATGGAGATGGGGGATTCCTGAGGCTTGCTGTCCAGCCAGCCTAGCATGATGATTGGGAAACAATGTCTCAAAACGCAGGATGGGCCACTGGCCTCCGTGTACATGCATGTATACATGCACATGCACGCACACATACACACACACACACACGGGGGGGGGGGAGGGAAGGAGAGAGGGAGAGAGAACCTTCCAGTATATTCAAAACTCTAAATGATGGCAGGCCTTGCCAAAGCAAAGCCCTCAAGTTGCTTAGGGGCTATTCTGGTGGTTTTCAAAGGATACTGTGAGCGGGCAAGAGGGGGTCACCTCATACTTGGCAACACACCTCTGCTGTGTTCAATGAGAGGGACTTCATTGAGAGCTAATTAAAATAATCACTTAAATCCCGGGTCTAAAAACTACGGGACAGATATAGGAGAATGCATGGCATGAGCAGAAATTGTCTGTGCCCGAGTGAGTGACTCAACAGCACGGCCTTCAGGTAACTCCAGAAAAGCAGCTGAGGAGGCGTGGCCACGCTTCCCATCTCCCTCCATCTCATTTTGCACATGGAAAGTGAGTATCACACCCCACTCACAACGTGTGGCTCTGCTGTTTATAAACAGGCTTCTTAAATATATATGTATATGCATACAAACAGGCTCTGGCTGGTGGCCACCTGTAGACATAGCCATGTGTCCTCATGCCAGAGGGAAGGCGGCTTGCTTGTCTCCCATGTGTTGCGGAGATTTCCACGAAGAAAATGGAACATCGGGTTTGGCTCCATGAATAGCCTGCAGCCCAGACTCTATCCTCATCCTTCGGCATTAGTGGCATGATGGCCTGCAGTAGCAAATGCTTCATTTCCTTGCCTGGGGAGTAAGACCCACAAAATATGTTCAGAAATGGGGTCCAGCCAACTCCATCTCAGATGCCATTTATGGAAGTAGACTCTAGTGCAGGATTGGATGTGGGCCCCGGGACAGCATAGAGAGATTTCAGACGAAGAATGGAACATGACGTTCAGGCAGGAGGGCATATGCCCTGCAGTGTGTGACAGCACCTACTGCTCATTCCAGCCCTCGGGAGGCTGAGGCAGGAGGATCACAACTTTAAGGCCAGGATGACAACTTCAAGGCCAGGATGTGTGTTTCCTGACCCCCACTTTGCACAGACTATGGGTTTTGCTGCAGGAGCTGGTAACTCAACTCATTCCCACAGCTAGGGACCTGAACATCTGATCCCCAGGCTCTGTCACTGTATCCTCCAAAGGGAAAATCCTGTCCTGACGACTCACGTCCTTTCCCCTCTCCCAAGGTCGGCCATCACTATCTTCCCTCAGAGGACGGACGGCAAGCATGACTTCCGGGTGTGGAACTCACAGCTCATCCGCTATGCCGGCTACAAGCAACCAGATGGCTCTACCTTGGGGGACCCTGCGAATGTGCAGTTTACAGAGGTGAGCGTAGATGCACCGACCCCATTCCTCGGTGGACTCTCAGTTCCCCCATGCTTTAATGTTTTTATCCTGGAGGGGCCAGCCAGGAAGGAACGCAGGACCCTCTCCTCAGACCTGCTCGTGCACATGACGACCCTTGACCTTGTCCTTCGGGTGCCATTGCAGGCATTTGGTCATTTTACGGGTGGGCACAGCACTCCCACGGAAGCTTCTGTCCCCAGAGTTGAATAGACTGAATCTTCCCAATGCCCAGGAACTTGTCCTGAACTATTGAAGGAAAGAAGGAATATCTGGGACACTAGGGAAAGTCTCCCAGCCTCCCACCAGGAGAGATGCTGTCCGGAGGAAGCCACGTCCCTGGACACATTTCTTGAACTGACATACATGGCTCCTTCATGTGTTGATCAATAGTTTGAGCCAAGTGGTGGTGACTCACGCCTTTAATCCCAGTACTCGGGAGTCAGAGACATGGGATCTCTGTGAGTTCGAGGCCAGCCTGGTCTACAAAGTGAATTCCAGGCCAGCCAGCGAGACACAGAGAAACCCTGTCTTGGAAAAAAAAAGTTTGAGTTGTCAATCTAAAACTGACAAAAGCTACCAAGAGAACCAAAACTGCCTATGTCCCTTCCCAGAGTCCCTTCTCTGAACACGCAGTTCAGAGAAGAGACTCTATCAAACAGACTGTGCCCACTGGGGTACACAGCAGACAGATGCCAGTGCTCAGGTCCCCCTTTACTCACCGCCCCCCCACACCCTGCTTTTCTCCCCACCCCTGTGTGCTGACTTTGTATGCATAAGGCTCTTCTCATTGAAATGTGATCGTCCTGAGAACTGACTGTAACCAGGGCAACCAGGAGCCGCACCTGTGCACTCAGAGCCTGGGCCAGACTCCCCAGACTCCGTTCTACTTGGCTGAGTGCTAACTGCTAAGCACGTACTTGGCTGACCTTGGCTCCTTCTTAGCTGAACATGACCGTGTGTCCCAACCTTCTTCCTTATCTGTGTCCAGTACAGTCCCTGACCAGGTTTCGTCCTCTTGAAGCCAAGATGTAGGATTTCTGTTTCCATGCATACCACACACAGAAACATCCCAATCCTGGCCACATTGTTATACTGAGCCCTTCGTCTTCCTGATGGTGGCCATGCATGTATGTGGCTGTAAGCGTGCTACACAGCTGGCCGAAAGCAAGATGACCGCAAAAAAACAAACAAGGAAATGGCTCATAAATAGTCTTATATTGAGTATATTTTGAAATTATAGTAGTAGGGTAGAGCAAATTAGCATATGGGTAAATTAGGAAAGTTGGTGGTTTCGATATATTTAATTTTACTACTAAGTTTCCTATTTAAATATGCTCACTTCAACAATTTTGTCATTCCTGTGCATCATGGTGGTGAACACCTGTACTTCCAGAACTCCAGAGACTGAAGTAGAAGGGCTGTGAGTTTGAGGACAGCACAGTGAGATTGTCTCAAAACAAAAATATAGCCGGGCGGTGGTGGCACACGCCTTTAATCCCAGCACTCCAGAGGCAGAGGCAGGCGGATCTCTGTGAGTTCGAGGCCAGGCTAGACCGACAGCCTCTAAAACAATACAGAGAAACCCTGTCTTGTGAAAAACCAAAAAACAAACAAACAAACAAACAAAAATATGGCTGGAGAGGTGGCTCTGTAGGTGAATGGCTTGCTGCGCAGGCTTGAGGGTCTGAACTGGGATCCTTGGCACCCATATAAAAATCTGGACACAGTGACACATGCCTGTAGTGCCATCACAGAGGAGCTGCAGACAGGAGGATCCTGTTTGTGGCTGCCTACCTGGCTGCTGCAGGTGTAGTCAGAGTCCATGTCTCAAAAACCTTGGTAGAGGCCAGCATGGTAGCACACACCTCCGATCCCAGCACTTTGGAGCCAGAGGCAGATGGACCTCTGGGTTCTAAGGCTAGCCTGGTCTACACAGTGAGTTCCAGGACAGTCAGGGCTACCTAGTGAGACCCTCGAGGCTGGAGAGGTGGCTCTATGGTTAACAGCACTGGTGACTCTTCCACAGGATCCAGGTTCTGTTCTCAGCACCCACATGGTGACTCACAACTGTCTACAACTCCAATTCAAGGAAACCTAATGCCCTTTTCTAGCTCTCACAGGCATCAGGGATGTACCTGGAACACAGACATACATCCAAGCAGAACACCCACACACATAAAATAAAATTAATAATAATAATAATAATAATAATAATGGTTTTCTTAAAAAGACCCTCTCAATAAAATAAGGTTGAGAGCCTACACACATAAACACATACACATAATATACACATACCACAGAAAGAGAACTTAAAAATCAAATAATAAAAAATGTATATAATTAGTAACTTAATATTGATATTTAGTGTACTTTATTATATTCTATAAACATAGATTTAATAGATTTGGTAAATGAACAGGTGTTTTATTTAATTTTAGTGTCAAATGTCTAATTAAAATCTTAATCCATTATTAATGAATTAATGGTTCATTGCTGGATCTAAAATTCACAGCTTAAAATGAGTATGCTAATGACATGAGCATTGTTTCTTTGGTTTTTCTTTTTAATGAGGCTTCCAGAACATTTTAACTCCTGTGTCTCGCTGTGTCTGTGGACAGCTGTGCGGTGTCTTCTACAGTGAGATTTTCTTTGTATCTTGCTGCACTTAACGCCATACATAAAAGCTAGCCGGTGGGGGAGGGGGTGCCATGGGTAGTCAAGACTCAGCCCTCATTCCCTCGGTATGCCCAGCTGGCACAGGAGACCCTTTCTGGAGAGCATTGACCTGTGTCCCCTGGAGAAATTGCCCTGATTTCTATGGTGAGGTCAGACAGAGCTTGTAAAGGAGGCTTTTATTATTTATTATTTTTTTAAGCACCTCTCAAAACCGAGAGGACCCAGAGAGTTTATGTGAGGACCTCTGCTTGCCCCAATCCCTGTGCCTTCTGTGTTTGGAGGGACAGGGGCAGATATGTGACAAGGGGATTCTGTTTGTAGATCTGTATACAACAGGGCTGGAAAGCCCCAAGAGGCCGCTTCGACGTCCTGCCGCTCCTGCTCCAGGCCAATGGCAATGACCCTGAGCTCTTCCAGATCCCCCCCAGAGCTGGTGCTGGAAGTGCCCATCAGGCACCCCAAGTAAGAGGAACTACCCTGGGGGGGTCAGTTCCCTGATGACCTCCTCTATCCATCTCCTACCCCACCCCTACCTCCCCCCCCCCACTCCAGGTTCTCCCTAGCTCCAAAAGACTACAAGAGGGTCCTGGATCCCATCCTGGCTTTCAGGCTGAGACACAAGGGGTCCCTCAGAACCAGCCTGAGCCATCGGATGCATCTGCTCCTAAGCAACCTCATGACCTGCCCTTTGTCTGGCCTTTGGGAGTCACAAGGGTAGACATACCTACTGTCTTGCTATGGACATAAGCATTCAATGGAAGAAGCTGTATGCAATGACTGATCGTGGGTGAACCAAGTTCAGACAGAGACCAAGGTCAGAGAAGCAGGTAGCATTTGCACTTTAATAGTAAAGGACGCACTCAGCACTCCGGAAGCAGAGGCAGGCACATCTCTGTGAGTTCCAGGCCAGCCTGGTCTACAGAGTGAGTTCCAGGACAGGTTCCAAAGATACAGAGAAACCCTGTCTTGAAGAAAAACAAAAAATGAACAGTAAAGGAAGTGCTAGTGGTGAGATGACTCAGCTGGTAAAGGAGCTTGCTACCAAGTCCGACTTTTTGGGTGTCCCACACAGCGGAGACAGAACTGACGCCTGTAAGCTATCCTCTAGAGCACGCATGCGCACGCGTGCACACACACAAATAGATAAACGCAGTTATAAGATGAATGAAGGAAAGCCATCATGAGGTGCTAGACTGGATCCAAACCCAAGGGAGGTTGCTAAGAAACTTAAGTAATGTGCAAAATAGATCTTAAGAATCAAGTTAATTATTTTTAATCTGTGGTGAACTGTATCTCCACTTTTAAAATAAAAACAGGATTCAGCTTAGACCTGGCATGAGGGTGTGATGACAGGTGAGTCACACAAGGGGAACCTGTCTATTTAGAGAGGATTTTTAAAAATTTTTTTAAGTGTGGATTCATTTAAAATATCCCATATACAAATGACCTTGTTGGCCAAGTCTCTGCGGGAACTGCCATGCTACATCTGGCACTGCTACTCCACCTGCCTTGTCTGAGTCTTCCATGGACTGAGAACACCTGTCCTGGGGTCCCTGATACATTGGAACACACCGGAAGCCTAGGTGCACTTGGCTTACGTTCGTTTCTGGGCCTGTTCAAGCCACTTTGTAGTCTTCATCCCATCCCTCCATGGCACTAGCTTAGGGGCCCATTGTGTCCCAGCCTCGGTGGTTTTCGTCAAAGAGGAAAAGACCATAGAAAGCAACTCCTAAAACACTCAGTTCCTAAAAGGTACAGCAAAGGAAAAATGCGAGGTCACCTGGACCCAGCAGGACATTGGGAAGGTTTCCCAGAGCAAGAAACATTAGGCTTGAAATCAAGCACAGATTTAAAGGTGAAGGCACAGGAAAAAGGAGTTTTGGGGAGACAGAGCTACCCATAATCAGGTTTTGTATATGGTCCCAGCGGGTTCTGGGCCTGGAGCATCCCCAACCTAAGGAGGATGCAGCCATGTGCCCGGGAGACACTGCTACATGCTGAGCGGAAGCCGTTTGCTCTCCACAGGTTTGACTGGTTTAAGGACCTGGGGCTCAAATGGTATGGCCTCCCTGCTGTGTCCAACATGCTGCTGGAGATTGGAGGCCTGGAGTTCAGCGCCTGTCCCTTCAGTGGCTGGTACATGGGCACAGAGATCGGCGTCCGTGACTACTGTGACAACTCCCGATACAACATCCTGGAGGTGAGGTCCCTTGATGCGGGGACAATGGCCACTGCTCCGCAGCTTTGGGGCTGGGAGATTGAACAGGGGTGGGAAAGAACTGCAATCCTAGTGAATCTTCTAGAAATGCCAGAAGCACCTATGTCATTCCTAGCCATAGCTGAAGTGACAAAGCATACCATCACCGCAGCGAACACTGTGCAAGCACCTTGCACACACTGTCCTTCCTCGTCACACCCACAGAGGGTTCCCTGAACCCTTTCCTCTATGAATATCTGCAGATGGGCGGTGAGATGACTCAGTTGGTGACATGCTTCCCACCTGAAGCATGAGAACCTGAGTTTAATCCCCAGAACTCACATTTTAAAATCCAATCTTGGTAACGAGACCCGGGTAGTGGAAACAGGTGGGTCTCTGGAATTCTCTGGCCAGAATACTTGGTAAGTTTCAGGTCACTGTCAGAGAAAGCCTGTCTTGGAAGACAAGATAGGTGGCCACTGAAGAAAATCACTGGCACCTGAGGATGTTCTCTGGCCTCTACATGAACATATATATGCATGGACACACACACACATGTATGCACATGTATATACCCATACATACACACACACACACACACACACACACACACACACACACACACCTCATATGCTTGAGTCTCATACATAAAGTGCTGTGGTATTTGCACTGAGCTTTCTGTATATTTGGACCTTCTGCAACTGACATATGATTCTAGATACAGGATAGGTACTGTATAAAAGGCTGTCACTCTACAGTTCAAGGAATGGTGACAGTTGAAATGGTTTCACATGCTCTGTGCAGACATAGTTCTTTTGAATATTTTGGTCCAGGGTAGTCTGACCGTGTGGCTGAGCAGTGCTTGGTGTAGAGGGCTAGTTGATGAAGCCATGCAGGGTGTGTGTGTTCAGGTAGTACTGGGGCTCTTGGTTCATTGAGTTTGTTTGGTTTTGTTTTTCTTTCTTTTTTTTTTTTTTTTTTGGTTTTTACAAGACAGGGTTTCTCTGTATTGTTTTGGAGGCTATTGGTCCAGCCCGGCCTCGAACTCACAGAGATCAGCCTGCCTCTGCCTCTGGAGTGCTGGGATTAAAGGCGTGCACCACCACGGCCCGGCTGGTTTTGTTTTTCTGTTGGTTCTACCATGCTGGGGATTGAACCACGCTAGGCAAGTAAGGGTCCTTGAGCACGCTAGGCAAGGTCTCTACCATTGAACTAGGGCCACAGCCCTACTTTGTACTTTTTCTTGTATTTTATTTGTAAACAAAAGTCCTAATTAAAATTTGCAACTGTTGACCTTGTTTCTAAAGAGGTTACAGAGAAACTGAGGAGCAAGGCTGGGCTTGGCTCACACAGCCTATCAGTGAAGCACTGAGATTAGAACTCAGAGTCAAGTGCCAGGTTTATGCTGTTAAAACCTACTCCTGTCACCAGGCATGGTAGCCCATGCTTGTAAATCCCATATTCAGGAGGTAGAATCCAGAAACTATCCTATACTACATGGCAAGGATACAGGACTATCCTATGCTACATGGCAAGTTTCAGGCCAGCCTGGACTACATGAGACCCTATTTCAAAAACATGAAGAACAAAGCAATATTCACTGGTGTCACTATGGAAAGTAGTTGTCAGTGATCATTAGCCTGGCTGGAGGGCACCTAGAATGTTTCATGGCGACAGGGCCCCAGTCCATGGGACTCTTATGCCATTGGTCTGGGGTATGGCCTGGATATCAGCATTTTTAAAGCTCCTGAGAATATTCCACTAGATGCACACCAGCATATACAAACGTCTGGCATGAAAGAAAAAAAAATGTTCATTAGTCCACATCCTAGTTGAAGCAGTGTCTGCAAGTTTGGCTTTGGTTTTTCTTCAAGTCAAAAAGGGCATCTTTCAACAAATTTTTATTCTTTTATATACACAATACCCCAGCTTCGTGTATCCTCCCCTGCTTCAGAAATTCACCAGGGCCTTAGACATGTTTAAGCCATTCACTCTCTGCTCCAAACTAAGCCAAAAGCCTTTGCCTCGGACAGTGAATTAATGAGTCTGCTCTCTGCTCTCCAAGTCACCTCACAGACTTAAATGAGAGGCCCTTCCACCCCCGTCCTTCAATTCCAGCTGCTGGATACAATGTGAGCCGGGCCTGAGGAGCAATTTACCCAAATTGAGGGATGGTGGTATCTGAGGGTAGTAAATGAGACCAGGGCTCCCACCAGCAACTAGCCTTCACAAAGGGAGGGAAAGGCATGCCTTTAATTAAGGAATCTGCCTGGGGCCTCTGCCACTGTGACCGGGGTGTTCATTTCTGGTTTGTCAAATACTAATGCCAGGACATATTTCTTTCAAGTTGTTTTGCCAGAGTGTCATTGGCTTAGAAAGCAGCTAGCTCTGAGGTCTCTGGGTCTCAATCATTAGCACAGTCTCCTCCGTTGATTGGCACATGAGTTTGGAGGCCAAAGGGCCAGCCACGTCTCTTTAGTTACCACCTGAGTTGTCAATAGCAAATCTTTGGAACCTGTGAGCAAGTCAGGCAGCCCGTGAATGGGTTAACTGATTGATAATTAAGTCCTCCATTCACAACACAGCTGTCTTTGAAATCCAGCGTTATCCGGCCCATGAGTCTATATTTTCTTCACCCTTCTAGGAAGTGGCCAAGAAGATGGACCTGGACATGAGGAAGACATCCTCCCTGTGGAAGGACCAGGCACTGGTGGAAATCAACATTGCTGTTCTATACAGTTTCCAGGTACCCTAGGGATCAGTGCCAAGGTCAAGCCTCAAAGGAGAGAGGGGGAAAAAAAGAACTTTCTAGAGACTCTGAACAGAGGGTCAAGACCCACGTTTTGGGAGCTGGAGACATGGCCCAGACAGTATAGTAAAGTGCTGGCCTCACAAGCATTGGTTCCTAAAGCCAACCCCCAGAACCCATGTAAAGGGCCAGATGGAAGGGATGAATGTCCATAATCCCAGAGATGCTGAGACAGGAAAGAGACAGGTGAATCCTTAACTCCCCACTGGCCATCTAGCCTAGCCCAGCTTGGTGGAGTTCAAGGCCAAGAAGAGACACTGTCTAAAGCAGACATCTGAAAAATGGCACCCAAAGCTCCCCTCTGGCCTTCACATGCATACACCTTCCTACACACTTAAATGCATACACACCAAAAAAAAAAAAACACCTTTGGGGGCTCCCATCTGTCAGTGTGACCTATTTCCTGTGCCATGCCTTCCTGTCTTGTGGATCTTGGCAGGGTAGACATCTGCTACAGTGGGAGGGAGCCCTGGACTTACACTCATGAAACACCCAACCCCACTCTTGGGTGGACATGAGTAGAGCAGGCACCTCATAAAACATCATGACATGGAGATCTGTGGGGGTGGCAGGACAAAAGGCCACCTCCCCGGGAGAATTAAGGAGCTGTGGAAATGACCAGAATTCAGGTCCTGGTGGAGACACTCAGGACACAGGAGGCATAGCAGTCAGGGCAATGTCTCTTAGACAACTTGTGAATCTGTGCCCACCAGCCCCAGCCTGTGCCAGACACTGTCCACCCACCTCCATGCTGTCTTACTCCTTTGATCTCTAATCAGCTCAAACTCGCTCCTTAAAACTACACTGAGAGGATTTTATTTCACCGGGATAAATAGTTACAGAAGATAAGTAAAACATGAGATAAGTAAGCGGACACAAGAAAAACAAAGATCGGAGAGTCCAGCTCCCACCTGAGGCTCCGCCCCCTGCCTAAAGAAAGGTGGGAGGGAAAATGGACAAGATTGACAAGGAAGGCCTTGGGGACACACTAGCACCAAGAAGAACCTTTGTCCTGTATAATTAGACTTAAAGGACTAAGACCCGTCCCAAGGCTGCTCTTTGGCAGACTCCATAGGGAAGGTACCCCGATACCTAACTCCTTGTCCTCTCTCCTCCTGCAGAGTGACAAGGTGACCATCGTTGACCACCACTCTGCCACAGAGTCCTTCATCAAACACATGGAAAATGAATACCGCTGCAGAGGGGGCTGCCCCGCCGACTGGGTGTGGATTGTGCCCCCCATGTCGGGCAGCATCACCCCTGTCTTCCACCAGGAGATGCTCAACTATCGGCTCACCCCATCCTTTGAATACCAGGTCCTGCCCCACCCTGCCCTGGGCTCCCCTCTACAATGAGACACACCCTGCCCTGGGCCAAGCTTTCCCAACCCCTAGGGCCCATCTCTATCAGGGTCAGTGCTGTGGACACACGTGTGCCCATTAGCCTGAGAGACTTAACGGAGACAGGGAATGAATATCCAGGAAGAGGATGTGCATATCCAGGAAGAGTTTGAGTTGGACAGGGGGTGGAGGGAGGGGAGGGGAGGGGAGGGGAGGGGAGGGGGGACACACCTAGAATCTCAGCACTCAGGAAGCTGAAGCAGAAGGATGACAAGTTTGCAGCCAGCCTGGGCTTCAAAAAGTCTGAAGGGACCTGGGCTGAGTGGGGAGGGCTGGTGGGACAGTGCAGGGAGGTTACGTCCATTACCTTGTGCAGGGACATCTGTGGCCATCCTTGGATGAATTCCTCTTACCTTGTGGGGCTGAAGGTTGGGAAGCCCTACCTGCCCTGGGCATCTCCAGGTGGGATTGAACTTCCTCAGAGCTGTGACTGGTGTCTTTGTTTCTCTTCCCAGCCTGACCCATGGAACACCCATGTGTGGAAGGGCACTAATGGGACCCCCACAAAGCGGCGAGCGATTGGCTTCAAGAAATTGGCAGAGTGAGTGTCTCACAATGGGAGATGGAGGGGTCTGTGCACAGGCTGGGAGTGTCTGGAGCTAGGCAGGGGCTGTACCCTGTGCCAGCAGCTAGGCAGGGGCTGTACCCTGTGCCCTGTGCCAGTACGGTGGTGGGTACTTCCATCCCACCATTACCATCACACACATACATTCCCTCCCTCCCTCCCTTCCTCCTTCCCTCTCTCTCTCTCTCTCTCTCTCTCTCTCTCTCTCTCTCTCTCTCTCTCTCTCTGTAGGGGTTATAGGTAAGGCATGCTGAGCTACATAGCAAGACCCTGTCTTGTTTTATTTTGTCTTTTTTGTTTTTCGAGACAGGGTTTCTTGTGTGACTCTGGCTGTCCTGGAACTCACTCTGTAGACCAGGTTGGCCTCAAACTCAGAGATCTGTCTGCCTCTGCCTCCCTCGAGCTGGGACAGAAGGCATGGACCACCACCACCTGGAAAGATGCTGCCTTTTTTAAAAATTAGTAATAACCATTATTATTATCAATTATTACAATAATAATGTTTAACTGAGCCAAAAAGAAGCTCAGGGGGCTATGGAGCAAGAGCCCCTGGGCATATATGGCATACATCACCAAGATGGTTTAATAGAGCCAACAACTGTCTGTCCCAAGAAGGAAAACCCCATTGATTCCCTCAAGAAGAACCTCCGTTTGCAGAAGACACTGACACAGCTAAGCTAGCTTGTGTTCATCCCCCAGGTTCTAGAACCCTCATATGTGGCCTCCAGGTGTGCAGCAGGTACCATTTATACTACGAACCCCAGAGGCAAGACTCCCACTGTCCCCCTTGTAGCACCGGGTCCCGTGAACTTGGACCTGGACCAAATCTCTCTCCCTTCACCCCTTCTCCCTTCTGTCTTCCCTGCCTCCCTGCCCCAGCCTGTAGCCAGTAAGGACTCACCAGCAGCCTCCTCCAGAGCACCCCAAATGGTCTCAGGAGAGCCTTTGTCTACAGCTCCATTCTGCAGGATCCAGGAGACAAAGGCAGCTGGAAGAAACACTGTTATTAAGTTCAGGGTGGAGACCCTGTGAGTTAATGATGCATGTTCTCCGTGCTCCCAGCCTTCCGGGGGAGCCCTTCAGGGATCTTTTATTCCTCTCCCTCCTCCCCCTGAGTTCAAAGCCTTCCTGCAGTGTGGGTGGTTTCCCTAATTCTATAAAATGATGAACTTCCTGCCAATAAGCCTCAGGTGGGAGAGACCTAGGAATTTGTCTTCTAAGAGATTCCCAGTAAGAACATAGTGGGATATTTCAGGTTTGGCAGGGTACAGCCAGGCTGTGGTGGGCAGTCACTCCTGACTCTCCTTTTACCCCTCCCCTCCCTCTGTGCCTGCCCCTCCCCTGCCATTAGCTTAAAGTTCTCCAACGATGTCAAACTCCTCCCACCTTAGGCATAGCATCTTTACAAACTCCGTTTCTTCTGGGAGATATTTGATATCTATAAAAATGCTGCCTACTAGGTACCAATCAGCACTTGGAAGCTTGTTTGTAAATAAAGCAGTCTTCCCAGCACTGGGGAGGCAGAGGCAGGCAGAACTGTGAGTTTGAGACCAGCCTGGTCTACTACAGAGAGCGTCCTAGGACAGGCTCCAAAGCTAAAGAGAAACCCTGTCTTAAAAAAAAAATAAGACACAGAAGTCAGACCAGAGAGATGGCTAGGGAGTAAGGCACTTGCCATCAAGCCTGAGGTTTTGGAACTAAATCCCAGGATTCACATGATGGAAGGAGAGGATTGATTTGGCAGGCTGACCTTTGACCTCCATGCCTGGGCTAAGGCAGAAGCACTTGACTACTGGTATGCACACACGTGCTTGCACACCTCCACACACACACACACACACACACACACACTAAATAAATAAATGGGAATAATTCTCAATATCTCTAAAGCCCCTCTAATTCAGGGCCAGGAGACTATTGGTGACAAGGTTCTTAGGGACTAGAAACCATCATCCAACAACAGCCAACCTTGGACCTCAGAACTTGTTGCTCTGGGGAGATAATGTCCAAGTCAATATGGTCTCTGAACTCTGGGGTGCTGTGTGTCTCTAGGGTTCCCTAAGTCTCATCCTAGCATCTTGTGTCCGCTCTCTGTTCCCCATTTTTCTCTCCACCTGCTTCCTCACAGAGCCGTCAAGTTCTCAGCCAAGCTGATGGGGCAGGCCATGGCCAAGAGAGTCAAAGCAACCATTCTCTATGCCACGGAGACAGGAAAATCTCAAGCCTATGCCAAGACCCTGTGTGAGATCTTCAAGCATGCCTTTGATGCCAAGGTAAGCAAGGACTCGTATAAGCTCCCCGGACCTTTGTGACAAATAATACACATATTTGCATACATATCAGACACACTTATGTCTCCCATGGATCCTCCAAGAGTCCAGTCCACAGGAAACCCCCATCTCTAGAGAAAAGTTAGTGGGTTGATGAGAGCCCATCCTTCTAGGGCTCAGTGTAAGAAACCTCAATAGCTACAGCTCCATGGGTATACCAGGACTTTTCAGAGCTTTTAATCTATGAACACCCACTAGAATTTGGGAAATTGGCCAGGCGGTGGTGGCGCACGCCTTTAATCCCAGCACTCGGGAGGCAGAGGCAGGCGGATCTCTGTGAGTTCAAGGCCAGGCTGGACCGACAGCCTCCAAAACAATACAGAGAAACCCTGTCTCGTAAAAAAAAATTATGAACTAAATGTATTTCCTAACCAGATCTGACCCAAACAAGACCCATGGTTCTCGTGGAGCATCTGGGGAGGCTGGGGTTCCTTACAAAGTACTCTGAGAAATGTGCAATAATTCTATGATGCAGGTGACAGTCTCTCCCTATGGTGAGACCTCAGCCTCGAGGGACTTGGGGCCTTTGAGGTACTGGAGGCGGGATTAGAGAGAAGACTGAGCAAAATTGGTTAGGTGGTGCCAGATCCAGCCTAACTAGTCAGGACTCCAAGATCATGAAATACCAGAGGTCATGGGATTGGACAGATGGCTCAGCCACTAAAGTGCTTGTCATCCAAAGCATGACAATTGGAGTCTGGATGCCCAGCACCCAAATGTAAATGCCAGGTGTGTGGTGGCCTACCTGTAGCCCTAGCACATGGGAGGTGAGAAGAGGAATTCTCCCCTCGGAGCAAGCTGGCTGGCTAGACTAGACAAATCAGTGATCTCTGGGCTCAGCTGAGAGACCCTGACTCAGAAAATGAAGTGGAGAGCAATGGAGGAAGATGTCCAATGACGCCCTCTGACCTTCACACACACACACACACACACACAAGCAAAGAAGAAAAAGTTCAGGGGGTCTTCATAAAGATCCACTCTCTTAAACTACTTCATTGGACCAGGGCCCAGGTTTCCATAGTCCGTAAGAACCCAGTGGCCATAGCAAGATTCCGTGCCAGCAAACATCATTAATGCTACCCACATGAATACTAACCATCCAGAACACTGGGCCCCGAGCCAGGGGCCACTCCGAATGGCTCACCTTGCTCCTTGTATCCTCTGCTCCCTGTCACTTTTTTGTCTCTCCCTGTCACCACTCACCTCTTCTCCCCTCTCCCACGTCCCCACCTGCCTAGGCAATGTCCATGGAGGAGTACGACATTGTACACCTGGAGCACGAAGCCCTGGTCTTGGTGGTCACCAGCACCTTTGGCAATGGAGACCCCCCTGAGAACGGGGAGGTGAGAGGGAATGCCCCGCCCTAGCATGGGGCCCCAGCCCCCAGAGGAGATAGCAACAACTGGGACCCTCCCCCACAGCTGACGCTCAGAAGCAAACCCTCCCTCCCCAGCCCCAAAGCCAAGACTTTGATTTGATCCAACTTGAGCAAATGGGGCAATACCAAGTTTTGTCTGACAGTGTCCCTTGGCTAAACAGTCTGTGCGGTGAGCTGTGTGTTTAAGGTACTCCGGTTCCAAGCTTGGGGTAGTACTTCCATGCAATAAAGACCACAACAGTCAGTTGTACCCTGGGGTAGAGAGTTCACACCTGTGCTTGCACACTGGGATGGAGAGTTCACACCTGCGCCTTAAATGACCACCCCACCCCCACGCATACATTGAACCTGCAGCTGGCACATGGCCGCCCACCTCAATCCCTGGCTATCCCTGACACCTACCCATCAGACTTCAGGCTCCAGCCGAGGCCCCAGACCATGTGCCCACCCACTAATATGTTCTTCATTTGTTTTGTTTTGACCTCTAGAAATTCGGCTGTGCTTTGATGGAGATGAGGCACCCAAACTCTGTTCAGGGGGAAAGGAAGTAAGTGAATGTCCCTTCTGGTGTCACAGACTGTTCTTGGGAACCACTAAACAATATGTCTTGATATCTAGGGTTCATGTGAGGGCTAGGCTACCGTTGACGGCCTTCGGAGTTAGATTTTAGTTGGTGGTCTGGGCTTCACTGTTGCTGATGCTCTGGTCTCTGGCTCAGCCATCCCCTGTGCCTCCAATTTTGCTCTCAAGCAGGTGTTATAATATCTTCTTTAACTTCCTGATTGGTAAGAACTAAATTTAAAAAAAAAAAGATGGGAGAGTCTCAGGAAAGATTAGGTGCCCTGTGCAAACCTCGGTTCTTATTTGTCACTCACAATAAGAACCTTCAGAACTCACCCTGGAAGTCAGTGGGGGCCACTTCCTCCTTAGAACCTTCCATCCGAGGCCCACAGTGGTTATGTAGCTAATGTTAAGGTCAAGTTCAAAGGGTAAAAAAGATATAAGACAGATGCCTGTGATCTCGTGCACATTCTTGAAGCAGTTACATCTCACATGGGGCTCTGTTCTGAAGGCATTTTGCAGGCAAGATGGCTTAGTTGGGTGGGGGTTGCTTGCCACCAACCTTGATAACTAAGTTCGATTCCCAGGACCCTACTGATAGAAGGATAAAATGGACTCCCCCTCAATGCATTTTACAAGATGGAAACATCTGTTCTCCAAACTATCTTTGGAAATCTCTAGAACCTTCTAGGAGGTGCTGAACACGTGTACACTGAACCCCCCTCAGGGAGACCAATAAAGGGTTGCCTCCAAAGAACAGACCCTGTGACTGAAGAATGTGTGTGAGTCGGGTGGTGGTGGTGCACACCTTTGATCCCAGCACTTGGGAGGCAGAGGCAGGTGGATCTCCATGAGTTTGAGGCCAGCCTGGTCTACAGAGTGAGTTCGGGGACAGCCAGGGCTATACAGAGAAACCCTGTCTCAAAAGAAAATTAACAAACAGTAAAGAGTGTGTGTGTGTGTGTGTGTGTGTGTGTGTGTGTGTGTGTGTGTGTGATGACCAGCTGGGTCATCCTCCTGAGAACACAGGACCAAACCCGGTTCTGGGTACCCAGGGAGCAGAACCATGAGCATCTTCTGGTCAGCACTTGCTCCCCACAGCTCCAGAATCTTGGCCCTCAGCCTCCCCATCCCTCTCCTTTCCATCCACAGCAGCTCCCCTCTCCCCACCTCCTTCCGGGAGAGATAGGGCACCATCCATTCTCCCCTCTAGGTACCGGGAACCCTTGCGTTTCTTTCCCCGTAAAGGGCCTTCCCTGTCCTGGGCTGACTCTGAAACCCACAGTTTGGTTGCTGTCCGTGACAGCCAGCGCAGGTAGAGAGCATCTGTGTGCGAGTCTGTGCATGTGTGTGTGCTAATGTGTGTGCATGCATGGTGTGCATTAGATGATGCATGCCCAGTGTTGGAACATTTGAGTCTCAGAGAGACCTGAATTCTCACCCAGGCCTTGACACTAACTCTAGAACCTTAAGCAAATCTCTTGACCTCTGTGGACCTTAGTCCTTCTAATTAATCAAGTGTGGAGAAACCTCTGTCCTGCCAGTCTCTAGGGGCTGTGGCTGAGGATGGAAGGAATTATCAGCAACAGGGAAAGCAATGGCAGAAACCTCCAGCCTCATACAGTACACGTGCTGATATTTTTACCCCACAACCATCCACCGTGCCTCCCCCGCTAACGACACAGCCACCCCCCTGGTATGCTGCATGACGGATTTGGAGAAGTGACTCAATGTGAGTCTATTTTGGAGGCAGAAAATACACATCCGTGTATTTAGAAGCTTGTTAGAACAAAAACTTTGAAAAGCATCCAGCCTAGACACGCTCTGCCAGAATGTGCATGTTCTTTTTTTGTTTCTTCCTCTCTCTCTCTCTCTCTCTCTCTCTCTCTCTCTCTCTCTCTCTCTCTCTCTCTCTCTCTCTCTCCAACTTTTGCATTCTAATGTGTCTAATGTGTTTATTGGGATTTTGTCTTAGTTTAGGGGATTTGGGAAGGGAAAGGTTGTCTGTGTTGAGTATTAACAATTTTGTTTGGTTTGGGATTTTAAGATTTATTTTGAATTATGTGAGTGTGTGCAGTACCCACAGAAGCCAAAAGGGGGAGGCACATCCCTTGGAGCTGGAGTTCCAGGTGGTTATAAGCCCCCAGGTGGGTGCTGGGAACTGAATTCAGATCCTCTGGTAGAGCAGCAACAGCCAGCCCTTGTTTTTGTTTTGTCTAAAAACAAAAGGTCTTGATGGAAACTGATTTTGCCTTCAGTTTTGGGTTCCTGAGCCTCTTGTGCTGAGGTCTGGGTCTTGGACTTCCTCCCTGGCTGTGAAAACTCTGGAGTGGTGCTGGGCCTGTGTGAAGTGATTGTCTCACAACTATAAGAACCTGAGCTCCATCCTCAGAACACATATTTTAAAAAGACATGGGCCAGGTGTGGTGGGACTGGGTGTGGTGGTACATACCTTTAATCCCTGTACCGAGGCAGAGGGTGCCTGTGGGTTCAAGGCCAGCCATGGCTTCACATTGAGACTCTGTCTCCAGAAATGCAAGTCGGGGAGGGAAGGAGTCAGGGAGAGAGAGAGAGAGAGAGATGAGAGAGAGAGAGAGAGACAGACAGACAGACAGACAGACAGACAGACAGACAGACAGAGACACAGACAGAAAGAGAGAGACAGAGAGAACCCAGAGGGCGGGTACAGTAATCTCTGCACAGGGACAGCCAGGTTCTGGAGACTCTGGCTAGGTAGCATAGCCTATTTGGTGTCTTCTAGGCCAATGAGAGATTCTGTCTCAAAACACAAGGTAGACAGCAGCCAAGGAAGACTCCCAAAGACCTCTGGTCTCCACACACAAGTACACATACACCCCCACACATGTGCACATACATGAACACACACACTTACATGCATGCACAAGTGTACCCACATGCACACACATATATATACACACATGCACATGCCCTCACCCACACACAATGTCCATGCATACCTCAGATCACTGCTAAAAACTGTTTCTACCTTTACTGGAAATGTGTCTCATGACCCTAAAATGTCTAAGAATGTCACTCCATGCAGCACTAGAGTGTGGCAGGGATGGTCCAGCCTTGTGTGACTTTCTACAATGATGTCATTTGTCTATGCTGGCTGTAAAGCAGCCACCAGCAACATATGGCCACTGAGCACCTGGAACAAAAAGTGGCTGTTGGTGCAGGCAAGGACCGATGTTTTCAATTTTTCCTGTAAGTACACACTGCAGGTTGAGCATGTTTCCCCATACATCCCTAATCCCCCTCCTCGCCCATCCCATGTCCCCTACACAGCTTCACTTGTACTTTCGTGCCATTTACACATGTATATGATGTTATGTATTGCTATAAAATTTAGGAACTACAAATGAGAAAAAAATGTAGAATATTTTTCTGGGATTGGCTTACATACCCATCACCCCAGACCCCATTTTTGGAAAATGATGTGACTTCCTTCTCCTCCTTCTCCTTCTCCTTCTCCTTCTCCTTCTCCTTCTTCTTCCTCTTCTTCTTGATTTAATTTTTTGGATTTTTGCTTTGTTTTGTTTTTTGTGACAGGGTTTCTCCGTATAACAGTTCTAGCTGTCCTGGAACTCACTCTGTAGACCAGGCTGGCCTTGAACTCACAGAGATCTGCCTGCCTCTGTCTTTCCTGTGCTAGGATTAAAGACTTGCTCCACCATGCCCAGATGACTTCATTCTTTATGACTGGAAAGTCTCCCCTGGGTACCCACTATGTGCATCCCACATTTAACCAAGTCTTCTCTTCTTGGACATCTGGTTTTTAATTGTAGCTCATTATAATTAATTTTTGGTTTATTTGGCTGCAGGGAGCGAATGGCTACCATCTCAGAGAACACCAGTTTGTTTGCAGTCAGTGAGGTCTGGGGACAGAAATGTTGGCTCTCAGGCCCCACCCCATCCCCACTGAACCAGCATCCTCACTTTAACAGAATTCCCCCCTTATTCTTCAGGCTACAACTTGAGAGGCCAGGAGGCCTGGTCTCACAGTCACAGCATCCCTCCATCCCCCCCTCTGTACTGATGAGGCCATATGAACTTTGTGGGTTCCAGTCTTCCCAATTTAAACAAGGCCTGGCTACATTTAAGTTTGAGAGGTCAGCTGACATTGTGGTGACTGTGGGCTAGTCGGTGCATTCTCCAAGAGTGCAGAGGAGTGGTATATTTTGGCTCAGTACCAGAGAGATGGTTCTAGAACCAGGACCAATAAGTCGAAGACCCAGAGTGGGAGCTAGCCTTAGGAGGGAGCTCCAAGGCAGAAGTCACAGTCCCTTGTTTGTTTGTTACAGGAGCTACAAGGTCCGTTTCAACAGTGTCTCCTCCTATTCTGACTCCCGCAAGTCATCAGGCGACGGACCCGACCTCAGGGACAACTTTGAGAGTACTGGACCCCTGGCCAATGTGAGGTGAGCATGGGTGCAGGGGACCGAGGGTGACTAAGGACTCTTAGAAAGCAGGGTTCAGCTACAAAATTCAGGAGGAGAATTCTCACCCAGTGTTCCTTCATTCCTCTGGGGCCCCTCCCTCTCTAATTCACACTACCTGGTCTCCCATGTGTGGAGACATCACATCTGTATCTAACAAGCTCTGGCATCTCTTTCTCTAACCCCGCTGCCCCCCAGATCCCATCACCAAGGTTTCTCCTCCATCTGTGCTGTAGGGTACTAGTCTCTGTCTAAGCCTCTTTTCCAAGAAAACAATTTTGACAAATTTTACAAGGAGACACCCTGCCACAATGACCCACTGGGTCCTAGCCCTACGTGCACGATAGAGTCACCTGGGGGTGATCCATGCATGGCTGTGCTGTAGTCCCAGTCCTTGAGAAGCTGAGGCAAAGGGATGGCAAGTTCAAGGCTAGCCTGTGCTATGTTAGGAGACTCGGTCTCAAACAAAATAAAAATAACCTGGGGATGTTTGCAATCCTCTAGTGTGCTAGCCCAACCTAAAGATTCTGCAGTTGGTCTAGAATTGGGCCTGCTGATACCTCTTTTTTTTCTAAGCATGGCCAGTGGCCTCTACGACAGGATCAGATTTGAAAACTACTCCCCAAACCCACATTTTTCTAGAGCAGAGTCATATCCCAGGAGATAATTTGAGCATGGAAGCGACACAAACAAGCATTTGAGGATTAGATGTGTGTTCAGTTTAATAAGTTCTTGCAAAGAAAAAATGGGATGTCAAGATTTGCTGTCCTAGATAAAGGTCAAGATGGGGCTGATGCCCTGTTGGTCCATCACCTAGACCTAGTCATGAGCGTCTCTCACATTGACCAGATGACCCTTCTCAGAACCAGGCTCATAAATAGCAAAGCTCCTAGCCAGTGAGGAATCCTGTCTATTGCTATACTTTCCCTCCTTTCTATTTTGTATGTGGTGTGTGTGTGTGTGATTCATGATGTGGGACAGTGCTTAGGTTTTGATATCAGAACATTATTTTAGTATTGCCTTCATACTCTAGTACGATATCCCCATGCTCCAAAACAATGCCTTTCTTCCCATTGGGAGACTTGTATTTAAAGAACTGGACTCAAAAGCGTGGAGAGTTGGCTCAGTCTGCAAAGTTCTTGTCATACAAGCATGAGGATCTGGGTTCCATCACCAATACCTGTGTGAAAACCAAGCATGGTGGCACACACTGAGGTGTGCAGCTATAATCCCGGCACTGAGGAGGAGAGACAGGGTCCTTGGGTCCTAGCGGGCATCCTGTCTCAAAAAAAAAAAAGCTATTCTGAGAAACAATACCTACAATTGACATCTGTCCTCCATATGTGTGTGCACGCATACCTGTACACTCACCCAAACTAATTATACTTAATTGTTATGGTGGTATTTTAATTTCATCAGTTAAAAATACGTGGACGTTTGTTGGTTTTTTTTTCTTTTCTTGTCTAAAGGCCCATGAGGTACCTGCAACTTTGACATCTTTAATGTCTTTGCTATCTGGCCCTGCAGATGAGAACTTAGTCAACTGTTGGTTCCGAGGTTTAAAATAGGAGCTTTGGACTCATAAGTAGCGATTGTCATGGACAAATGAGTCTCCCAGTGACTGTGGTGTGGGCCCTTCAGCCTGTCCAGAAGTCATGAGTCAGCCACCTGACCCTTTGATGGTGAGCACGAGGGTCACGTGTCTGAGTCTGTGGGAGATGCTATAGTAAAAGAATGGCAGATGTTTGTTGCTCTCAGTTCTGGGGTCCGAGGCGTCCAAGGCCAGTGTCCCATGAGAGTTCACTCCTAACTCATACCCAGCTCTGTATAGCCATATCTTCATGTGGTGGAAGGGATGAGTCTGGTTCCTTCAACCCCTTAGATGGGCACCCACTTCATCCTACAGAGCCTCACCCTGATGACCTCATCACCTCCCAGAAGCCCTTTCCCTTCATTCCATCACAATAGGCTTCCACATGTGAGTCAAGGGGATTAAAATATTCAAAACATCTTATGTGGTCTGCCAAGCCAGTGAGTGAAAATCAAAAGTAAGTTACACAAGCCAGGCATCCCACACATGCCTGCAGCCCCATGTCTGAGAAGAGTAGAAACAGGAGAGTTGCTGCAATTTGCTGACTTAGATAATGTACTTGGGAAGGTTCAGGAGGCCCTGGAGAAGAAAGCTGTCAAAGAAGGGAATTGCAGGATTCAACAGTACAGGTGTGGGTCTGAGGGACCTGTGATAATTTTTACTCCACCAGTGAGACACCAGACCCATGCCGGCTCATGTTGTAACAATTCAGTCTCCTCCCAGAGTCCCTCCTTTCTCCTTCCTCTTACATTTCTATTGTATCTCATCCCCTTCAGCCCCCAGCCATTCAGGGACGGTGGGTGACAGGGCTCCACTCCCTGGCTTATCTGGGGTGACTGCCTTTAGCAGAGTACCCTCCTTGGAGACAACAGAGAGGGTCTTTTGTCCCATTTGCAAATCCATAATTGTCCTGTTGGCTCAGAACGCCAGACAGGACCACTCTCCAGAAATGGGCCATATAATATCTGCAAGACTGTAAACTAACTGCATATAGTACTATACACCTGAAATCCCAGTACTCAGGAGATGGGGGCAGGAGATTCGGAGTTCAAGGCCACCCTGGGCTACATGAAATCTTGACTCAAACAAACAAAAATCCTATGAACAAGGTTCACCTTCCCCACCCCATACTTCGGTCCCCACCTCAGCATGGAGAAAACATTAACTTGACCCCTATTGGCTCAAGGGCCCGGATTCTCTTCCTGGAGAGAGCTTGTGAAACATTAATTTCACAGACAGTAGGAAGGGTGCAGCATGCATGCAGAGTTGCATGACTAAGGCTCTGCCATCCCCACGTAGGAATTCCCACCTGTACGCCAACATGCGATGTGTTCAAAAGTCCTTCTAGACACTCTGCTAGTCCACATCCCCGATGGCCAGTACATCAGGATTCTCATGGCCACCTCCTTGAGACCAATTGACTTGTGGCAAGCAGAAGCATCCCCACTGGGATTCTTTTCTGTTGATGATGTAGCTCTCCTTCCTCAGAAACCACTGGAACTTTCTCTTGAGTGCAGTAATCACTATTAGAGACCAAGAGGAAGAAGGGCCTTAAGAGCTCTTGGGATTAAAGTCATCCTTCCACTGAAATGTATTTTTTCATAGTTCTGAAAGCTTGGAGTTCAGCAAGGGGTGGGTTCCACCTGGCTTCTCTTAGTGGCTTGTTAGTGGCTACCTTCTTTCCGGAGAGGAGAGGAAATTGACTTTATAATGATCTTACTAACCTTGATCACTTCCTTAAAGCTCCTGTTTCAATATACAATCCCATAGGGGTTCGGGACTCAAGTACATGAACTTCAAGGTCACACTAACTAGCCTTTGGTACCCCATACCCCACCTGCCACACCCTACAGTCCCTGTCACAGACCTTCCGTTTTCTCCTGGACAGGTTCTCGGTATTTGGCCTGGGCTCTCGGGCCTACCCCCACTTCTGTGCCTTTGGGCACGCAGTGGACACCCTCCTGGAGGAGCTGGGTGGAGAGAGGATTCTGAAGATGAGGGAGGGAGATGAGCTCTGCGGGCAGGAAGAGGCTTTCAGGACCTGGGCCAAGAAGGTCTTCAAGGTAGGAGGCCCGCTGTATCCAGACAGCTCCAAGCTGTCCCAGTGGGGGGTGTGGCTCAATGGTAGGATTGCCTAGTGATAGCGTGCTTGCCTAGCATGCAGGAGGCACAGGGCTCTAAGCCCAGCATGGGAAAGGAAAGGAGGTGGGGGTACAAATGAAAGGAAGGAGGGGGGAGAGAGGGAAAGGGAGGGAAGGCTGGAGGGAGGGAGAGAGAGAAGGAGGGAGGGAGGGAGGGAGGGAGGGAGGGAGGGAGGGAGGGAGGGAGGATGAGAAATGTTAGGAAGATGAAAAGGAAGAAAAAGCGAGAAGAGACAGAAGGATAGGCAAGGGAGGGCTCCCCCCAATGTACACGGCCAGGATACAGCTCCAGTGAATTTGAGCAACCTTAAGCACACATTTTCCAGTCAGAGTCCTCGGGGCACTGAACACCGACCCTGCGGCTTTTATTCTCTCTGTCCACTGCCCTGGAATTAGTCCTCATCATCAATCCCAGAGGGAAGGGTCCTGGGCAGCTTCTGCCATTGCACTTGAGCAGCAGGCAAAAGGGGAAACTGAGGTCCAAGGGCTCTGTGTCTAGGAGCCTATTCCTGGATTTCTACCCAGACAGAGAGCTGAGATGACTCGGGGTCATTCACATCCGAGATAACTGTGTTTCCTCAGCTCATCACCCTGACTGAACATCTCAGAGTCCAGGCCCTCAGAAGCCTCTAAATGAGTGGTTCCTTCCTGATGCTGTGACCCTTTAATACAGTCCAACCTTCCTAATGTTGTGACCCTTTTTCACATTTCCTCGTGTTGTGGTGACCCCCAATAACCGTAAAATTAAGTTTGTTGCTACTTCATATAATTTTGCTACTGTTATGAATCATAATATAATTTTTTTGGAGATAGAGGTTTGTCAACGGGGTCATGACTCACAGGTTAAGAACTGTTATTCTGCCCAGTGGTGGTGGTGGTAGTGCACGCCTTTAATCCCAGCACTCAGGAGGCAGACGCAGGCAGATCTCTGTGAGTCTGAGAACAGACTGGTGTACAGATCAAGTTTTAGGACAGGCTCCAAAGTTACAGAGAAGCCTTATCTGAAAAAAAAACAACTGTTGCTCTAAACCCTGTTATCTGTCAGCATCCTGGTCTCCTATTACCCGCAGCTTCAGCAGTCATTGCTGTGTCTGCAGACATTCCTTCTTGTTCATGTTATATGAATGAAATCTAATACCAGGTGACCTTTTATGACTGGCTTCCTTCCCTTATTATAGAATTTTTAAGGTTCATCTATGTTGTAGCATGTGTCAGAACTTTATCCCTTTTGTGGCCAAATAATATTACACAGTGTGATATTTTGCTTTTCTATTTTTCTGTAGATGAGCATGTCATCATTTTCAAATAAGCACACAGCCAGATAATAATAAAAAACCATGTTTGAAAACTTTAAATTTCACTGAAAAGATAATTCTATGGTTGTTGATGCCTCAGTCCCAGTTATTTGGGAAGCTGAGGAGGGGCATCACTTGAACCCAAATGTTTAAGACCTACCTGGACCTATCTCAGACAAAGTTTACTAATCATAATGAGCAGTGACCTTAGGATCATTAATGTTTGCTGATAAAGGAGCTTTGACAAAAAAAAGGAAACAAACAAGAAAAAAAGTGTGTATCCAGATAACTTGTCCTGGCTTTATATAATTGTTTTAAATCCTTTGAAGAAATCAAAAGAAAATGTTAAACCTCTGGGCATGTGGGATTTAGTAATAAATGTCATCATAGATATGTCTTCAGTAGAGGTGAGCACCTCAAGTCGCTGCTCAGAATATTGGGTGATGGTGGGTACATGGATGGATGGATGGATGGATGGATGGATGGATGGATGGATGGGGGTAGATGGATGGGTATGAAAGAAGGAGTAGGTGGATGAAATATTAGGTGGAGATGAATAGATAGATGGGTGAGTAGAAAGGTAGATGGATGGGTGGGTCAGTGGATGGGTGGAAGGATGGATGGATGGATGGATAATGATGGATAGATGGATGGATGCATGGATGGATGGATGGATGGGTGGGTGGGCAGGTGAATGGTTGGATGATGATGGACAGATGGTTAGTTGAATGGATAGAAGAAAGTGTTGATAAGGTAGATGGACATACAGCTAGGTAGATGAAGTTTGGGTAGATCAATGGATGGGTGAGTGCATTGATGGGTAGATGGTGCAAGGAAAAAGCAGGTATATGATTAATGGTGGGAAGAGGGAGGGAGGTAAAGGGGGAGAGAGGAGAGAAAGCGAGAGATGGAGAGAGACATCATGTCATGCCTTGAAGCTGCTGTGGAGGAGCCATCTAGGATAACTGAGGTCACCAATAACTCTCTGTGGGCCGCAGGCAGCCTGTGATGTGTTCTGTGTGGGGGATGATGTCAACATTGAGAAGGCAAACAATTCCCTCATCAGCAATGACCGCAGCTGGAAAAGGAACAAGTTCCGCCTCACCTACGTGGCCGAAGCTCCAGAGCTGACACAAGGTACCTGGCACTGCCCTCCTAGGAGGCCTCTGTAGGAATGCTGGGCTGGTGTGTGCGGATGGTGGCTTTAGGACTCAGGTCCCCCTTTCAGAGGAGCCCTGGCACACACACGGGTCACATGCAGGGGACTGTACAACTGGGAGCCTCTCTCCAGCTGCATGCCTGCCCTACAAACCATCCCCACCTCCCACTGCCATTGCATCCATCTTGGCATTTGGTTCAGTGTCTGCAACCACCTTACCCAGCCCCACCTCTGCCTGCCCCCATCCTCATCCTTTCCACTCCAGGGGAAGAGCTGGAAAGGGGTCTGGGGAGATGGCTCCCTTGGTAAAGTTCAGGGTTTACAGATACCCTGATTGCCCAGAACCCATGAAAGAACCAGGCGTCGTGGTGCATGCTTGCAGTCCCAGCGCTGGGGAAGAGGAAACCAGAGAACACTGGGGACCACTAGCCAGCCAGCCTAGCCTAACTGGCCAGATCCAGGCCAGTGACAGACCTTGTCTCAAAGGATAAGTTTGTACATGACAACTCAGGTTGTCCTCTGGCCTACACACACACACACACACACACACACACACACACACACACACACACACACACACACCTGCACACACACTATTATATACATACATACATACATTCATACATACATGCATGCACAGACACATACTCAAAGCTGGTGAGGTTTTGTGGACCATTGTCTAAGCCCTCTCATTGTGACCATTATTCCTCTCCTCACAGGTCTTTCCAATGTCCACAAAAAGCGAGTCTCAGCCGCCCGATTCCTTAGCCGCCAAAACCTGCAGAGTCCTAAATCCAGGTAGGAACGCCCGAGTTTGCTCATCAGCAATCCCGTCTGCTCCCAGCCGCCACCCCAGACAAGAAGAGAGCTCAGATTCCAGAGACTGCTAAAAGCCTCTGGAGTCCTAGGACTCCTGCCTTCATGTCCCATGTCCCCAAATAGAGACGGGATCAAGGAGAAGTGTTGATCATACCGATATTGAGAAAGAAATGGGCTTCAGGATGATCTTAGCTGGGAGTCCCCTTGTGAAATAGCTGAGTGTTCCTATGTAGGTAACATCTCCATTGCAAAGTGCTTAATCCAAGTATTTTACTGTGAGAGATTTGTCTCTATAAAAGTGTTTCTCTCCCTGTGGGTCTTGACCCCTCTGGGGATCAAATGACCTTTCCACAGGAGTCACCTAAGACCATTGGAAAACACAGGTATTTACATTACAGTTCATAACAGTAGCATAATTACAGTTTTGGAGTAACAGTGAAAACAATTTTATATTTGGGGGTGATCGCAATGTGAGGAACTGTATTTAAGGGCCACAGCATTAGGAAGACCGAGAACCACTACTCCAAAGAGCTGCAAACATAGCTACCTGCACCATGGAGTGACAACAGGTGTACCCCAAAACAACATACTCTTTGATCTGAAACCCTAACTATATTATCTTGGAGGGTGACTGTGTGCCACCACGTGCCTAGGGAGATCAGAGGACAACCTTTGGGTATTCATCCTTACCTTCTACCTCATTTTATTTTATTTATTTATTTATTTTGGTTTTTCGAGACAGGGTTTCTCTGTGGCTTTGGAGGCTGTCCTGGAACTCGATTGGTAGTCCAGGCTGGTCTCGAACTCACAGAGATCCGCCTGCCTCTGCCTCACGAGTGCTGGGATTAAAGGCATACGCCACCAACGCCCGGTTCCTTCTACCTCATTTCAGACAGGCATTTTTCCCTGCGGCATAAGCCAGATCTGGCCCATGGAGCTTATTTGGGCCATCTTGTCCCTTCCTATGGGTTCTGGGCTCTTCAGGCAGGTGTGCTCTGATTTAGCTTTTTGTTGTTATCCGAGCGTGTGTGTGTGTGTGTGTGTGTGTGTGTGTGTGTGTGTGATGTGTGTGATGTGCTTTCAAAGCCAGGAAAGTGTCAGACCCCCTCAAACTGGAGTTACAGGTAACTGTAAGCCACCATGTGGATGCTGGGAACTAAACCTGGGTCCTCTGCAGTGGCTGCCAGTGATCTTAATCACTGTGCTGGCTCCCCAGCCCTGTGCACCCAGCCTTTTAGGCAGGCTGTAGAGATCTGAACTCAGGTCATTAGGCTTGTGCCATAAATGCTTTCACCCAATGGGCTATCTATCTCCCCAGCCCCAGAAATTATCTTACTACCTAACATAGCCAAATAACTTAGTATCTACTGTAGCCAAACACCTCACTGTCTGATACAAAGTTTTGTTTGTTTGTTTGTTTGTTTGTTTGTTTGTTTTTATATTAGCACTTGGGGCGGGGCAGGGGGTGGCGGTTGTGGCTTTTGTTTTATGCTGGGGCTTGAACCTGGGACCTTAAACACACTAGGCAAGTGCTGAACCACTGAACTACATTTTAAATCTTAGCACTTGTCTTAAAATGCAGTTAGCCTCTTCAGCGACACCCAAAACAAATTCATTTCTTCCTAATAAGAGACTTACATGGCCAAGGACACTGTCCCATGTCCTTTGGGCCCCTTTGCCTCCGAGCTGTTCTCCTAAGACCTGGCTTCCCCAGCTTCAGTCTTTAATCACACGGCTCTTACTCCCCCACTGTAAATACCTCTCCCAGACCCCTGCCCCCGCAGCAGAAGTCACATGACCACCAATAACAACTGTGTTAGATCAGTTACTGCCATACAGCCTGAACAGGACATACTAATATCACCTGTCCTGCGACACTGTCCTCAGAGCCAACCCACTCACCCATTAAGTTTGTGTACTCACTGAGTCCAGGTATCTTTTTTTTTTTTTCAAAATGATCACTCTAGGGATTTTTTTTCTCTTTCCAGTTACAACCCTGGTATGTCTTTTGAATTCTTTATTCTTCACAGTCCTAGGCACTGACCCTAGCTCTCCCACACACAAACTGGGTCCATGAGGCCTTGGAAAAGTCACAGGGTATGGAATAGAAAGCTGGAGAGATGGCTCAGTGATTAAAAGCACTGGCTGCTCTCGCAGAAGACCCTGGTTCAGTTCCCAGCACTCACACGGTTGCCCACAACCATCTATAACTCAAGTTCCAGAGTATGTGGCTCCCTCTTCTGGCCGCCATAGGTAGCAGTGAACATACACACTTCCAAAACATTCACAGGCAAAATAAAAATAAATGCTTTTCTTGAAAAGTCACTTAGATGCCACGAGGACCTTTCTTCTTCACCGCGACACGCAAATGCTGGCAGCAAGCTTATGTCTAACACACTGTGTCTTCCATGTGCCGAGCAGAGCTCTCTGGATGCTATCTCTCACTCCTACCAGTCCAGGAAATAAAGGCCACAATTGCTCACATGTTAGATATGAGAAGTGACCATGAGAAAAATGCAAGTGTCATTTTCAAGGTCATGCCGACCTGGTTGTCTGGCCGCCACACCAAATGACTCCACAGATGGTCTCCATCTCACTTGCCAGGCTGCTGTGACCACTAAAAATGGTCTTCTTAAAGCAGCTGGCACAGTGCAGGATCCATTCTCAGTCCTTGTCCCTCTCAGCTTCTTCGTGTTACCTGCATAGTTAGCATGCATGCTTCCTGAATACCCTTCCAAGCCTTTGATTAAAGAGGTCAACAGGACAGAGCCCCGAGCCTCTTCAATTCTCTCTCTTAAATGTTCTCAGACAATAATAGAGTATATTAGGCACTTAACATCTTTGAACGATAAGTTAAATGCAGCATTAGGTACGTAGGGACATCTGGTGGAGAGAGGTTCTCAATGAATGGAGGAGCTATGCCCATTGAAAAGCCCACGAAGAGCCAGTGTGTGCTGAGTCCTCCCTAGAGTATGGTTCAGAGGCAGCAAGGAAAAACAGGCAAATGGCCTTGGGATCGGTCCCCATGCACCACCCGGAAGGACCTGACTCTGGCAGAGTTTCGAAGACCATTAACAAAGGAATTTGCCAAGCAAGGTTAGGAACTGGAATTGAGTTAAAATAGTTGTGAACTAGCAGAAAAGACACCAAATTGTGCCTAAGGAGTTTGGGGGCTGGAGCAATAGGGCAGTGGTTAAGAGCACTGGATGTTCTAGAGAAGTTGGGTTTGATGCCCAGTGCCCACATAGTGGCTCACAACCACCTATAATTCCAGTTCCAGAGGATCTGATGCCCTCTTCTGGCCTCTGTGGGCCCAGACAAGCACGTGGTGTGCAAATATACATGCAGGCCAAATGCCCATACACATACACATAAAATAAAAATAACTAAATATGTTTTTGAAAGATAATGCATTATAAAATTTAATTTTTTAAGTATAATTGAGTGGAAAAGCATAACTCACCCATTTCCCCAGACCAAGACCAAAGTGGGGACTGACTCTCTGGCCTAGGAAATCACAAATAAGATACCATAAATCATTCCCACTAGCAAGCCTTAATTACAGGTACAGTGCCAAGAAGTTAGTGGACTTTGGAAGGTGACCCATCCAGAGTGACCCCCACACACATATTCAGCATCCTGCCTGGAAAGGAATTTTGTGTTACAGCTACAGTAATTAGGAAAATCAATGTGTAAGAGATTGCGTAGTGGGGTGAGTGTGGGCAGGGTAGAAACAGAAACTTCTAGAAGTCAAGGGGAGGAGAGAGAGTGAAGGCCTGAGATTGATTGGTAAGGAGAGAAGACTTCAGAGAAGAGAGAACATGCCCAGAAAGGGAAATGCAAACTCCTCAAAGGCACAGAGGGAATTTTCAATGAACAGGGATAGAAGGTCCGAATAGAGCAATCTTTATGTCTATATGAGGTACACACATTTTTGCATGTGTGTACATATGTATAGAAGCCCGGGGTGGCAGGCGGAATCCACCTTGGTTACCCTCAACCTTAGTTTTTGAGATATGCTCTCACTGAACCTGGAGGTCACTGTTTCAACTAGACTGCTGATCCGTGAACCCCAGGCACCCTCCTCTCCACCTACAGGTAACAGATGCACACCACCTCACCCAGCGTTTTACTTGCGAGTGGGAATCTGAATGCAGGTCCTCTGCTTGTGTGGCAAGCATACTTAACTACACAGCATTTCCTTAGTCCAAGAACCGTGTTTGTTTTTTGTGGGTTTTTTTTTTTTAGATAATGCAGCCCAAGAGATCTTTTTTAAAATGCTAATTGAAGCAGATACACTTCACAGCCTACAGTGGTTCCTGCAGATCAAAGGGGACTCTCTGAAATCTTTGCCTGACAGGTCATGAAGAGATCCCTGGAATCTACCCATCTCTCTCTCAAACTCTGCAGTCATGGCCAGGCATGCTAACACATACCTTTAATATTAGCACTCAAGAGGCTGGGTCAAGGGGATTTCCTGATGCACTGAGCACCTATAGTTCAGAGCCGAGCCAGCCTGGGCTACATAATGCGCTAGAAGGTAGCCTGGACAACATAGCAGGACACGGCCAACATAAAATGAAGGACAGCAATGTTTCCGCTTTCGTAACATGCTGTCCCTCTTTTCTGCCCTGGGCTTATCTGTCCCTCTCTCCTACATCACCCTGCCCAGGGGTCTTTGTGTGCTCACTCCACATTATGTTTAAATATGAGACCACAGAGTGACCACCGTCGCCCTTACACCACCCTCCCACCGCGGCCACACATCCACTCCCCTAACTGTGAGATCTGTAAGTGACTTCTCTCTGTGAGAACAGGACATCCTGCCCGCTCTCCTTTGCCCATCACTCTCTCCCCAGTGCCTACAGCCTCGTGAGCCCTCACTGATAGCTGCACCTTGTTGAGGGCAGCTATTACACGGTTCCCATTACCCTTCTGGCCGGACGGAGCTATTAGCTGTTCCGATTTTTCTACCTAATGCAGCATGTTAAAAAACTGTTGCCTCACCTGTGAACCTATCTGACCCCTGCTGTGCATGTGTCTGCCTTTGTGTCCCAGTACGTATGTGTCTGTGTGTGTCTTTGTGTGTGCATGCATGCGTCTGTGCTTCTGTCTGTCTGTCTGAACTACAGTGTGAGAACATCTGTCTGTGAAGGGAACAGGAAGGAGGGAGGAAGGAAGGAAGGAAAGGAGGGAGGGAGGGAGAGAGAGAGGGAAAGAAAAAATATCCCTATCCCAGAGCTTAGCAAACAGAAAAAAAAAACACAGCAGAATGGTTCAATGATGGCAATTGGAGTTCAGGTTGGCCGGTGAAACACAACTTCACAGCAAAACATTGAGGATTGTCCATCCAGGTTCCCTGGGCACCCAGCCACGCCCTCCTTGTCACCTGCAAAGTCATCCTGTGCAAAATCCCAGATGGGACGGAACCTGGACCCACCTTCTACATACCTACTGACCACATCCTGTCTGTCCCCTATCCTGTCCCCTCCTTTACTGTCCAATCACCTGCAGGGTCAGGAGGCCTGGGGGAAGCGAAAGAGCATCAGCCAGTTCAACTGGTTCAGGCCCTGGGCCTTCCTGTTGGGAACAAGTCCTGGTACAGGGAGGAAAGTGGGTGTTGATTTGAAAGCTTTTCAAAGACTGGGCTTGAGCAACCGGCACCTGTATTAGAGGCCTTGCAGTGCCCCCTGCTGGTTAGTGGCTTCTGCCAATCTCTTCCTGTCGCCAGTGGAAACAATGGTGGTGATTTCTTCGCTCCCAGGAACCAAAGGCTGATGTAAACTAGAGAGAAAAACTGGTCACATGAGATGCTATAACTGACAAGCTCAGCGTCCCAGAGAGGGCAGGATCCTCTTGGGAGTGGGGAGGAGCATCCCAAACCCTAGGAACCCATCGTTAGGCATCCCAAGTGCCCCATCATATCACAAACAGGGCTCCAGGCTTCAAGAAATGACTTCACACTCTCCCCACCCCACATACACACAAAGATATGTGCCCATTTAGCTATTTTTAATAACTGTGGCTATTTGCAGCACAAAGGAGCTCTTAGTTGTGCCAGAAACATCCCTAAATAGCAAGTTCTCTTGGTCTATTCAAGTGTGATTTACATGTGGGGAACTCGAGTTTCTCCCTCCACTGAGACCAGTCGGTTGGCAAGGAAAAAAAAGCAATGTCTGGAGTTGGAGATGAATGTGAGCCTCCATTGGGTGCTGGGAACCAAATCCAGGTCTTCTGCAAGCACAGTCAGTGCTCTTAACCACTGAGGGAGCTCTCCAGCCCCAAGGATTCATTCCTTGGGTTTTTTTAAGTTTTATTTTATTCCATGTGTATGGATGCTTTGTCTTCATGTGTGTCTGTGTACCATGGATGTGCAGTACCCAGAAGAGGGAATCTTATTCCCTTGGAACTGGAGTTACAGGTGGTTGTGAGCTGCCACGAGTGCTGGGAATGAAACCTGGGTCTTCTTGCTGTGATTTTAAAAAGCACATGAGAGAAAGACAACATGTGACCGAGCTCGGGTGGAGGATTTTTTTAATTGGGGGAAAGAGGGGAGGGGAGACCAGCTTCTGGGGGCAAGAGTGGCAGAAGAGAAGAGAGAGGGGGGCAGAGAAGCAAAGAGAAACAGGAAGATGGGAGGTGGGCAGGACCCTTTTAAAAGGCAACATTGTGAGTGTGCACAGGTGGTGCTCTTAGTGGCTGCAGCTGAGGGCCTATCCAGTCAGAACCCCACGGGCAGGCCAGTACAGATGCCTGAATGCTAACACCTCTACAACAACAGCAAGAGCTCTTACCCACAGCGCGATCTCTCCATTCTTGAAGCAGCTGGTTAATGTGAGCCTCCTGGGTTGGAAACACACAAACCCACGCAGGTGGATCAAGTAGACAGATTCTTCCCAGGGCCTTGCACTCTCACACATGGATGCATCTCCTCAGGAGAGGCCCTGAGCCCCTGCAAGGCCTTCTTATACCACGAGATGGGCCTTGCTTGCAAAAGAGAGTAGAGGGTCAGCGAGAGGGCTCGGTGGGTAAAGACACTTGCTGACAACCCTGACAGCCTGAGTTCAATCCCTGAGACTACAGATCAGGAGAGAACCAAGTCCTTTAAGTTGTCCTCTGACTTCCACACGCACACCATGGCAAGCACATGCCACTGTCACCGCCACATGCACATGTGCATGTGCACACACAGACACGTAAAAAGAAATTGAGAGAGCATAGAATTCTATGAGAAGTAAGAAATGGAACTTCATAAACCAGAGACACCCTGTGTGTGGCTAGAGTAAGGTCCCTGAGAAACCCTGGTGGATACTAAGGACAAGGCTAGCAACTAGTTACTCCTGGAAGACTGAAGTCCGTCATTCAGCAAGGACTCTGAAGACATACTATGTGCCAGCCATTGTCATGGAGATAAATGTAAGGCCAAAATAGACAAATTTTCCGTGCCATGGTGTTCCTGTTATCCTAGCATATATCACCAGCCTCAGATGGAAGCAAATGATACCATAACAGGCAAAAGTGAGACAAAAAGAAACAGATACATCTCAGACAAAATAGCAGGTTGTAGCAGGACTCAGAGCTTAAGGGTAAGATGGAACAGAATGGAAAACTGAACTAGGAACACCAGTGAGGTCATGAGAGCTTGGGGGCTGGTCTCAAGAAGAGTGTTGAGATAGAGATGAGCCATCGCATGTGTGATGTCCCTAGTCTGGGACCTGGCTGCTGGCTCTGGTGATGGACAGCTGACTGGAGAGCTTGGGAAAATCTATGTGATGAGTTCTGGGCATGTGTCTCACCAGACCAGAGCCAGGGAACACAGAAACAGGGGGCGTACTGCCAATAGAGACAGACCAGAGGCAAAGGAGGGACAGGGTGGCGGTCTTTGTCCCACGATCCCCCTCGCTCCCTGCAGCCGCTCAACCATCTTCGTGCGTCTCCACACCAATGGGAATCAGGAGCTGCAGTACCAGCCAGGGGACCACCTGGGAGTCTTCCCTGGCAACCACGAGGACCTCGTGAATGCACTCATTGAGCGGCTGGAGGATGCACCGCCTGCCAACCACATGGTGAAGGTGGAGATGCTGGAGGAGAGGAACACGGCTCTGGGTGAGGTTCCCGGCTGACCCGGCTCTGCCCAAGTGGGCAGAACAGCCGCCAAGGCATGGTAGGCCTGTCGGTGAGGGCTTCCGACCACACTCCTGCTGCCTCCTTCCCTCCTTCCTCCCTTCCCTTCCTCCCTCCCCTTCCCCCTTGCTTCTGTTCTTCCTCTGTCTCCCTCCCTTTTTTCTTCCCTCCTTCCCTTCCTTTCTTCATCCTTTTTCTCTTCCTCTTTCCCCTTCTTTCCTTTTCCTATGTAGACCAGGCTGACTTCCAACTTTCCATCCTCCTGCCTCAGCCTCCTAAGTGCTAGAACCACAGACACAAACAGCCATGCCTGGCTTGAAGATCCTTCAAAGCCCATGGGTCTCCAAGCTTTAGGGATAACAAGGAAGAGAATGTGTACACTTCAGTACAAATGAAGTTGCTCTCGCTCTCTCTCTCCTCTCTCTCTCTCTCTCTCTCTCTTGCTCGCTTGCTTGCTCTCCATTGCTTTCATTCCTCTGCCAAGCTCACTGAATGCAGAAGCCATGGACATGGAGAGCCCCGGGGTACAGCGCAGTTAGAGCAAGGTGTGAGGCCTGAATGCTTGTCTTCACACCTGAAAGCTGTGTGACCCAGGGCAGACTCCTCCCTCAACTTCTCTGTGCTTCCTTTTCTGCACCTGGATTTATGGGTGGTGAGGATGGCGTGACTGGAGCCTCGTTCCCACTGTGCCTCCCCAGGTGTCATCAGTAATTGGAAGGATGAACCTCGCCTCCCACCCTGCACCATCTTCCAGGCCTTCAAGTACTACCTGGACATCACCACACCGCCCACACCCCTGCAGCTGCAGCAGTTTGCCTCCCTGGCCACCAGCGAGAAAGAGAAGCAGAGGCTGCTGGTCCTCAGCAAGGTGGGTCCTGGGAGCCCTGCAGGGCCTGGGCTGTGGAAAGCAGAGAATATGCTCTTCCAACTATTTACAGCGGGTGGCAGTCGTGAGCAAGGGGGGCGTGTTCTAATTTGCATATTGTCGCCATATTGGCTCCTCCCCTCTGACTCCTCTGGCCCTATAATAACTCTAAGCACCTTTCTTTGTGATTTTGACCTCTTGGCAGCACCACCTTAACACACACATAGATAAGAGGTAACATGGAAGAAAGTGGGTTTGCAGTCAGGGGTTCGGTTCTGGTGGTGGTAACAATGGTTGTTTCTGGTCCAGAATTGCTACAAAAAAGACCTCTAGAAAAGAGACCTCTGGTAAACAGGTGAACCCCACAGCTTTACCACCCTTACCACCCTTGCCTAAACACGGTGAAGGTGCCTACCCAAGCTGTTCTCTGGCCTTGCTCATTAGGGCACCTAAGGCTGGGGATGTGGCTCAGTGGGTAGAGCTCTTACCTAGCACACAGGAAGCCCTGGGTTTAATCCCCAGTATCATATAAACTAGACTTGGTAGTTCATGCCTCTTATCTCAACAGTTAGGATGTGGAGTCGGGAGGATCCGAAGTTTAAGGTCGTTTTCAACTACTTGGAGAGCTCAGTGTCAGCCTGGAATGCATGAGACACTGTCAAAAGAAAACAAAACAGGCTGGCAAAATGGCTCAGCATGTAAAGGTGTCTGCTGACAACCTGAGTTCAATTCAATACCCAGGATCGCAGGGTGGAAGGAGAGCCTACTCCTGAGAGTTGCCCTCAGAACTCCACTTGTATGTGCATGTGCTCGTGCGCGCGCACACACACACACAGTCATACACACTGACTCACACACACCCTCACAAACACATACAGTGATACACACACTCATATACACAATCACACTGACTCACACACCCTCACAAACATGTACACACACACACACGCACATGTGCACAAGAAATAAAAGACGTACGGTTTTCAATGGAGGGATGTCTAGCAGTCCAGGGCACTGGCTCTCTTGCAGAGGAACAGAGGACCAGGATTTTATTCCCATAAATGCATGGCAGTTCTGACTTCTGGAATCACCAGGCACACTCATGGTACACACACACACACACACACACACACACACACACACACACACTCAGGAAAAACATTCAGACACATAAAATAAATCTAAAATGTAAAAACTACTCAGTGTTTCCAGGAAGGGGGAGGTGTCCCTCCAAGGAAGCAAGCCCCCAGCAGACGCCATTTTTTTTCTGCTATCCAAGAAGGTGGACTGGGTGGTGAGTAGCAGGGAGAGTCTCATTAGCTAGTGCATATTATCGAGAAATGTGAAAATAAACACCAGAAGGCAGCGAGGACTCTGCGGTGGGGGAGCTGGCGACAGATGGCCATGGTAGAACGGGTGGCCGTCACTTTGCATCCTTAGCAGCATTTTATAACTTTTAGAATATGTACAATTTGGACTCGAAACTTGTGATTAATGGTGGTGGGGGTGAGTATGACGAGGGAACATTTTGCATAGTATTCTTTGAGAGAGAACTTCATATAAAGTCCACTTCTTCGGGAAAGCACAGAGTCTCCAAGACAAGATAAATGAGTGGGATTTTATTATTGTTGTCAGAAATACCTGTGAAAGAGAAGATGGCCCGGGACATAGAGGGGGCTAGGAGGGAATGGTCCGACCGCAAAACAAAGCTGACCACCGAGAAGAAGAAAAGGAATGAGGTCGGGTGGAAGGGTCTCCCTTGCAGTGTGGTTTCTGAAAAACACCCACAGTCCTTGCAGGCTCCTAGAGCCCAAGTCATGGTTCCCTTGACATGTGTCGTGAGCTTGAACACCCTGCAGGAATCCATGCCCAGCAGCAGCACAGCTGCCGAATGCCAGTTTCTGGTAACGGTCACTGCCAGGAAAGTCAGTTTAGCCTCCACTGAAGGCCCTTGGTCATGAGACCTCTGATGTTTTGGATTGTGAAAAGTGGCGCTGGAGAGTTTGTTCAGCTGCTCAGAGAACTTGCCGCTCTTCCAGAGGACCCAGGTTTGGTTCCCAGCACCCACATCGGGCAGCTTACAATTATCTGTTAACTCCAGTTCCAGGGGATTTGAGCCCCCAGCCTCTGCCGGCACCTGCACTTGAGTGCACATACTCACATGTAGACACACAGCTGTACTCAATTAAAATGAATAAAAATTAACTTTTCAATGTACAGTGTCCCCCACAGGCTCCTCCTTGGTCCACTGCTGGTGGCACTGTTGGAAAGGCCTGGAACTGTTAGTGGATGTGGCCTCCCTAGAAGTGGGTGGTTAGGGGAGATCCCTGAGGTCTTACAGCCCAGCTCCACATCCCTGTTCCTTCTCTGTTTCATTCCTGCTGCATGTGTGCAGCGCGATGGCCGCCTGCAGACACGTGTTCACCATGATTGGCTGTATCTCCTTGAACTGTAAACCAAAACAAATCCGCCTTCCTTTAGGTTGCTTCTTGTCAGGGATTCCAACACAGCAGGAAGAGAAATGAGTAATGCAGCCTCCAGCAGCTGGAGGCCAGTGAGGCTCAGCGTCGGAAATAGATACCTTTAAAAACACTCTTCTCAGGGCTGAAGAGGCGCAGCAGTTAAAGAACTTGCTGTTCCCGCAGAGCCTGGTTTAGTTCTCAGCATCTACGGCAAGTGACTCATGACTGTCCGTAATTCCAGCTCCAGGGAATCGGATGCCCTCTTCTGGCCTCTGCAAGCACTCATATATACACGCAGATACATGCACACACATGTGAGGGTGGGTGTGCGCGTGTGCGCGCGCACACATACACACACACACACAAACACACAAAATTTTAAAGTAAATCTTTTAAAATATAAAAACTATTCTTACTTCACAGGCCACACAAACATGTGGTGGTCAGGGACCGATGTGCGGGCTAAAGGTTGCCTTCCCTGGTTCAGATACAAAGCCTAGTCCTAGCTTACCAGGACTCTGTGTTTTCATAGCCTCATCTGTGAAATGGGGTGGTGACAAACCACTTCTGTGGGGTGTTTATGGTCCCTAGAGTTCTCTCATCAAAATTAGACTCCCTTGGTTAGAGTTGGTGTGTCACTTAACGGGTGATGGCATTAAGAGATAGAGTAACCAGGGGTGCAGCTTGATGGCTGGAAGCCGCAGTAATGTGCACAAGGCTTTGAATTTTCAGTCACAAGGACTAGTACTGCAGAAGGGAACAGAGAGAGGAGGGAGGGGAAGACAGAAAAGGAAAGGAAAGAAAAAAGAAGGGAGGGAGGGAAGAAGGAAAAAAGAAAAAGAGAGAGAGGGGAGAGAGGGAGAGGGAGAGGCTTTTGCAAGACAATTGAGTTAAGGGTTCTGCCAGATAGATATTTTTATAAAAAGCCAGGAAATATGCTCCCCCCTTATGCCATGTGAGAACATGTCGCTAGTGCCACCAAGATCTACAAAGTAGATTTTCCCCGACAAAAAATCTGCTGGTGCCCAACCACGAACCTCCAGGATGTGAGTGATAAATTGCTACTGAACCAATTAACCAGCCTTGGGTATTTCAGAATAACTATGGCCATCACTGTGACCAACTGCCCACTAATAGGCAACTTAAGGCAAGAAAGACCACAGGGTGCAGTCATCATGACAGGGAAGGTATAGCCGCAGTCACATGAGGCAGCTGTTCACATTGCATCTGCAGTCAGGAAGCTGAGAGGCAACAGGAACTGGACTGGGCTATAAAACCTGAAGGCCCGCCCCCCAGTGACTCACTTCCTCCTGCTGGGCTCCACCTTCCAAGGATTCTACAACTTCCCAAAACAGCACTACCAGCTGAGACTCAAGTGTGCAAGCATGTGACTATGGGGGACAGTTCACACTTGAACCACAACCTTAAGTGTCAATCTATTTCAGAGGCAGAACTGCGTTCCCCCACTGTAGGTACTGAATAGCCTTGGGTCGGTTCGCCTCTCCCCTGGCCTCCCTCCAGGCCCCACTGTCAATCTGGGACCTGGACTCAAGCCCCTCTCTGTCCTCTCTTGCCACAGGGGCTACAGGAATACGAAGAGTGGAAATGGGGCAAGAACCCCACCATGGTGGAGGTGCTGGAGGAGTTCCCGTCCATCCAGATGCCAGCCACGCTGCTCCTCACCCAGCTGTCGCTGCTGCAGCCTCGTTACTATTCCATCAGCTCCTCTCCAGACATGTACCCGGATGAGGTGCACCTCACTGTGGCCATTGTCTCCTATCACACCCGAGGTGGGCATGGGGGAAAAGCACCAGCTGGGAGCTTCTCGCGTGTCTGGAGGTCTCTCCCCGAGCTAACTGCCCGTGGATCAGATCAGGACACTGCCAGCCAAGCCCAGGGAATGGAGTGTGTTCCCATAGCTGAGCTAACCGTGGATATGGTTAGAAATAGGCATGGTGTGTGTTTAGGAGCAGCACCTAGGTTTCCCCTCATCCTGTCCATCTTTCGGGGCAGCACTCATAGTGGCATCATGCAGGCCTGAATGAGGCTAAATAACATAAGCACTGCTGTGATATTTTTCCCTTGTGATCAAGCCACTGAAATGCACAGTGCCTAGAAGCTCTGAGACCCAGATGAACAGGCCATTCAGAGCACCTTGACCCAGGCCCTCAAGTGGGCGGGGTCTGAGTATTCGCATCCAGACCCTGTGCACAGGCATAATCAGCTCACTCTGAGTGTGCTAGCTCCTCCTCCCCTTCAGAAGCAGAGATCCGCCGAGTCTGGAACTCCGAGGCACAACACTTGGCATTGAACTGGGAGGTTCTTCACCAGGGATGAGGGGTGGGGGTGGGGCTGGAAAAGTGAGACAGTGCATGACATGATGAGATGGACCACCTGCTCGTTCCGTTAGATGGGGAAGGACCAATTCACCATGGCGTGTGCTCCTCCTGGCTCAACCGGATACAGGCTGATGATGTAGTCCCCTGCTTCGTGAGAGGGTGAGTAACAGATGACGAGAGGTGCATGGCCATCTCCTATCAGCACCTTGATGCCCTTTATTGGACATTGGATTATATGAAGGTCCCACCTGAAGGGCTTTAGATAGAAGGCAGGTGAGGCAGGGGTAGCACCAATGTCCTGCATCATTTTGAGTTGCTAGGGAGACAGGATAAGGGATACCCAGACAGCTGGGTAATAAATACTTACAGAAGACCAGGGAAAGATGGTCTCAACCTTCATGAACTTTACAGACCAGTGGGCATTCTATCTTTGAAGACGTAACAACCCGAAATGTCTTCAGACATCATCAGATGTCCTTGAGGTGGTAGGCAGAGGGTAAAAGACACACGGGTTGGTTTTCTTCTTTTTATTTACATGTGTGTGTGTGTGATGTGTGAGTGTGAACACAAGACACACACTCGGAGATCACAGCACAAGTTCACTGAATTAGCTCTCCCCTCCCATCTTTATGTGGGTTCCGGGGATCGAACTCAGATCAGCAGGCTTGCACAGCAAGTGTCTGATATGCTGAGCCATCTCAATGGCTCCTCGTTTATATTTTGCTTTGCAGAGATTGGGTTGTACTAAACACCCCCATCAATAGGAGATTTCCCCGCTTGAAGGAGGGTCCCGAGGTGGGACCCTCATGTCATATACAGCTGCTTCCTCGGTGGATGCTCCGCTGCAACACTGGCTTGGCCACCACTCTTGTCTCCTGTGGAGGGTAGAATGTTGGTGGCATGGGACACCACATCAGGGTCTCACAGAGTTGGTCTTAAAACAGGGGTCCTAAGCACAGCCTAACCTCACAGCCTGGGGGATATACATGTGAGCATCTCCAGGTGGCTCCTTTAGACTCTGGTGTCTGCAACCCCTGAGTAAGGAACTCGTGGATGACCAAAGGCTGGTTCTCAAGAGTGGGACAGGACGCTAAAGTCAGGGCCTGGGCCAATGGCTCGGTGGGTAAAGTACCTGCTTCACAGGTGTAAGGATCCAAGCCCAAATCCTTAGCACCCATTGAAAAGCCAGGCAGGGTGACTCATGTCTGTGAGGCAGAGACAGCCCGGTTCACAGAGCTTAGTGGCAGCTAGCCACTGAGTCAGGGAGCTCTGGGTTCCATGGAAAAACCTGGCTCAAAAAATAAAGTGGAGGCCAGGTGGTGGTTGTGCACACCTTTAGTCCCAGAACTCAGGAGGCAGAGGCAGAAGCAGGCAGATCTCTGTGAGTTCGAGACCAGCCTGGTCTACAAAGTGAGTTCCAGGACAGCTGTGGTTGTTACACAGAGAAACCCTGTCTCAAAAAAACAAAAAGAAAATAGAAATTGGTAGAAAGATACCTGATGTTGACCTCTGACCTTCATATGTACACATAAACATACACACATATACTCACACACACAGTTGAATTTTTTTAACTTAAAATTCAATCCAGGGTGATTTCTCCCTCTGTGTACCACTCTGGGGACATTTGATTGTCATAATTCCAGAGTTATTCCTGACATCAAGTTGGTAGGAGCCCAAGGTGTCACTTTGAACTCCCACAATGTATACAATAACTCCCAACAAAGGGGTCCCCATTCCCAAAACCAGAACACAGTCCAGGTTAGCCCAGACTTATTGTCCATGAGACTTAGCCTGACGACAAGAGATAGGGAATGGAAAAAGAGTCAAACCCTAGCAAGCTTACTTTTAAATTGCTCTAGTCTGTGAATTCTCACTCTAAAGGGGGCCCCATGGTCCCACTAAGGAACAGGAAATCTCTCTAAGATGGCTGCCTGGACTACCCGGGCTTTCAACATGGAGCAGTGCAAATGAATCTTCTATCATTTCTGTCCAGCGCCCCTAGCTTCCACCTGCCTCGAAACCCCCAGGTTCCTTGCATCCTGGTTGGCCCAGGCACCGGCATTGCACCCTTCCGAAGCTTCTGGCAACAGCGACAATTTGACATCCAACACAAAGGTACATATGGTCCAGGGGCCACTGACCTCTGACCCAGAGAAAGATAGAGGGCCCCTGCTTTACCTCATTGCCTGAGAAGGGGAGAGGAGGGGGTTGTCGTGCTGATGTGGCCACAGGTGCAGTTTGAACAACCTACCCAAACAGATTGTCCCAGGGGTCTGAAATCTCATCATCAGAGGGCATTTCTTTGACTTGACAGTTGGTCCTAAATATGCCACCAAGGATAGGCACGCATCCTTGTCAAATGGGTTTGTGCATGTAACTGTCCTGTGAACCAACCAAGAACGGGCCTTTCTGTGTGAGATGAAGTTCAGGTTTGGAAAAAAGAGAGAAAAGATCCCCAGTTGCAGACTCATCAAACAAGGCATCCAACAGTATAAGACAGAAGGACAACACAAATACAAATGTAAAACCTAGACAGACTATGGATAGCACTGCCTTTAACCCCAGGACCCAGAGCAGGTAGATCTCTGTGAGTTTCAGGCCAACCTGGTCTACATAGTTCCCAGCCATGGAGGATTAATTGAATGGAAGGGAGGGAGGAAGGGAGGGAGGGAGGGAGGGAGGGAGGGAGGGAGGGAGGGAGGGAGGGAGGGAGGGAGGGAGGGAGGGAGGGAGGGAGGGAGGGAGGGAGGGAGGAAAAGATACATGCTCCACAAAGAACTGTGTTTCCGACAGAACAGTGACCCCAGTAGGTGGTTGGTGTAATTACCATCAGCCCACACACTGGGTTCTGAAGCTGATTGCCCGACTGGACATCAAACAATTGCAGAAAATTGTGGAGTCTGTATTGAACATCTACAGACTTTTCTCCTTAAGCAATGAAGTATAGCAATAATTTTAGAGGGTTTACATTGCATCAGTTGTTATAAGTAGAGAGGTAGCGGAAGGTACGAAGGAAAATATGTAGGAGTTCTAGAAAATACTATGCTATTTTACATAAAGAACTGGGCCATCTGCAGGTTTTCACACCCTGGGGGACCCTGGAATCACCCTTTCCCTTGCATTCTGGAGATTAACTTGTGCTTCCATTTTCACGTGAGGAAACTGAGGCTCTGAGAGAGAAGTGGCTTGCTCAGGGTCGTACAGAGCTGGGACTCAGACCCAGGCCATCAGGCTCCAGTCTGGACTCAGTATTTTCCAATAGTGAGCTGCTAAGGAGTCAGGGACGGGCCTATGGATGGAACGAGAAGAGGAAAGGAATGTCCCCTGTACCTCACAGGCTGTGCTCAGTCTGTGTGCATGGGTGAAAATGTGTGGACGCACCTGTGTGCTTAACCATCTGCCCCATGTGTGTGAGCTGTCCTCTGCATGCTACACCCTGAGGTCCTGGCACCCCTGTTCCTGTGGCTCAACCACTGCCTACTTGGGCACTGAAGCCATTGTGATATGGGCTCTTCTGGTCCCCAGGAATGAATCCCTGCCCCATGGTCCTGGTCTTCGGGTGTCGACAATCTAAGATAGATCACATCTACAGAGAGGAGACCCTGCAAGCCAAGAACAAGGGTGTCTTCAGAGAGCTGTATACTGCCTATTCCCGGGAACCTGACAGGCCAAAGGTAACCCAGCCCATACCGGGCCACACTCAGTGTGCACGAATAAGTATGCTTGTGAATGCCAACACACGCACACACACACACACACACACACACACACAGAGCACCCCATGTTAGCCAGTCTTTATTGCCCACTTGAAACAATCTAAAATTACCCAGGAAGAGGGACTCAAGGAAAAATGTCTGGGCTAGGCTGGCTTGTGGACATGACTGAGGAAGATTTTCTTACTTGGGTAAATCAAGGCATGAAGGCTCGCCCTGGATGTGTGCAAAGCACCATTTCCTTTGGACAGAATGAAAAGCCAGGAGCAAGCTGGGCACTGAACGTCATGCATCCGTCCCTCACTGCCCTGGACTGTGGGCGTGAACGTGACTAGCTGCTTCCCGTTCTTACCACTGGAATGTGCCCGCCATGATGGGCCTGAGCTAAAAATGAACCCTCTCTCCCCTAAGTTGCTTTCATCAGGGTGCTTTCTCACCTTAGGAAACTAAGACACTCCACTTCCGAGTGCCCCCACTCAAACCTGCTCTGTACTCAGAAGGCCTGGATAGGACCGAGACCCTTGAATATATTTAATAACTGTATTATGTGATCTCACTATGTAGCCCAGGCTGGCCTAGAACTCACTCTTTGACCCAACCCAACCTAGAATTTGTAATCCTCCTTGTCTCTACCTCCCAAATGCTGGGATTATAGGTGGATGGTATACTTTAACATGGTATATTCTATGTTGTGTATATTTTTTCAACAATAAAATAACTTTTTATATAGAACCTAGCTGAGCATGGGGACCCATACCTTATAATTCAAGCACTTGGGAGGCAGAGGCAGGAAAATTATGAGTTCAAAGCCAGCCTGAGCTATACAATAAGACCATGCTCAAAAAAATTAAGTTAAAATTAAAAAAGAAGCTCAAAATATATTTATTTTACAGCCCACAAAGAGACAGCACTGACCAGAATAAACACAGGCCACTGGACTGGAGCTCTGACTGCTGGGTTAAGGGGCAGTTTGGAGATCCCAGGCACCAGGCTAGGACCTCTGGCATGTTGAGAAGGGCAGTCAGAGGATATGGAAAGGGGCAGTTTGGTAACTGGGGTGGGGGGAGGGAGGGAGTGGCCATCAGCAGAATGCCAACCTCACATAGGAGTTGTTTCTGGGCCACTAAACAAACTGCAATGGAGCACCTCTGTGCGGCTCACAAGCTCCTAGCCTGCCCTTACTTCCACCGTTGCTGTAACAGCCAGCTTATTGGGGAAGTGGGGGAGGGTGGAGGCTGGCAGCCCCTTCCTCCCTGGCTTTCTGCCCTGAGTTTCTCTGACCCAACGGTAACCACCACCCCTTGGGGGAAAAGGAGAAGGTAGCTAAGACCCTTTGTGTTTCGGTTACTTGTCTCCCGGCTATGACAAGATACGTGACTAAAACAACTTAAATAAGGGAGGTTTTGTGTGAGCTCCCAGTTAGGGGATACAGGCTACAGTCCATGGTGGCGAGGAGGGCATCTCCGCAGGAACCTGACCCACGCAGCCACATTTGCATCTGCAGAGCAGAGAGGTGAATACTAGTGCTCGGGTTACCTCTTTTTTTTATTTAGTCCAGGCACAGCCTATGGAATGGTGCCGCCCATACTCAGGGGAGACACGCCCACCCTCATTAACCCAGTCTAGAGACTCCCTCACAGACACACCCAAAGGTTCGTCTCCCAGGAGAGTCTAGGTTTTATCAAGTTGACAGTCAAGATGAACCATACATGCTGGGGGGGTCCCCCTGGAGGTGACTTAGGGAGCACCCCCCCCTCGGCTCCCCAGAGGGTCCTCAGCAGACCAGCTTGAGCTGCCTGAGCTGCCCTCACACACAGTGCTTTGGTCCCTTGTTGTACTCTTTCTGGTCCCTAGTCCCATTCCCCTGAGGTCACCTCACAAAATATCGCCCTACCCACAAGCCCCCACATCCCACTCTGCTTCCTTTGGGACTGGGACACCGAGCCTCTCACAGCGACCCCTTCTTCTGCAGAAATATGTGCAGGATGTGCTGCAGGAGCAGCTGGCTGAGCCTGTGTACCGTGCCCTGAAGGAGCAGGGAGGCCACGTTTACGTCTGTGGGGATGTCACCATGGCTGCTGATGTCCTCAAAGCCATCCAGCGCATAATGACCCAACAGGGGAAGCTCTCCGAGGAAGATGCTGGTGTATTCATCAGCAGACTGAGGGTGAGTGACAGCCGGCAAGCAGGAGTTTCCCCCTCACCTAATCTGTGCCCATGATTCAGGGAGCTCTTTGTGTCCTTGTGGACCGGGGTCGGACCTGGCCATGGCTGGGAGGAGATGAACAGCCAGGCATTCAGGTACACACACACAGTCAGTGTGGTTTTAAGCTCTAGTACACAAAAATGGCAAGTGTGTAAGCCGGTGGGTAGTTATACAGATGCCATCCTGTCTCAACGCTTCCTGACCCCCCCCCAAGCCAGGCTGCCCCTCAGACCCGTACAGTTGCGTATTGTTGGCATGAAACAAAATGGCTCATCCAAAGGGGACAGGCGGAAACTGGAGGCCCAGACTCTTGATCTCTAAACTGTGTCCCCCAAGTGGAGTATGACCGTCCTAAAGGAAGTGCCTTTTCTCTCTTTTTTTTAAAGATATATTTATTTTGTATGCAATGTTCTGTCTGCATGTATCCCTGCAGGTCAACCAGATCTCATTACAGATGGTCATGAGCCATCATGTGGTTGCCGGGAATTGAACTTAGGGTGTCTGGGAGACCAGCTAGTGTTCTTAACGACTGAGCCATCACTCCAGCCCCCCAAAGGGACCTTTTCTTAGTGTATCCAAAGGCTCAGTTACAGCTATGACATTTTCCCCAGCAGAGTCCCAACTATATGACCACCACCGCACAAGTGGAAATTGAATCCCAGAGGTGGCCCCATCCCGCCAATGATTTCTTAAATGAGAAACAATCAAGTTTTGGGGGCAGGGGGAGCAGAGCATGCCATGGTACACATGTAGAAGTTAGAGCACGCCTTTCAGAGTATTTTTTCCTCCTGTCACGTGAGTCCTAGGGATTCAACTCACATATTCAGGCTTTGTGGAAAGTTCCTTTACCTGCTGAGCCCAGCAGTAACCACACATTCTTACAGAAGCTCTTCTCCTAAACTTCATTCTCAAGCCCAGCGAGGGGAAAGAGATTTCTGCTAGAAATTGCCCAGCAACGGTGGAAATGGCTCAGCAGGCACAGTGCGTGCTGTACAAGCTTTAAGACCTAGGTTCAAATCCCCAGCACTCATGTAACTGCCAGATGGGCATGACAGCCTGCCTGTGGCCCCAGCACACACAGAAGGCAGAGCTAGGGGACTTCCAGAGCAAGCTGGCTATGAGACTAGATGGATCAGTGAGCTGTAAGTTCAAATGAGAGACCCTGCCTCAGTCATAAAGTGGAGCATGATGGAGAGAGACATCCTCCGGACTCCATATGTGTACACCCACATATGTACCCACATTGATAAACTTACAGGGGGAGGCATGCTAGGTAGAAGGGATGCTGTGGGACCTGCCACTCCCTTGGTGTCTTTGACACAGTTCCCTGGGAACACTTGCATAGCTTCCCAGGAGCTTTGCAGACTAGGGCAGAGAAACCTCCCCTACTGGAAATGAACCACTCTGCTGCAGAAGCAGGGTGCTGGAACTGAGTATATCACAGACCCTGAGTATATCATAGACCCTGCCAAGCAAGCCAAGCTCCTAGCCACTGCCCTCATCAGCATTGAGATCAATCTCTCCTTCTAATCACAAAGATGTCAGTCTTAAAGGATATTCTTCTTGGGGCTGGAGAGATAGCTCAGTGGTCAAGAGCACTGGCTGTTCTTCCAGAGAACCTGGGTTCAATTCCCAATGCCCACATGGTGGTTCACAAATGTCTGTAACTCCAGTTCCAGGAGATCTGACTGGCACCTGCACTCCAATGCACATAAAATAAAATTAAATACGTTTTTTAAAAGGAATGTTCTTCCTAACTGCCCAGCCCTCCCTCTCTTCTGCAAGGAAGTTCCCAACACTTCTGAATCTGCCCCCGCCCCCAACCCTACTTTCTCTCTCCTAGGATCTTGTGCACGCTAGGGAAGTGCTGTACCCCTTAGCTGTATCCCCCAAAGCTACTGTCTTTTTCCTCTCCCATCTGCTGATACCGATAACCTGGAGCATTTCATACTTAATTCAGCCTTGCTGGGACCTGAACTTTCAGAGGAGAGTTTAAAGGAGGAGACAAAAAAAAACTTGAGGCTTCCTTCAGGCCTCGTTGGTTCTTCTATGCTTAGAATCCTCAAGGCAGCCACCCTTTTTCCAAATGCTCACCCCATAGATGCTTTGCTGCCCAGCCTCAAGAGGCACAAAATAGCAGAGAACCACACAGCCTTAGGGACCAAAGATACCCCAGGACCTTCAGCTGTAGTAGTGAACCCCACAAAGCTATCCGCCCTGAGTGAACCCCACAAAGTTCAGCTCAGCCTTTGTCTTGTCTGGGTATATGCTATTCCACATATCACTCCGGTTGTCCCTCTCCAATCCCTTCCTGCCATTTGATCCATCCCCTGGCTGTTCCTGTCAATAGGATGACAACCGGTACCATGAGGACATCTTTGGAGTCACCCTGCGAACATATGAAGTGACCAACCGCCTTAGATCTGAGTCCATTGCCTTCATTGAAGAGAGCAAAAAAGACACAGATGAGTAAGTCCTCCCCGGCCCCAGGGAGAGGGGCTGCAGCTGGGAGTTGCCTGGTTTTCCCGTGGTGGGGGTCCCCAGACCAAAATGCATGGCTGCGATCCTGCTGCTACCTGGGCAAATGGTTGCCCATTTGAGGTCAGCTTGAGCTACACATGGAGACTTCCTCTCAATAAAAGGGCACACATTCCAAGGTGACATCAGTCCTGCTGAATCTCACATTCAAACGTTAGGGTACAGTGGTTAGCAAGCCCTCTGGAGATGCCAAGGATCCAGGGCGGTGTCATAGTCCTGCTCTGGGTATGGACTCCTGTCTAGGGCGCCCCCTAGTGGAACAATGGTCTCTCCACCAACTATTAACTCTTGTTGCTCACCACCACCTACCACCCCCATTCCAGAAGTCACTGGGGACATTTCTCATGGGTGCAAAATAAGCAGACAGTATCTTGACAATTCCACTCAGCCTCTCTAGAAGTGGCTGGAAACAGCCTGAAGCATCGTGAGAGTGGGATGGAGTCTCACTATTTAAACCTCGCCTCCCAGGGTGCAGCAAGATGCTGATGCCCTCCTCATCCCTTCCCCTGCCCCTCAGTCCCATTCCCTCAAAGCAGGTGGGACGCCACTATCAGAGGAAGGCTCTGTTTCCTGAGCCTCCTCACTGTTTCTCCTTCAGGCGGCTCTGATATCTCCGCACGTTCTCTGTTCGCTCAGCTTACGCCACTGTTGCGTGTGCACACTTTCTTATCTGTGTGTCAGGTGCTTGCAGAGGCCAGAAGGTAGTGTTGTTTGGACCTGGAGTTAGAGGCAATTGTGAGCTGCCACACATAGGTGCTGGGACCCGAACTGGGTTCTCTGGAAGAACAACAAGTACTTTTTAACCACTAGGACATCTCTCCCGCCCCTTCAGGTCTGTTTATTGTTTGTTTGGGGTTTGCTTTTTGAGACAGTCTTGTAGCCCAGGCTAGCCTGAACTTGCTCTCTTACTGCCTCTGCCTCACAAGTGCTAGGATCACAGGTGCACCAATGTCACACCCAGGTCACCTGCAGGAAGCTAAGGATCCTGGCTTCCAAGTCACTAACACCCTCCCTCTCTCATCCACCAGGGTTTTCAGCTCCTAACTGGATCCTCCTGCCCATGGGATGGTGGGGTGGCCGCCCCAAGTGCCCAAGCTCGGGCGGCTGCAGGTTGACTAAACGTGGACACGCACGGCTGAACCTTCCCCGAAGGACCCCATGTGACCCACCCTGCCTTTTGTCCTGTTGCTGTGTCCTGGTCTGTCCTTCCCCACGGGGCTCTCTTGCCCCCGGCCCTGGGTTTTCCCCTTGACTCTCGAGCCGCAGTGCTTGTACCCTTCAGTGGCTCTTACAAAACCGCATCCTCCCTACCCCCTTGCTGCCAAGGGCAGGTTGCAGCGCATGAAACCTCTGGGTCATGGCTGTCCCTCCTGTTGGGGTCTGAAGGCAGCTGGCACCGGGCTTCAGAGTCACCCTGAGCCAGTCCCCTTGACCACGTCAGCCCCTCCCATCCTTTTTTATGGGATGTGTGTGTGTGTATGTGTTTGTGTGAGGGGAGGGGCTAGGTCGCTCACTCTCTGTCCTCTTGCCGGAGTCCACCGCCTGATGTTCAGAGCCTTGAAACGTGTTCCTAGCTATTGTTAATCTCTCCCATGCCCATCATGGCAGGTCCGTGTCAGCCTCTCTGAAACACATTAAGCCCCCTTACCAATCTAGGTGACTCAATCACAGCAGAAGACAGGTGGGTGATGAAGAGGAAGGTGTCTCTGAGAAGGAGCCAGCCATAGCGTCTGACCCCATCAACAGAGGTCTATCTGGGAAATTTACCCAGACCATGGATTGGGCAAGCCCCCCCCCCCATACCCGCCTGCCCCATCTGGGCCACTAGATTTTGAGCCCCGCCCCCCCCACCATGGGCCTAGCCACCATGTTGTGCAGGGAAGCATGCTGGGAGTAAGGACTTTGTCACCAAGGAATACTGTTTGGGTAATCCTGTCCCTATTAAATGAATGGATGGGCCTCCTTTAGTGTTTCAGAGCCTGGGAGCAAGTATCAAGGAGGAGGAAGTCAGCTGCCTCTTATTCCTCCAAATGGGCTCGCCTCCTGCTTGAGCCTAATTCCCTCCCCCACCCCTACCCCCCACTGTAAAGCAAGCAGCATAGGCAACAGTGAGAGTTCTCGCCAGGGGAGGTTGGCAACCATCTTCTGAGTCAGCAGAGTGACCCCTTATCTGAATGAGTAAATAAATAAAGGCTACATCACACAGCACTGACAGTCAAGAAACCCCCATGACTCCCAGCTCAAGAGGTCAGCTCTGAGTCCCATATTCTGTGCTCCTGTTTGGCTTTGTGAGGCAGAAAAAAAATTCCTCTATGTCCTGAGCCAGGGCCTGGCTTTCCTGATGATAAGTATGGGGGCTTCTAAACAAAGTGCCAAGGGCTTTACAGTTATGGAACCCAAACCCTAAGGACTTCCTTCCTTCCTTCCTCCCTCCCTCCCTCCGTCCCTCCCTCCCTTCCATTCTTTCTTCATTCTTTCCTCCCCCACCCCACCCCAACAGGGTCTCCTGTTGCCCAGGCTGGCTTTGAACTCATGATCTTGAATTCCAAATCCTCTTGCCTCTACCTCCCTAGTGATAGAATTACAGGCATGCACTACCACATCCAGTTTATGCTCTGCTAGGGAGTCAAACCCGAGACCTCCTGCACACCAGGTAACCCCTCTACCAATCAAGCTACATCCCCGTCCTCAATCCTCAACCTCAAGTTCAGAGACAAGTCTCATGTTGCACTGGACACTCCACAGTGTCCCATCATTAGCAGGTGGACTTTGTCCCAGTTACCACCTCACCCGACATCCTTTAGTAGCAATGTTCCCTACTCGGTCTCCCACGACTGTAGACTAAGACCCTGTACATCACTGCTACCTTCTGTAGCCTGGAGGCAAGGCAGGTACTGTCCCTCCCACCCAATTCCCAGCACTTTCTCCCCAGAGACTTTCTTCTCAGTCCTTCAAGCCTCTACGGACACTTCCTAAAATGTAGCCATTTCCCCAGATCCAAAAGGCTGTGCCCAACCTCCATCGAAGAGCCGTCTCTCTACACGCCAAGCTGCATGCATGCATGAGTGATTTTTCCACCTCTGAATAAGGAGTGCTAACTATGTGGCAGGCTCCTCCCCACCCCCACCCGTGTATCCCGGTGCTCCCAGTAGCAGGTGGACAGATGGAACCTTCCTGTCACTTGCCAGAGACTCCAAAGACATGATTACATAACCAGGTTCAAGAGGGACTTTGGTTTTTCAGTGCTAGAGATGAAACCCAGAGCTCACATGTGCAGACTGAGCTAAATCCCCAACCCCCAAGAGAGAAGGTTTTAAAAAAAGACCTTTGAACTCTTAACACAGGCAGCTTCCTTAGCTCCTGACTAGAAGGCCAGGGACTGGCTGGATGCCCTTCTCTCCTTTTCTAAAAGGTGGCCTTAAGTTGCTTATCCAAAGGTTGAGCAAGGTGAGCATCTGGGGTGGGTCAATACTGCCCTCTGCTGGTGGTTTTTAGCTCAGGCCCACAGCCTGCAACAGTGCAACCTACAACTTAGACTAAGAGAGCAGAGCAGGTGAGCATTTTCTGATCTCACCTTCTACGTTGGCAGTAGCTCCAACCCCTCTCCACAAAATCGGGTTAGACCAGGAGGAAGAGGATGACGCCTCAAATCAGGAGGGTTGGAGACAGGCTCCCTGCCATCCCTGTGACACCTGTCCCCAAGAAGTTCAACCTGTGGGAGGGAAGAGGGTTCCCTGCATGTCCTTGGAGAAGGAAACAGGTGACTTTGGGGATAAGTGCATAGATCTCCCTATGACATTTCATAAGCTGACCTGACCCACATGCTAATTCTGCCTTGTCTATGCAGAAGGCCTGGCCCCTTGGCATTTCTGAGAACCCAGATTCTACCTGAGTGGGTAGCTTTAATGAGATAATGCTCCATGGCAGTGCCAACTCCGGCTCTAACGGGCTTCCATTTTCCCCCTTACAACTGGTGGACGGCAGCTTTCCGACATCAAGAGTATGGTCATCACTAGCTTGAGCGAGGGGAGGGGAAGGCAGATTCTTAAAATGCATCAGCAATACTTGCTACTGTCTGTCTTAGAGAGTAAAGACAGGGTAGAGAGATGCTGACTCCCCGTAGGCAAGAAAGTCAGGGCTCAGGACAAAAGAAGAAAGCTGAAACAGCCAGAACACACGGGACCAAGGGTATGGATTTCTCAGGCAAAGACCTGCTTCGGGATACAAGAGCTCAGATTTCCAAGTCTGGGGCAAAATAGAACAGTTCCAACCCTGATGTCTGAGTCCCCTGTGCCTGCAGCATCACACACACACACACACACACACACACACACACAGGAAAGCTCTGGGCTTTTAGGTTGAGTTCAGCCAAGGTTTTCTTATAGTTTCCTCATTCTTGTGTTCTGCCTCCTCAGGACCCAACCTTGAGAGGTCCAGGCTGGCCCTGCTTTTTCTATTTTCTCATTCACTGCCAGACCCCACCGAGAGAAAGGCACCCAAGAGGACACATTGACCATGCTGTGTCTTGAGTGTGAGGATTCAGGGGACCCCCAGGCATCTGTTTTCTATTACAAGTTGGACATGTTAATCCCCAAAGCCAAAATGCTCCGAAACCTAAAATACTTGGAGAACGAGTGAACAAATGCTTTAGTTCATCCACAAAATGATTTAAAAGAATGGGTAGCCTGGGTGTGAACTCGAGGGTAGAGTTTGCCTAGCATGCAGAGTCCTCGATTCCGTCCCAGCACCATAAATAAATTGCTTCAGGCTATGTGTGTAGAGTATATGTATGAAACATAAATGGATTTAATGTTTAGAGGTGGGGCCCCTCTACCAAATATTCCATTATGAATATGCAAATATTATGAAATTTTTTGAGAAATCCAAAATCAGAAATACTTCTTGTTGCAAGTATTTCAGCAAAGTACAGTCAACCTATCCGAGGCAAGGGAGATGGAGATACATACCTCGCTGTGTGTATGAGTCTGTTTTGGTTCTGACACATCTGAGTGTTTCTGGATAACCAGGTATCTCTGACCCAAGGCAGTTGGTTCCTAACGAAGTGTCCCTAGAAGGCAGAAGCAAGGGTGACTTTATGAACTGAGAACCTCTGTCAGGACATGGAAGTGGCCAGGTTTGATCATGACCTCTAAGAAATTCTAGCCAGGAGCCCGCTAACCTCGGCCTTCCTGTTTGGAGCTGAATGAGTCTTCATAGCATGGGCTGTCTTGGGTATTATAGGATGCTGAACACCAACTGTGACCTTTCCTACTAAATGCCCCTAGCAGCCTCCTGCCACCTGTGACAGCCACAAAGGTGACTAGAAAGTACTGAGTACCCCTGAGAGGCCAGGACCTTCAGCCATTGGACCTTTTGGGTCCCGGGGACCATGGTACTGTCTACCTGCTACTTCTGATTACAAATCTGCCTTGGTCCAATGGTTGCTTCTCTAACCTGCCTCAAACTGAGGCCCAAAAGCCTTGTGGACGATGATATGCAGTCTCAAGTCTCCCAAGCTAGAGGGTAGTTCAACATTTTAAGACAAATGGCACTGTGGGGGCCATCTCCCAAGCTGGGTCTGAGGCTATCCCCTGTCCCCATCCCCCATTGTGCCCCGAGCTCTGTCTCCCCACTTTTGTCGTTGTGTTGTCCTTGTGACCGTATGACCCACTCCAGGCTCAGCAATTGCTTGCCGCCGGAAGTCCCACGTCCCACATGGGATCAGGTTACACCCAGAATGTTCACTGTGGGGTTCTAGGGAGTGGTGGTGGGTGTGGGCAGAGCCCGGGTTCCGTCTCACCACACACAAGCTGTCAGAAACTCGGATGCCCGCACCCACCTCTGACGTCTCTATGCTGCTAATCTCTGCCAAGTGTCCCGTGTGCTCCAGCACTGCCACCTGCCCCCACGCCCTCCTCGAGGCTGTCCAGGCTGTGTTCTTGCATGCTTCTCTTCAATATAATCCTCACCTTCTCATTTTATGGGATTCAACTCAAAGGCTACTTATGCTTGTTTGCATTATGGTTAAACTATTAAAAAAAAAGTGGACTGACTCGGCTGGCTGGTGTCGTTTGTCAAATTGGGTTGGAATGTCACACGTCCCCTACCACAGTCATGGGTTGGGCATCCAGGAAGTACCTATTGAGACTAGAGGAAGCTGACAAGGGAGGACTGTTAGGAAAAAGGAGTCTCTTGGGTGTCCTGATTTGGGGCCAGAAGACTAGATTTTATCCATCAGTCCCTCTTTGGCCATTGCACTCCAGCCAGTTGACCCCTGGGGACACTCCTGGATGCTAGCAGGATTGGGGGAGGGACTAGGTCTCCATTCACCTACCCTCATTTACAACACTCCTCCCCCTTATCACCCCTTGGAGGGGCCCCAGAGAGACAGACCCATCACTTAGTGGTTCCTCCAATATATCAGCCCTGAAAACCCCAGAACTCAAACCTAGCTGGTTTCAGGCCCAGCTCTACAGAAAAAGATTTCCAGAGTCTGGAAAGGGGCCTCGGTGGTTAAGAGCACTAGCTCAGGTTCAGTTCCCAGCACCCGAATGGTGGCTCACAGCCATCTGTAACTCCAGTTCCAGGGGATTTAGTGCTGCCCACACTTACAGTGGGTCTTTACAACTCAGCTGTGACTTGAAATCCCATCAAATCAAGGATTGATATTAACCCATCACCCCCTATTTTTCTAGAGTCTGCACCCCTCTGTCCTTCCCATCGGCACAGCTGCTTGACAGCACTCTCTGTGTATATTGATACGGTTTCTCAGCCTTTTATTAGTTACCTAGCGCCACCGAAATGCTGAGTTACAAGCAGCCTTAAATCTCCTTGTAAACTGTCACACCACTGCAGCAAAGGTTGGAGAGGGAGGCTCTGAGCCCAGTGTTGTGCCAGACAAACTCCAAGGCAAACTTTAGGAGTTCAGGTGGGCCTGCGCGTAAAAGATCGGCACCGCCGGGCTTGCTAACTGACTTTCCCTCATACAAGGAGGGGCTGGGGAGAGTCATGGGACCCTCACCTGAGTAGGCAGCCGCCCCTCCCAACCAGCTGTAGGCAATTCTGAGCCAACTGGAAGCAGCCTGAGTGTGGGGCGGGGCTAGAGTGGAGGGTTCCATCTCTGCAGGTGTAAGGACTTCATGGCCCGCCCGTGCTGGGTGCCAGGTATAAGCCGCTCGACTGCTTTGAGGTTACCTGCGCTCCTGGCCGCAACCCCTCACCCCACTGATCTGTAAGTCAGCCTAAAAAAACTCCAGTGGAGTAGAACTTTGGTTTGTCTTTGGGCCCATGGGGGAGGAGGCAGCTGTTATTTAGTTCCCACCCCTAGGGAGATAATTCTCGCGACACCCAAGGCTGTGAGTGCCGTCTACAAACTGGGAAAGACAGCTCTCATCCCAACACTCCGGAAGAAGCATGGTTTGTCGCTACCCATTTTTTGGTCTGTAAGTCTGACTATGGACTTCCGGCTTCCAGAGCTCGGTAATCAGTTTGTAGGAATTTTTTGTTTGTTTCTTTGCTTTTTGATTTTTGTTTTGTTTTTTGTTTTGTTTTTCGAGACAGGGTTAGAGATAAGGTATCTTGTCATGGCCCTGACTGTCCTGGAACTCACTCTGTAGACCAGGCTGGCCTGGAACTCACAAAGGTCTGCTGCCTACCTCTGCCTCCTGAGTGCTAGGAGTAAAGGCTTGCACCACCACTGCCCAGCTGCTTTATGTTGTTTTAAGTCTCTAAGTCAGGGCTAATTTTCTAAAGCATCGTTGGTAGGAATCTAAAAGGCTAGAGATGTAGTTTGGTGACGCAATGCATGGCGAGAAGGTCCTGGACTTCTTAGTTAAGACCTGAAAGAGAATGGAGGGGGAGAGAAAGGGAGGGAAGGAGGCAGGAGACTGGGTTAGTCTGTTACTGTATAAGTATTTCCTTGCCTTCTCTGGCTTCTGGAAGCTTCCTAAATCCCTTGGCCTATGGCCCAGCTTCACTCAAGACCATGTTTCTCAACTCCAGCTATTCTCTGACCTTTGCCCTCCCTTCCCCTCCTCCTGAAGGCCTGTATAATGACACCAGATCGATCACTCAGTAAAACTTCCAAAACTTCTGGGCTTCAGCACACCTGAGAAATTCCTTTCACCGTTACAAAACCATTACCATTCATCAGCGTCTGGCAATCGGCACAAGGGCATGTTTGGAGACTACTATCCTGTCTGCCACAGCCCTGCCTTGACTCCCAAAGACTCTAAATCCTCCTCATATGCAAAACCACATCCAGACTGGCTACCTGTGGGGCTCATCCATTCAACCAGAATCCAGTGAGGAGACACTAGTCGGCAGCAAAGCTCACCTTCTAGGGGAAGAGGGAGCAAAAATAATGAAGACTGACGGGACAGTGAAACAGGATGGTGGGGGAAGGTGACTTCAGGGACACTCAAAGAAGGTGAGAGAGGGTCAGACAAGCCATGAGGGGAAAGTGAGGCTGACTGGACCCAACCATGTATCTCTCTAAATCCAGAGAGACCCTCACATACCCCAGCAGAGCATATGGCCAACTTTTAAAAAGATTTTCATCTTAATTATGTGTGTACATGGTATTGTACAGGACTATCCTGGGAGTCAAACAGCCACCATCGACATGAATTCAGCTGGGCCCTCTTACCAGAAGTCCTCCCAGGTGGCTTGCTGACTGTTGACCATCGGTCACAGGGAAAACAGGGTTGTCTGGGACTCACACTTTTAGCCATTCCTCCCAACCAAGTGTATTCAATTTTGCCCTAAATGCAGGTGGGTAGTCTGAGCAGGGAACTAAAGTATAAGCTAGGGAGCCTAGGGAAGAGGCTCCATCTACACGGCCATGGGGACATCATCAGCCATATTGGGTACACACCCTCCAGTGAGACTACTCTAAACCTGCTCAGGCTCCATCCCATTATGCCTTGCTTTACTCTGTCGGTAAGTCTCAAACCCATTGCTTCCCCATTTGGTGGAATCATGCCTCAGTTTGTCATTGGGACCTTAGGAGGAGGGGGTCCATGATGCTTGTGTCTCCCCAAGGGGGGGATTTTAGCAACAGTGTATGTGTGTGTGCACAAGTGCCCACAGAGGTCCGAAGAGGCCATCAGATCCCACAGTGCTGGAGTTCCAGGTGGTTGTGAGTCTTCTGACATGGGTGCTGGGAACCAAACTCAGAGATCCTTTGCCAGAGCAATATGTGCTCTTAACCTCTGAGTCATCACTCCAGCCCTTCTATTGATTTTTTTTGATAGCTGGCACAGTCTTGTCCACAGAGTCAGTGCTCTTAACTGCTGAGTCATCTCTCTGGCTTCTCTTTCTTTCATTTTAACCATGGGTTCTGGGACTCAGACAGACACAAGTCCTTATACTTGCAAGCATTTTACCCAGCGAGCTGTCTCCCCAGTCCCTTCAAACCTTGCTCTCAATTTTTTGTTTGTTTTATTTTTGTCTTTTTAAGACAAAACATCACTAGACAGTCCAGGATGGCCTCCAACTTACAAGCCTGTATCTCAGCCTCCAAACTCCTGGGATTACAGGGTGTGATACCTCGACTGGCTTCAGTATCTGAGCCTCGATGAATAGTAGCCCTGCTTGCCTTTGCATGAGCATCTCACAGGAAGGGATTCGTGCAGCATGGAGCTAATGAAGAATGAGACTGCACTGGGGAATGTCCCGTGCAAAGCCCCTTTCTCCTTCATGGGAAGCACTCACCAACCCCTCCATGAGTATTTCTTTTCTTAGAGGAGACTACCAAACAGGACAAGTCCCAGGGTCTGCCTGTGCCAGTGGGAGAATTTAGCAGTCACAGTCCATTCTATGGGGTCCAGAGAGTGATCTGTGGTTTTTATTTAAGTATATGGGTATTTTGTCTGCATATATATCTGCACACCAGAAGGAGGGCATTGGAGCCCATAGTACTACATCCATAGACAGTTGTGAGCCACCATGTGGGTGCCAGGAATTGACCCCAAGTCTTCTGGAAGAGCAGCCAGTGCTCCTAACCACTGAGCAATCTTTCCAGTGAAAATTGATTGGTTGATTGATTATGTACTGGGGCTGTGATTTGGGTTTCAAATGGATGAGCTGATGAGGTAGACGGCCAAAATAAAAGAATAATGAGAGGGAGGAACAAAATATCAGATCAGGCACTCAAAACATCAAACCTACCCAGGTGTGGTGGTGCACGCCTTTAATCACAGCACTCGGGAGGCAGAGGCAGAGGCAGATGAATCTCAGTGGGTTTAAGGTCAGCCTGGGCTACAGACCGAGTTCCAGGACGGGCTTCAAACCTACACAGAGAGAAACCCTGCCTTGAAAAAACAGAAACAAAACAAAACAAAAAAATCAAGCCAACATTAGCTGGGGAAGTCAAAGCTGTGAGCCTGAGTACCTGTTGGAACTTCATTTCCATAGCCAAGCTTCCAACCTCTCTCCATTGCAGGCATTTTTATATCGTTAGATAAATGATAGTAACCTCTGTGTGAAGTGCTTTGCCTTCTAGCGTGGCCTCAAGAGCACAGTGTTGTTACTCTCGGCCTGCTTTGCTGTTCTTTCTCCTCCCCGTCACTGAGTTAGGGAGGGTGAGCGCATTTGGGAGGATACTGGACAAAGACATGCTTGAAGTAGAGGAGGGGACCCTGCTTCCAGAGTCAGCTTTCTCAGTGGCCTCAAACAGCACACGTCAGCTTACCAACATAGCATCCTTCACGCAGATGCACAGGGCAGGGGCCTGTGAGGCGGCGGAAGGGCTCATCCAGGTTGAGAACGTGGTTCCTGCACTCCAGGCAGGCTCTGCTGGAAAACAGAATTGTCAGCAAAGGTCCCAGGCAGGAGAGAAGCTGCACCCAGAAAAGAAAGGGGGTGTGCATGTGCATGTGTGGGTGCAATTGTCTCTCAGTATGAGGGAAGAGGTGGCAGGGAAGGCTCCCTGAGACACCCCAAGTCTATGGTTTCTCATGAAACAGAGGAAAACATCCCGATATGCACCCAAGCTCTGTGGACTATGCAGTCTCTTGCTTTTATTTAACTTTAAAAGCCACTGGGTTTAGAGGTCACACAGCTAAACTATGTGTTTTTAGTCTCCCCGACTGGCTCTTCTCACAGCAACAGCTCAGATAACGGTTGTTTAGGTGACTTTTCAAAGATGGGAAAGCCGCTATCTTCAAAAATCGCTGACTCCTATTTGGAGCCAAGCCCTCAAAACTCACTGATGCTCAGCATTTTGACCAGTCACAAGTCCCCATTTTGACTATCTACTGTGCACCGCCAAAAGAGGCCAAAAGCTTCATAGTTTATGATATGAACATAAACGTTTAGAAGGTGGTTTAACCACATGTCCGTTTGACAAAACATTGCTGGTAGATTTCCCCAACCTAGGGCCTCCCAGGCATAGGCAGCTTTTGGCCAGTTCTATGGTGTCAGAAATGTATTCCCTCCTGTAAAGAGAAATCTTCCCGCCAGCCTGGTTCCAGAGCCGCATCAGTCCCAAATAAACACACAGGAGGCGATATTAATTATGAAGCTGTTGGCCTTGCTTGTTTCTTACTGGCTAGCTCTGACTTAAGTATTTATCCCATAATTGCTAATCTAAGTATTTCTCTTATCAGAGAGGATTCCGGGCTTCCTACCCCATGGCGTTACATCTTGACTCTCTGTTTCTCCTTCCCAGAGTCCTCCTGGACTCCTAGTCCCACCTATCTTGATTCCCTATTGGCCAACAGTGCTTTATTGACATATACACAGGTCTTCCCCAACACCCTCCCATGAAAGAGGCCTCAAATCCAGCTGGGAACCGAGGGTGAAGAGGAGTACCATGGGATACTGTCTTCTGGATGGGACATGGTCACTGCAATCATGAACACAGCAATTGTGACTGCCTTCGTGGGGCTTGGAGGAGAAAAGGAAAGCAGTCGAGGGCATGAGGGTAGGGAAAGGAAGGGAAGGGTAGGGTAGGGTAGGGCAAGAAAGAGTAGGGTAGAGTAGGGTAGGGAAGGGACAAGACTACTTGGTAAGAAGGGGTCAGAAAGAGTGAGAGGAGCTAGTTGGGGGTGAACATGATCACTGTGCCTCCTATACAAGTATAAACTGTCCAAAATGTTTAAGCTTTATTTAAGTATGTGTGTAAGAGGTGTTGGGTGGGTGGGTGGGTATGAGCCTGTGAGTGCAGGTACTTGAGGAGGCCAGAAGAGAGCGCCAGATTCCCCAGAGCTAGAAATACACAAGAGTTTGTAAACCTCTTAACACGGGTGCCCAGCTAATGTTCTACAAGAGCAATACATGCTCTTAACCACTGAATTATCTTTCAAAACCCTCACACCCTGCCCTCCACATGGTATGTTAACTAAATAAGTCATCGACTCCTCATCTGGGCCCATGCAAGTGAGTGATAAAAGTGAGCCTTTTGATGTAAAGAGGCCAATATAACCACCTTGGATCACACTAATTCTACAACCTTTCAACACATATCCCATGGAGAACCATGAGCATTAATTACCGCTGCCCAGACCCATAAGAGTCTCCTCTCCAGTCACATTCTCTACTCCTTCAACTCTTTCCTTTTTAAAAAGGACACAGGGTTTCTCTGTGTAACCCTGGATGTCCTGGAACTCGCTCTGTAGACCAAGCTGACCTTGAACTCACAGAGATCCACCTGCCTTTGCCTTCCAAGTGCTGGGATTAAAGGTGTGCGTCACCACTGCCCAGCTTAAAAAGGGTGTTTCAAGCTCCTGTTTATGTATGTCTGGGTGTACATATCACATATGTACAGGTGCCCCTGAAGGCCAGAAGAGAAAAGGCATCGGATCCCCTGGAGCTGGGGTGATAGGCAGTTATGAGCTGTCTGACATGAGTGCTGGGAACTGAACTTGGGTCTTCTGACTGAGCCGCAGGCTCCCTTAACCACTGGGCTCTCTCTCCAGTCCTCATCCCTACTTATTTATGTCAGTTCTTGGAGAGGCTTGAGGCCCCCATATCTGGATCCGCATCCACTTTGCAAATACACTGCTCCTTGCAAACTCTTTACTTTAGTAGCTGTCAGATTGTGGAGGCCAAACAGAACTGGTCCAGTCCAGCTCAGGCCCCTTCTATAAAGTGGCATTTCATTTGCATATAACCTGCACACAACTTCCATGTACCTAAGTCACCGTAGGCAGCCTGCCATATGCAGTACAGACCAAATGCCAGATAGGTGATTACTATATGCTCTTGGGACAACCATGAAAGTCTGTACATATGCAATACAGATGCAGTTTTCAAACGTCCTATTTTGTCCTTCAAACAGGGTCTTGTATGCCTAAGGCTAGCCTCAAATTTACCAGGTAGCCAAAAATGATGAACTCCTGATCCTCCTGCCTCCACCTCCCAAGAGCTAAGATTAGAGTGAAACACCATTACAGCAGTTTATTCATGTCTGGGAGTAGAACCTAGGGCCTTGTACGTGTGAGGCAAGTGCTTTACTCCCTGAACCACATCCCAAGCCCGCCTGTTGTTGGTATTACTGTTTTGTTTTGGGTTGCTTTTTGTTGCTTCTTTTCATTTTTTTTTTAATGTGCATTGGTGTTTTGCCTGCATGAATGTCTGTGTGAGGGTGTCAGATCTTGGAATTACAAGCAGTTGTTAACTGCTCTGTGGGTGCTGGGAATTGAACTCGTGTCCTCTCTGAAGAGCAGTTGGTGCTCTTAACCACTGAGCCATCTCTCCAGCCCCAGTATTATTGTTTTTAAACAAGTTCTTGTAGCCAGGCTGACCTCAAACTCTAAGTTTCTGGGATTACAGGCATGCATCACCACATCTGACTCTTTAAAGTAGTTTTGATCCCCAGCTGTTGTGCCCAGTTGGTTGAATCCACAGTGTAGAGCCCACCAAGGTTCAACTATATATGTCCTGAGAACACGAGGTACTCTTAAAGGTTTTGTGGTAGGTTCTAAGCCTCTCTCTACCAGGATTATAGAGGTTGTGAGCAAGATGGACATCAAAGCCCACAGCTGAATACACTCCAGAATATGGTCCGGTGAAATATGTTCCTTTCCTTAACAACCAGGGGGCACTAGGGAGCCAGTGGGATGGAGCAATTGGCATGGGGCCTGAGATTTCTAGCTTGTATGGGTGCCTTTAACCAAGGATGGGGGAAGCTCTCAGGGAACAGTCATGGATCTGAGCAGTTTAGCTAGAGCACTAGTATGTGGCGTTGATGATTGATTGGTTGGTTGGTTGACTGACTGATTGATTGAGAGACAGGGTCATTTGGCATTGATGATTGATTGGTTGATTGACTGACTGATTGATTGACTGAGAGACAGGGTCTTTCTACATAGTCTTGACTGTGCTGAAGCTCACTCGTAGACCAGGCTGACCTCAAACTCGCAGAGATCCTCCTGGCTCTGCCTCCCTGGCACGTGTGTGTGTCTGTGTGTGTGTGTGTGTGTGTGTGAGAGAGAGAGAGAGAGAGAGAGAGAGAGAGAGAGAGAGAGAAAGAGAGAGAGAGAGAGAGAGAGCCTACTTCTCATTTCTTTTTTTCTTTTAATGTTGGACCTGCCATATGCTAACCTACTGCCTTACCGCAGCTTCACTTCTTAAAGTATTTCCTTGTAAAATGTGTCTGTACATATAGTCTCTATCCCTTTGATAGGGAAAACTTGTATTGTGCTTTTTTTGGGGGTGTTTTTGGTTTTGTTTTATTGTGATAAAGTAAGCAAACTAGGCAGTTTCCCTCTTAGCCACTGCAGTTCAATGACATTTAAAAACATCCACTGCCAAGATTTTCTCATCACCCTACTCAGAAAGTCAACATTCATGAAGTAACCCAAAGGTCAGAAGAGATGGCTGCTTTCCTTGAGGACCCAGGTTCGATTCCCCTCATCCACAATGCCGCTCACAACCATCTGCAACTCCAGTTCCAGTTCCAGGAGGTTTGTCATCTCTTCTGGCCTCCCTGGGTACCAGATGCACATGTGGTCTGGGAAAAACCTGTCTAGGAAAAACACCCATATATATAAATTTTAATTTTTCAAAAACAAAAAAACCCCACTTTCCTCCTCCCCTTGACCTTAATAACCTTAAACCTACATTCTATTTGATGAATTCATCTTTCCTGTATGTTTCATATAAGGAGATCTTGTGGAATTTGCCCTCCTGTGTCTGATTTTCTGGGCACACCACCCTTGGGGGTTACCTTGCAATAGCAGAAGCAGCATAATTCACATTTGACTTGTGGTTTTGAGGCAGTCTGTCAATCTTTTTGTCAAGACATAAAGTTTCTGGCCACAATCATTACCCAGATTTATTTTTAACAGGCCTGGGAAACATCTCTTTGAAAATATAAATATCAAAGAAGACCCGTATCCCTGCCTCCCTGACGCGAGGAAGAGTTTAGTTGGGCTCCTCGTTCCTAACTGTAACCACCTGTTCAATAAACATTTGTAATGTGTTGTTATTTCTTGATGCACAGGGCAGCTGGCCAGCTTGGTGGGTTCCAGATGACTAGGCCAGTTTAGGATGAAGGAGGAAAGAATGTGTCTCAAAGGAAGAGGTTACGCCTTCTACCCAAGGACAAGTTATGGAGAGCCTTGGGAATTAGCAAAGGAAGCCTGGGCTTTGTGGATTGAGCTTCCTGTATACAGCGTGGGGTTGCTCCTGCTGTCTGTACCCTTGTCACTCTGTTAGGGTTTCCACTTTCTCTGTGACTGTGGCTCACTCTGTTGAATGCTTGTTCGATCACAAAATGGTTTCTTCATTTGTAAAAGGCAGTTTGACTGCCAGATCTTTTTTTCTCTCTCTCCCCAATGATTGATCATCTTTGGTCATCTATGGTCTGGGGCAGGCTTCATGAGGAAGGGACTCCTGCCACCAGATCATAGATGACCAAAGATAAGTTCCTGACAAACTCACAGATCAGCAGCGCCAGAAAGATGGCTGGAAACGGTTCATCCAGGTCTGAACACTACCAATGAGGATTTGCAACAGCTCAGGATCAGGACCAAGTTGTCCAGGGCCACAGAGGGAACCAGGCAGAGGCTGAGGCCAGAGACAGATGTGGTCTTTGGAAGCCAGGTTTTGAGAGTCCAGGCTGGAGCCAAGTATCCCCAGCTCTAAGCTCATTGTGACTGTGCAGCTGGCAGCAGTGTAGGGCTTCCAGTGAGGTCTTCTGTCCTGCCTCACATGTGAGCACCTGGAGCCGCCACCACTCTGGGTTGAATGCAGTACTGCATAACCCATGTGAATGCGTTCACTTAACACCCCTAGCTGCCCTAGTAAGTAGGTAGGCATTCTTCCCATTTTAAAGAGGGGAAGGTCTAACAACTGGTTAGACCTATGCAGTCTGCACTAGTTTCATTTCTGTAGCTGTGATAAAAAGCAATTCAGGGGATAAAGGATTCATTTTAGCTCACAATTCCAAGTTACAAGGAAGTCAAAGCAGTGGGAATCTGAGCCAGCTGGTTACATCACCTCTGTGGTCGACAGCAGAGAGAGAGAGAGGAACGCATACATGCTTGATTGTGCTCAGCTAGATTTCTCCATTCTTGCACAGCTGAGGACCCCCTTGCCTAGGGATGGTGCCACCCACAGTGGGCTGGGGCTTCTTACACCAGTTAATTAAGACAAAACCCCCTCCATTTCAGATGTGCCACAGGCCAACCTGATGTGGACAATCCTTCACAGAAACTCTCCTCACAGGCGATTCTAGGCTGTGACAAGTTCAACAGTAAAAGCCAACTATCACACAAGCCATAGATGGTAATTATGAAGGATCGGTCACATGTGAGATCTTTGCCAAGGAAAGAGGAGTCCAGGAGAGGGTCTTCTGGCCCTGAAGGGGCCTTCAGGCCAGAAAGGAGACACATGCTGAACAAATGGAAATATACAAAGGAATGTATTGTGGGAGCGAAGACACTGGCGAGGAGAGAAAGGGAGCAATCAGAGAAGCCAGGCTGGAGGGCCAGCTACTGGAAAAGGGAGTTTTGGCTGAAAGTGCATCCCAAGCAACAAGATGCACCCAGGAGAAGGAGGCCAGTGGGGGGGGCGGAGATAACGGCTATCTGGGCTCTGCTTGGACTGGAGGAGGAGAAAATAGCCTCAGTCATGGGCAGGCGATGTTTGTTCCTTTGTAACAATGTTAAGAATTTGGGGGATCCGCTGAGACTTTCCACCAGGTTCTGACTCAGAACATCTGAGTTGAGGGGAGTTCTTGACCATGACCTTTGTAAACCGTAGTCAGAATCCACATTCTTGAGATTCAAGGACTCTGATTTTGTGATAGCTGTGTTTGTTCCCACAGACAGGCCCTAACAACGAACTGAACTCAGTTTCATTTGCTTGTTTTTCTTAAAGGAGAGATGGAGATTGCCCAGCAGGTAAAGGTGCTTGATGCCAAGCCAGATGACCTGAGTCCCATTCCTGCGACCCACGTGGTGGAAGAACAGAGCCAACCCCTGCAAGTTCTCCTTTGACCTCCACATACATGCATCACCCACATATGAGCACACGAAACAAATTAAAGGTTCTCCTCTGGCCTTCACACACATACATGCACGCAGAAACACGCATGCATTAGGAAAATAATACAGCAGAGGCAAGCACTGAAAATGCCCACTACCCCCAGTGACAACGCCCACTTTAGGGGTTCTAATCCAGATTTCTGTTCCCCATGGCTCAACCAGTGACTCATGTTTATAAGTATTGGTTTTCTTAATGGCAGAATTGGGTATACATGTGATAATTTTTGTATTGCCAGTGAGAGCATATATGTGCCTAAATATGAAGGAATTGAGTGAAAGACAGTTGCAAGTGGGTAACATAAACACCTCTAATGTCACACTCTGCACTTGGGAGTCAGAGTCAAAAGGGTCAGCGGCTTAAGGTCATTCTGGACCTAGTCACATACAGGAGTGCTCCCCACTGTCCTTCGAGGTGCCTAAAAGGCGGGACATCGATTCAGGGGTTAATATTCCCCACATCATCAGAGGGTTAGCAATAGGAATTCCCAAGAGGCAAATTGTATGCTTGGCCCAGCACCCCACTGGAGAATGAGTTAGTCCTGGGGAAAGCCAAATTACTTCCAGGAAGCGCTTGGCACAGAGGAATAGATAAGCATATCAACTTAATTTGGGGACTAGGGATGTAGCTCAGGAGAGTGCAGGCCTAACCTGCACAAAACACTGAGTTCCACCCATCCACCCCCCACCCCACCCTGCCACCACCACCTCTGAAATATATCTTGGCGGTAAGTGCCTATAACTACAAGCTTCTTGGGAGGTAGAGGCAGAAGTTCAAAGTCATGCTCCAGTTCTTCCTTGAAGACCAGCCTGGACTACATGAAACTCTGTTTCAAACTGTAGTATAGCCCAACTCTTGATCCTCCTGCCTCAGTCTCCTCAGAGCTGGGGTTACAGAGTAAGCCACCACAGCTGGCTTTAATTTTTATTTATGACCCTCGTGTCATAAAGTGAAGGTGGGGGCCAGGGAATGACCTGCGTGAGTCAGTTCCCTCCTCCTATGTGGGTTCCGGGATTGAAACTCCGGTAGGTGGTCAGGCTTTCCTGTTGAATCATCTCACGGGCGGCTCCCCTCTCCCAACTTTAATTTGTTTTGGTTTTTCGAGGCTTGGTTTCTCTGTGTAGCCCTGGCTGTCCTGGAACTCACTCTGTAAACCAGACTGGCCTCTAACTCACAGAGATCCACCTGCCTCTGCCTCACTGGGAGTGCTAGGATTAAAGGCGTGTGCACCACCACTGCCCACCACACAATGCTTCAGAATTGAATTTGCGTGTCATCCTTGCGCAGGGACCAAGCTAATGTTCTCTGTATCGTTCCAGCTTTCGTGTGTGTGCCGCGGGAGCGAGCACCCAGCTTTTATTTATTTAAATGCTGTCGGAGGTCATCAGGACCAGGGGAGCCATCTCAGCAGTCCCCCTTAGTCTCCTCCAGCTTTTGCCCCTGCTCTAGGCCGAGTGGGCGGGACCTGTCGTGGGCGGGGCGCCACTAAGACACGCCCCTGGGGGCGTGGCGGGATTTCGTGGGCTCCTTATCGCGCCCGCGCGCGCGTTCGCGCAGCGGCCCCTCAGGTACGCGGACAAGATGGCGGCGGTAGCGGGGGACAGCGCTATGGAGGTGGTGCCGGCGCTGGCCGAGGAGGCCGCGACCGAGGCGGCGGGCCCCAGCTGCCTGGTGCAGCTGCCGGGCGAGGTGCTGGAGTACATCCTGTGCAGCGGCTCCCTCACGGCGCTCGACATCGGCCGCGTGTCCAGCACCTGTCGTCGGCTGCGCGAGGTGTGCCAGAGCAGCGGCCAGGTGTGGAAGGAGCAGTTCCGGGTGAGGTGAGCCGGCCGCTCCGTTCCCGCCGCGCCTCGGGCCCGGGCCTCGCGTGGGCCCCACCCCGCCACCCTCCCGCCCGCGCGCCGCCCCCTCCAGGCCCCGCTTCCCGCGGCCGCAGACAAAGGCCTGGGCCGGGGCCTCCGGAGCCCGGATGGGGTCGCCTCAGCCGCCCGCAGCCCGGCCTCCAGCTCAGTCCGGCGGTAGCGGCCTCCCGAGCCCCCCGGCTACGCGACGCGCATCTTTTGTGGCCCGCTTGGTGCAGGATGTTTACGTGCAGGCAGCGTTGCGTGCCTTCCCGGCTGACTAGGATCCCGGGACCGGACCTGCCATCCCATCTCGTGACCTTGGGTGGGTGGTGGTGGAGGTTGGAGACGGTGATGTCCACCTCCCTTCTCGACAGCCTGGGTCTCCCATTCCGTGATAAGACCCCCCCCCGCCCCCGCCGCCTTTTGCAGCGTGGGCGAAATCAAATGAGATGCGGTCCCTGATTGCAGGGCCTGGTGCTGAGGAGGCGCGCCATCAATGCGAACCGTTAGCATCATCGCCGTGATTGTGGCCACCACAGACATGGGGGGGGCTGGGGGTGGAAGCACTGCCTTCGTGTCGCCAAGGCAAGGTCACTGCACCGAATAGTGAGGGAGTGCATGTATGCCCGATGGAGACTGCAACTAGAGCCGCTGCCAGCCCCCCCCTTTCCCCGCGGACTCCTCCGCTGGCTGTCAGTGGTTTCGCAGTCTCCGCCGAGCTGAGAAGGGTGTTTTCTCCCCTCATAGGTGGCCCTCGCTGATGAAGCACTACAGTCCCACCGACTACGTCAATTGGTTAGAGGAGTATAAAGTTCGGCAGAAAGCCGGGTTAGAAGCACGGAAGATTGTAGCCTCCTTCTCCAAACGGTTCTTTTCAGAACATGTAAGCACCTGTTATGTGGCTCAGGCTCTGTGTGTGTGTGTGTGTGTGTGTGTGTAAAACTCCATGTGTAAGTACATGTGTCCGCGCGCCTTAGCTGCTGGGCTCTTACTGCTGTTTCCCTTTTCAGTGCTCACACAATCCCTTACTCACAAGGCTGTAAGAGTCATTGTGTCCTCCTCCCATCCAACAACACGGAGCCATTTGTCCCTGCCAGCCCTACTTTTCTAAAGCCAGAGAGAGTGGGGTGTTGAGGACCGGGAGGGATACACAGGGCGGTGTCCACTGGGTCCAGATAAGCACTATTTCTCTTCAAGATTGTTACACACGCTTTGTGCAGCCCCCGCGTGATCTGAGAGCCATCAGTGATTGGATACTCGCACTTGTTTTCCCAGGAAGGCTGCTAAAATGAATGTGGCCCTGCTCAGTAGTGAGTGACGTTATTTGTTAAGGTACTCGTGTTGTAATTTAAGAAAAGCGGCGCACTGGAGAAAGATGCCATGCGACAGGGTTCAAGCAGGGTTTGTTTTTTTTTTTAATTAGGGAAAGGGATTATGAAAAGAGGAAAGGGAAGGGGAGAGACCAGCCTCTGGAGACAGGAGCAGCAGGAGAGAGAGGAAAGAGGTGGGGGGGAGAGAGAGAGAAAGAGGAGCAGACAGAGAGGGAGAGAAGGGAAGAGAGGATGGGAGGTGGGCAGGGCCCTTTTAAAAGGGGACATAGTGACTATGCACAGCTGGTGCTCTTAGTGGCTGCAACTGAGGGACTATCCTGTCAGAACCCCAAGGACAGGCCAATGTAGATGCTTAAATACCTGGAATTAAAAGCTGCCTATAGATCAGTTCCATTGCTCTCCTGAAGAAAACTGTCTAGCATCCTTTGCTCCTGTCAGTTTAGGATTTTTGCTGTCACTGCTGCTTTTTGTTCTGTGTGAGTAGCTTCACTGTGTAGTCCAGGCTGGCCTTAAACTCTTGTCCAGCCTTCTGAGGGAGTGGGATTACAAGTAAGCATCATCAGACCTGGCGCAAGTTGTATGCTGCTTTTCTTCAGCAGCTGAAATGTGTTTCTTTGCTGGTTAAGAGTCAGTCAGTTGTCTTCCCCTTGTCCAGAATGTCCCATGGAAATCCGGGTTCATTCCTGATGCTGCTTTTTGTAGGGCTTGGAAATGTCCCCTCATATTTTCAGCTCCTCCACAGTTTGGGCATCTACCAATGGAGCTGATACTGATTGTTTTACTGCTCTGGTTTGATGGAGGTTGTTTTCTCAAGATTGCTTCTGACTTTCCACTCTACTGTTAACGGAATTTATGAAGAGTGTTTTCAGTTTCGAAAGGGCAGATTTGAACTTTCAACACATTAAACTCAGTCCCCCATGGGGACTACAAATAGACATTCTCCAACTTGTTTATATAAAATGTTTATTAATGGCAGAATGAACCAAGGTTTTGTTCAGCCTGGAACAGTGCCCTAGCCATTCTGTAATCACAAGTGTTCAGTACTGGCTTAAACACAGGTGTTTTGGTGTGGGTCACAGGCTACTGATTCACAGTCTCTCCTTGTAAGCCAACTGGGTTTGTTGCCTTTATCTAATAACATGGATTGGTGAGCTTTTCCCCTCTCCTTTCCCGGTACCACTGCTTGCTTCATTAGAAGTGTGTGGAGAGCTTTGAACACAGCAGGGGCATGCTTAGGGTGGACTCATAGGTGGGTGATTGATCTGGCTCAGCACTCTGGTGTTCTTAATTTCTCCACATGCACACAAGTTAATACGAAACACTGTGGCTGCTGTCATGAGGAAAACTGGGGGAATGCCAGGACTTTAACCCAAGAGTCTTAATGTGCCAACACCTCAACACACGTGTGCCTCCACCTCAACACACGTGCGCCTCCACCCCAACAGCCATTGCACCCTCACCTCAGCATTTGTGCACCTCCACGGCAGCACATGCACCACTGCCTCAATGTGCAGAGCAGGACACACATCCAGGGAGCCTTAGGAGCATCTCTGCCTTGGCCTAATGCCTCTGGCCTCTCCTAGTTGTATGTAGCAAAGACCTTGGGAGATTGGAGACTTGCAGCCTCGACCTGTGTGAGCTCTTCCAGTCTGAGAAACTCCCGGACTGTGAGAGTGTCAGGGTATGGCTACAAGCACCAGGGCCTGAATGTGCTGTGATTTCCATGTTGCTTTCTGCCCTGAAGGCCCTAGGAGTCAGTGTGTAAGAGCTGCTGTCACTGTCCCCGTAAGCCCAGCTGTGTATCTGCCAGTGTCAACCATGCTAACTCATGATTGAGGCCTCCTGTGTGCGTCTTCCCCATAGGTTCCTTGTAATGGCTTCAGTGACATTGAAAACCTTGAGGGGCCGGAGATCTTCTTTGAGGATGAGCTGGTGTGCATCCTAAACATGGAAGGAAGGTAAGCTGTGGCTTGCTTGGATCATCATCATATAATTGCAGTGGTGTGTGAGGAAGAACGCTGCTGTTTCTGACCTTCTTGCCACAGTTATCATTTTGAAAGCTCTGTGTATGTGAGACCAGCACACCAGGACAGTTGACACATTGTCAGCCCCTGCAGTGCTCCTCATCCATGGATTCAGCCAAAAATATCCAGAAAACCATGCGCGGGGCTCATGTCTATAGTTACAGTGCTCAGGAGGCTGAGGAAGGGAGAAACAGCAGGTTCAAGAGCTGCATGGTGAGTTGCAGAACACCCTGGGCTACAAAGTGAGACCCTGTCTCAAAATAATAAAGTCTTTAAAAAAAATTGTGTCAAGGGCCAGGGGAGATGGCAATTGGTACATCTTGATTTGTAAGCATGAGGACCCAAGTTTGATCTCTGGTGGCATGTGCTTGCTATCATAGTGCTGGGCTTGATGGCCACCAACTTAGCCAAGTGGTGAGCACCAAGCCTCAGAGAGAGAGTTTCTGAAAAACTAGTGTGTATGGCTCCAGAGGAATGGCACCTGAGCTCACCCTCTGGCCTCTGTGTACTCTCATGCCTGTGCACCATGCACATACTTGCACATACACAGATCTACTCAGTGTGCAGACCCTTTTTTTGTTGCTGTCGAAACAGTAACTGCTTACATTGTATTTAATGATTTAGGAGCAATTTAAGGTAGAGGGGAGGGTGAGCCTGGGTCCTCTGCAAATACTCTCCTGATTAAGAAGAGCCCCTAGGACTAGAGGGATTGATGTCTCAATATAGAACTGCTCTACAGGGACCCGACTTCAGCTCCCATCACCCACATTGGGTGCCTCCCGGCTGCCTTAATACCAGTGCCAAATGATCTGATTCCCTCTTTTGACCTAGTTGGACATCTGTATTCACATGCACATAGCCACACAGACATGAACTCACGTACAAGCACATCATTTAAAATAAAAATAAACCCTTGTCTCTTACTGTTGTTTAGAATGGCATGTCTTACATTCTCTGCTGGAAAGCTTAATTTCCCGTTCACCAGTGACTTGCCTCGCAGCCCAACCTCCTGTGGGAGAGACCTGTTCCAAAGGTTATAGGAAATGTGCACTGAGAGGGTCACTGCAGTGTCCAGACCAGGAGACAGTGCTTCATGGGCTTTGTGGGGAGAGGTGAGATGCCGCTATTCTAGGCCTGGGGTGTTCCCCTCACCTCCGGTCTGTGTGTAGATGTGTGTGTGCACTGGACTGTTCACTGACAGTGTGTGTGGCCTCATAATAGTCTCTAGGCACGGTTTGTGTGTAGTTGGGTTTGAGGTGCACTTTATTGGCTTTAGTTTGTTTGGTGTAAACTTTTCTTCTTATTTACACTCTTCCTGTCCTTCCTACTCCTGCTTTTATATTGGCCTTTCTTGACTCTATCCCTGTAGTTTTTCATTTGTTGCATTGAATGCCAAACCCAGGACCTTACCGGGAGCCTACTGAGTGTTCTACCCCTGAGCTCTTAGCCTCACCTGTTTGGTTTTTAATATCGGCCTACTTTGTCTTCTTTCATCCTAACTTCCTGAGAAAGGGGGAAGAGGGATCGTCGTTTGTGGGAGATAGACCCTGCTCTGCTTTTGTCATAGAATTACCTCAGGGGTCTGTCTCAGTCAACTGTTACAGGGAGAGCTCCCTTAGCTAACAGCTACCCTGCCTTGCAGGATTGGCTGGTGAACAGCCACTCACTCTAGAGGCTTCGGTTCTTAGTCATGTGGATTCTTGGGAATAGTTTCCTAGGTTGTTGCAATTTGTTGAAAATGTTCAAAGAGTTATCCAAAGATGTTAGTTCTTCCCAAATAATACACAATCCTGTGCTGCTCCAGGTAGATACAAAGAAGCAACTAAGGTCTGAGAATGCCAGGGGGTGGTCTTTATTTTGTTCAGTTGTTCTCTGGATAATGTTGTCATAAAGTAAGTACATAGAAGTAAATCTACAGGAAGAGCCAGGAAGAAGGTGTTTAAATTACTGTAATGGGAGGCTTGCACTGTGAGCTGGTGGGGCAGAGTGCAAGGGAACTTGTGACCTGAACAGAGATCTGCAGGAATGAACATGACAGAGGACGCCAGGAGAGGTCCCCAGGAAGAGAGGGGCAGGCAGGATGTTGAGTAGGGAGTACTGCATTGCATCTGGGTGCCTAGATGGAAACCAGCAAACTAACCTACTCAAAACTTATGGAGAGTAAGTAGCCCACACTGTAACACTGTGACTGGTAGGCCAGGCTGGGAGCCATCAGTGTGTGTGTGTGTGTGTGTAGTTTGTAGTTTTGGAGCCTGTCCTGGAACTCTGTATACCAGGCTGGTCTTGAACTCACAGAGATCTGCATGCTTCTGCCTCCTGAGTGCTGGGATTAAAGGCATGTGCTACCACTGCCTGGCCGAGAGTCTTTTGCAGAAACTTCCCATGCCCAGGGAAAGCGGGCAGCGTAGCACAAGGAAGCACCTTGAAATTCTCTCTTCAGAGGAATGTTAAATTCACTGGGAAAGGCTGCCTTTTTATGCTAGTCAGGTCATCAGGGAAACTGAACCTGTATAACCAGTGGAAGTATTAGTAGTAGTTGTTTTCAAAGTAACTATTGTAAGCACATTGCCCTTGGTGGGACAAGTATAAATGACAGGGGATGTTTTGCCTCTTAGACTATTTGGAGTTCTCAGTTTGCATGGTGACCTACTCAAGTGCCCATCTCTGGGTATGTGATGACTATACCTGTGCTGTTCTTTGTGGTCTGCAAAAAGCACAGTCTGCAGGAACAGTAACCAAGACACATTAAAGAGCTTGTGCTGTGTCTGAGAAAGTGACCTGGGTGGCCAGTGCCCAGCCAGACACTTGGAATAGAGTTACTGGATTTTAGAATCAGAAAGGGCCTTTGGGTATCCAGGCAGAAGAGATGAAGTCACTTCTATGCAAAAGAAAGACTGTCTCCTCAGATTTCAACAGCAGCATTTTATGCCAGAGGAAGAAAGTGTTCCAAGACATACAGGAAATGCCAGCCAAATATTTTTATATCCAGCTGAACTGACTTCCAAGTATAAAGGCTAAAGACAAACTTGTCAGCTTGGGAAAACTTAGACTTTGGGCTCTTTCTGACACATCTGCTAGAAATGGAGTTTGAAACTCAAAACCACAGAGATAGTCTGACTCGATCCTACTGATGAGCACTGAATGCACATTAACTTGGTCCCCTGGCTCCAAATGACAGCTGTCCAGGAGACAGTATTGTATATGTAGTTTGGGCAGGCCCCCTGACTAGATCCCATGTAGCTGGAAGAACATTGAGCAGTGGTCTGGCAAGATGATTCATTCAGCAGGTAAAAGTGCTTGCTGCCAAGGCTGAAAACCTGAGTTCAGTCCTGCAAGCTGGACAGATACACACTTTCCCACACAAGATCATGTGCAGATTACCCCAGCTTGTCTATATTTGGAGAAATGACAGGACAGCTGGTTGTTACACTCGGGCCAGGCCTGTGTATAGGATGGAGATGTGTAGTAAAGCCAGTGAATGACTGTCATGTCATCTCTGGTATAATGAAGGGGCAGAATTGTTCAGGAATACGGGTACACATAGAAGGCAGAAGGAGGTCAAAGCTGTGTATATCTGCATTTCAATTGTAGGGTCAGTGTGAAGTCATGACCAGCCCAGTAGAAATAGCTGTCTCAGCTTGCAAATTTTTGTCTTCAGTTCCCACTTCCCCCAATACAAGGAAAAATGGCTGCTTCTCAGGCCTGTGTCAGGAATGTACAAGATGAGTCCAGAGCCTGTAGGCACCTGGAACCAGACAGCATGAGTACTGTCAGCACCTTCCTTCATTGTGGGGCTATGCGAGGCATTGTGGGCCAAAGGTGTGCCAGCTGGGACAGCAGCATGGTAGCAATAGCATATTGGACTGCTGCAGACTGTTTAGCTCCGTGAGTCCCCAGTACTATTTCAAGACATGACTCGGTCTTTGAAGGAGAATTAGAAATGAGAAAAGGGGATAGAGCATTTGTCCTGTCTTTGCTACATTTCATCCCTTTGGGAAACTAGAGAATAGATAGGGGTTTTGCAACAGTCTCTCTAATAAATGAGGCGAGACTGGTTCTGTTAGAGGCATCTCTGAGGGATTAACAGACCTGGGCACTGAGCAGCAGTGGCTGTGATATTACAGAAGGGACAACCAAGCCTTGTCACCAGCTCCATCCCACCTTTTTTACCCTAGCTTCTTTTTGTTTGTTTGTTTTTGTTGTTGTTGTTGTTGTTGTTTTTCGAGACAGGGTTTCTCTGTATTGCTTTGGAGGCTGTCCTGGAACTCGCTCTGTAGACCATGCTGGCCTTGAACTCACAGAGATCCGCCTGCCTCCGAGTGCTGGGATTAAAGGCGTGAGTCATCAATGCCCAGTGTTTTTTCCTATTTTCTTAAGACAAAGTCTCACTCTATAGTCCAGGCTGGCCTTGCTTGCAGCTTCCTGAGAGGGTCATAGGCACTTTTCTTGTGGTACTGGCAGTGGAAGACAGGCAAAACAAGCATCTACCACCGATCTGCATCCACAGGGGCTTTTGATGGAAGACTACACCACCTCCTGGGGTGGCAGCTTGCCACATAATTGGCATTTGAATTTCATGGAGCTTCTCCAGCCACTTAGTTGTGGATTTATTTTGTGTTCTTGTTTATGGTGTTCATCTGTGTGTCTATGGGCATGCTCGTGCCACTGTACATGTGTAATCAGAGGACAGTTTGTAGGAATTGGCTCTTCCTTTCTACCAGAGTGGACATTGGGGATCAGATTCAGGCTTGGTGCTTTTCTTGCCAGCCTCTCTGTCTACTTGCTAATAAATTCAGAGCAAGTTAAAGCTCACATGAATGTATTCCAGACTATGGGAAGCTACTCTTAAACAGTGGGGAGACCGATGACAAGGCCGAAAAGATCCCTGAGCAGTTTAGAGATGTGTGTTGGTGATCACTCTAGAGAGGTGCAGGGAATGACACTGAGGCATGAAGTGTGACTGTGACAGCACCTCAGAGCTGTGCTTCATGTCATCTGCCCTACACCTCTGTTGAGGGTAACTTCATACAACAGAGTTAAAGAGCAGGTAGAACAGACACCTCTGCTGTCACTGATGTCTGTGGATGGAGGGAGCTTTACTGCTTTTCAGAGGCCACCACACACATTAGTCCCATCTCCCACTAATAGACCTGTGTGTTAGGGAGCCCTGCAGAAGGACTTCACACAGTCTTCTACACACGCTCAGTGCACTAGGCATTACTGTAGACACTCAGGTTACAGCTGTGAGCAGCCCCAACTCTCTGCTAGTTCACGGGATAGCGATAGAAACATGTAAGCTGTTTGTCTTGTTAGGAAGTGGCATGTGCTCGGGGAAATGCCGAGTGACCTAGAGTGTGAGGGTTTGTGGGGCACCTGTTGAGGTAGGATAGGGAGAGGCCTGACTTGGGCCATGTGAACAGAGAGCCAAGAGGAGGTACAGACCGCCTGCATCCAGGGAAGGAACATTCCACTGAGGAAGGTGCTAGGTGACACAGCCAGGCACTAGGTTGAAGGAACAGTGGGGGCAGTTGGAACCGAGATTTCAGAGGCTATCATATCAGGATGAGGTAAGGGACGTGTTGAGTCTTCACTAGAAGTTGGGCTTTTAGTGTGAGGAAGTAGAAACTGGGGAATTGGGACAAAGGTCATGATATTGTTGTGAGTATATCACTGGAAGAGTGGACTCCTGTGTCAGAAGAGCATGGAAGCAGGAGCCAAGGAGGAGGGTACTGAGACACCCACAAAAGCTGGGCCAGCTTTATCAACTTAATGGCAGATGCTCATGTTAGGGTTTTGGGGGAGGGAGCGTGTCAGGCATTCAAGATGGCCCAGAGGCCTTGACTCTTTGGGCTGATAGCCCATGTGACCTAGGGAGTGGTGACTCAGAAGGAACAAGTCTCAGGATGCCTCGTTATATAGGCATGTGGAGTAACAGTTGGGTGTGCAGGCTTAAGTTCTGGAAAATGTCTTTGGAAAGTAACTTCTGGAAAGTTGGTCAATAGGGATGCATCTGAAACCAGGAGGCTAGAAGGACTCTCTGAGTTCACCAAGCTCCGAAGGAGAAAGGAGCAGCCTGTGTCCTGGGGATCAGCATAGTGCACCTCACCTCCCAGGATGCTGTTCATAGCCCTTCTCCAGAGACAGAAGATGCAAATATCTGAGTACCATTGGACCGTCAAATCAGGGTGCAGATGTGTATTGGCTGTGTTTGTCTTGGTAAAGTGGAGTATGTAGTGTGATTGGAGGGGGAGAAGCTGGGCAACTGAAGTGCTTAGAGGCTTATTTGATTGCTTTCCAGGAAAGCTTTGACCTGGAAATACTACGCAAAGAAAATTCTTTACTACCTTCGGCAGCAGAAAATCCTGAACAACCTCAAGGCTTTCCTGCAGCAGCCTGATGATTATGAGTCCTATCTTGAAGGTAGGTTTTCTGTGCCTGCAGACAAGAGTCCTCAGCAACTGAGCATCCTGTGACAGCTGTCCCTCTAAGGTAGAGGGAAAAGAGAGCTATGCCAACGGTCTTCAAAAAGTTGGATTACAAAGCAGACAACACTCAAACTTTCAGCAAAGATTCCGGTGGCATCTTCAGTGTTAGGACAAGTGATCTTAAGAGTCATCACTGGTGTAGTGACTGTTGAGGACTGGAAGCTCAGGCAGAAAAAGGCTTGCCACATAGGTGTGAGGAATTGATTTCTGTCCCAGAACCCGTGTAGAAAGCCAGGCTTGTTGGTGTATGCTTGTAACCTCAGCACTGGGCAGGTGGAGACAGGGAACTCTTGTAGTTCTCTGGTCAGTGAGTTTGGCAATAACAAAATGGACAGCTCCCAAGGACAATGCTGAGGTTGACCTCTGACCTCAACATAAGCACATGTGGGCCTGCAGAGTGAGTGACCTTTGACTAGTGAAACCAGTTCGTTGCCACTCAAACTGTTATACTTCATATGTCTGCTTGCCCCTATTTACCTGTGTCCTCTGCCCTTCTTCAGCTCAAAGCTCACTTCTGTGGGTTTCAGCTGACCCCTGCAGAGCTCACTGGCCTCAGCAGCTGAGCTGCCATGGCTGTCACAGTGACTGCCTCACATCCCTTCTGTGTCAGGTGTGTTCATTGCATTTCTTTGTCTTTCGTTTTTTGTTGTTTTTTTTTTTTCTTTTCTTTTTTAAGATGCAGAGCATGGCCTAGCTGTCAGCTTGTCTTCTGAGTGCTAAGTATGTCCAGCCCTTGTAAGTGGGGTTGTTATGTTCCAGACCTTGAGGAAAGATTGCCACAGCCTACAGTGCCTAGCTGGTTACTAATGGTTGAAGGTCTGATGTTGTCTGAAAGGAAGTGGAAAACCTTGTAGTCCAATGAAAAGAAAGTCATAGTCTTCCTCTTGTCACTTTACACTTGGGAGAGCTGGGAGTTCAGCTCTTTCAAGGTACTGGTTGTTTTCTTTTGTTTGAGGCAGAGTTGACCAGACTGACCAGAACATATGGAGATCCTCCTGCCTCTGCCTCTGCCTCCTGAATGCTGGGATTAAAGGTGTGTGCCACCACATCAGCCTTCATTTAGCAGTTCAGAATAGCGAAACAGTCTGTTTTCTGTAGATTATATATGAAAAAATACTTGTTGTACATTTTTCAAATACAAAGTTTCAATTTCCCATCCATCTGGGTGACTATGTAGGCATAGAAGCCATTGAGTGGCTGGCAGTGGCTGATGGGAGGCAGGGGGGTGGTGCTGGCTCCAGAGCCTCAACCCTGACTAGACTCCTGCAGCCACTGAAGAAGCCTGAGCAAGTGGCTCACAGCGCAAGCCCTGTAGCCTAGGCTGGCTCTTCCGATACCCCGAACTGCCTTCAGCTTCTTGAAGTATTGGTAGGATCAGCATGGTCCTAGGCTAGCCTCAGTTCTCTTGAATTTAAAAGGTGACTGGGAGGCTTTCAAGTAAAAATGTTCAGCAACCAAATGATGACTTAGGCATGGTGTGAGGTTGGCTGAGGCTGAGGCCAGTGATGGAACTGTGGCCCTGCTCTGTGGGGTTATCAGGACTCCTCCTTTTATGGTGGTGCATTGTCTCTAGAGTCTATGATTCTTACCCATGAGAGCTATGATTGGCTGTTACTGGTCTGTCTGTTATTCCTGCTCTCTCAGCTTAGTTGTTAAGAGAAATTGCCTTGCTAGGAAGTCTTTCCAGTGGTTGGGTTTTGGACTAGAAGTGGCCTGAGGGCTTTCTTGTGGGCATTTGGCAAGCTTCATAGGATGTGGGAAGACATGTCCTGCTTTCTGAACCAAAAAAATGGTTTGTTTTGCTTTTTTAAATGGTGACAAAGTGCTTTGTGGTGTAGGGATCTGATCTCCCCTCGCTGTGTTAGGTGCTTTGCCTGGCATCCAAATTGGGAGCTGGTGTGGGGTGTGGTATGAGAAGTCACAGCCCCAGTACTGGTTCAGTAACACTCACTACCAGTCAGGTAGGAAGAAAGCAGCACTGACTGCACTTGTCACCCACAGGTGCCGTTTACATCGACCAGTACTGCAACCCTCTCTCCGACATCAGCCTCAGAGACATCCAGGCCCAGATCCACAGCATCGTGGAGCTTGTGTGCAAAACCCTCCGTGGTATCAACAGCCGCCACCCCAGCCTGACCTTCAGGGCAGGTGGGCAAATGCTGTACATGAGATGGACTGCAGAGGCCCTGGGGGTGGTTGTCTGAGTGATGTAAAGCACTAACACCACCCTGTCTCCATTCCCAGCCTGGCAGCACTTGTCTGTCATGCAGGCCCTTGCCAGTCACTGCTTGTTCAGGGTGTGCCTTGCTTGTGTTTGGGGTGTCAGTGTTTGGGGTGTACTTGCTCATGCTTGTGACCCAGAGGAGCTCTCTGTGCTGCAGGTGAATCCTCCATGATAATGGAGATAGAACTCCAGAGCCAAGTGCTGGATGCCATCAACTATGTCCTATATGACCAGCTGAAGTTCAAAGGGAACCGCATGGACTACTACAACGCCTTGAACCTCTACATGCACCAGGTACATGCAGTTGCAGTAAGAGGAACCACGACGTTCCCTCCCACATTCGTGGGTTCTGCAGCAGCTTCTGGGTGCTCCCTGTGTAGACACCATTCATTGCCTAAGCCTGCACGTGGGCACACACATGGTATTTGAACTCTGTTGGGGATTGTGTGACTTAGAGCTTGGAAGGGTAGGTGTGTAGGTTCTGTGCCCATACCTACTGCAATTGCTGACTTTGGTGCTCCAGGTACTCTGCACCTGGCTCCCTGAGGATTGACAAGGGTACTGGTTGTGTATAGGCATGTGTCCTTTGGGCTCACCTCTGATGGGCTGTCCATTTCTTGCTATTGTCTTTCCCATGTCTCAGTAAAGCCCGTTTTCCTCTCCCATGAGATAGCATGGTGGATTAGATCTGCTATAGGATGCTTTTTAAAAAATATTTAAATTGGCTGGGCGTTGGTGGCACACGCCTTTAATCCCAGCACTCGGGAGGCAGAGGCAGGCGGATCTCTGTGAGTTCGAGGCCAGCCTGGTCTACAAAGCGAGTTCCAGGACAGTCTCCAAAACAATACAGAGAAACCCTGTCTTGAAAAACCAAAAAAAAAAAAAAAAAAAAAATTTAAATTGTGTATATATTTAAAAGAAGGTATCAGATCCTATTATAGATGGTTGTGAGCCACCAAGTGGTTGCTGGGAATTGAACTCAGGACCTCTGGAAGAGCAGCAAGTGCTCCTAACCCCTCAGCCATCTCTCCAGCCCTTTGTAAGCAAGCCCTGTGAATAGAAATGGGTATTTCTGTTACTTAGTTTGCTCAGTTTGTGATTGAGTGTTGAACTGCACGAGCCTGCCTCTGTCAACCTGGAAGCCTGTGGCCCAGCTACATCAGCCACACACCTTTGATGTTCATTTCCTTGTCTGTCCTGTTCTCTGTAACGTGGTTTTCATTGTCATACCACAGACTTTCTTACACGCTTGCTTTCTGGTAGGAGGAGGCCAGCAGACTGCCTGCAAAAGACCTGGCAGTGAATCACTCCAGGTTCGAAGGCTGTGTGGTCCTTATGCATAGTGCCGTCTTACTAGGTGAAAGGGCACAGGCAGTTGGAGTCTTGGGTGACTGCACACTGTGTGCCAGCAGAGCTATATGGGCATGGGACATTCTTTGCCGATTTTGAGATAGGTTCTCATTCTGTAGCCCAGGCTGGTCTTGGACTTCTGTCCTCCTGCCTCAGCCTCCCAGATGTTGGGAGTATAGGCATGGCCCATAGGACCTGGCTTCTGTTGTTTTCATGTCACAAAATAGTTGTTTTTGTTTGTTTTTGGTTTTTCGAGACAGGGTTTGTCTGTATTCTTTTGGAGGCTGTCCTGGAACTCGCTCTATAGACCAGGCTGGCCTTGAACTCACAGAGATCTGCCTGCCTCTGCCTCCCGATTGCTGGGATTAAAGGTGTGTGCCATCAACGCCCAGCTACAAAATGGTTTTGTTTTTAGAATATTTAAAAAATGTGAAAATTCAGGTGTGTGCAGTAGCTAAGTTGTGGAATGCTTACCCAGTGTACACAAGACTCCAGTTTTCAAGCCTAGCCCTGAAAAAATAAAAGTTGAAAGCAAGAAATTGGGGTGGGGGTGGTACACTTGGGAGGCTGGGGGGCCAAGGTGGAAAGTTTGAGGCCATCCTGGCTTTGTAACGAGACCGTCTTGGAGCTAGGGGAAGAGACAAACGTCTTCTGCTGGCTGTGAGAAAACAGCCAGTGTGCTGGATTTGGTATCTGATCTAAATGTAGCTCTGGAAGCCAGCGTGGGATGCCAGCACAGATGGAGCCAGCCGCTGGCCCTCCTGAGGCTCTGCGACTTTCCTCCCTCAGGTGCTGACCCGCAGAACAGGGATCCCCATCAGCATGTCTCTGCTATACCTGACCATCGCCCGACAGCTGGGGGTCCCACTGGAGCCTGTCAACTTCCCAAGCCACTTCCTCCTGAGGTGGTGCCAAGGCGCAGAAGGGTGAGCCATCTTTGCCATGTTTAACGGGTGCTGAGGAACCGGGTTCTAGTTTTAAATTAGTTATTACCAAGCAGTCATCTACTTCTGAGAGGTCATGTTGAGGTTCTGGTACTGATGTTGTGCTGTAGTTGCACTGGACCTTATGTGGGGAGTGACAAGCACTACTCTGGATATTTATTTATTTCTTCCACAGGCATGTGAATCTATAGTATCTCAAAAGCCTAAACTTAAAATTTTTTTAAAGGTTTTGTATTTTTTTGGGGGGGTTGGTTTTTGTTTTGTTTTTTTAAGACAGGATTTCTCTGTGACTTTTGGAGGCTGTCCTGGAACTAGCTCTTGTAAACTTGTAGACCAGAACTCACAGAGATCTGCCTACCTTTGCCTCCTGAGTGCTGGGATTAAAGGTGTGGCCACCACCGCCCGACTACAAAATGTTTTGTGCCTGTCAAGGTTCATAGTGTGAAGATGAACCCCATGAGAGGATTCTTGTCTTTCCCCTCAGCCATAGACCAGCCTTCTCCTCCCACACTGTGCCCCAGCTTAGGGAGAAGGACCAGGATGGGCAGCTTGCAGCCTGACTGAACTGTGTCTGTTCTGGGATTGGCCTGTCTTGGGTGGAGTCCTCTGCTCCTCCTAAGGAGAGTCTTCACCAGGGAGAACAGCAAACTCTTCCCGATGTCATGTCCTGGACAGTGGGATGAGCAGCCCCTGAACTCTGAAGCCAAGCGGGCCTGGTGCTGTCTGTGAGTACTGGCTTGAAGAGTTGAAAGATAGCCTCCAGTGCACACACACACACGCACACACACACACACACACACACTCTCTTTTACCCTCTTACTCTCTCCTGCTTTGTAGAAAAGTAGTACAGCTGGACTCCACATGCCCCTCCAGATTAAGGAGAAAGACATTTCATGATTTATGAAGCCACCATTCTCATCCATTACTTTGAGTTTCTTTAAATGTCTTTATTTTCCAAATGTGATGTCCTCACGGTGTACTGGTAGTTAATGCTTGCAACCTGGATATCTACCTCCTAATATTTTTAGTAAGAACACCTATTTGCAGCCCTGATAAGCTTACCTATCTCCTTGTGCATCTGTAATATACCCACGTGACATCCACAGAACTGCATGTTCTGAGCATTTTTGGCTCATTTCATGTCTATAGTAAGGGCCTTATGCACGTCAGTGACTTATTATAGGGCAGTCTTCAGTATGGTAATAGTGTCTTTCCCTATAATATAAGTGAATATGAGTTTTGTTTTTTATTGTGTTGATTCTTTGAGACAGTGACTCACTGTGCTACCCAGGATGTCCTGGGACTTGGAATCCTCCTGCTTCAGCCTCTTGTCCTGAGTACTAGTATTATGAAGCTGAGCCATCACTCCAGGCTCAGACAATGCAATAATTTGTTAGTATCTGAAGTCCTGTCTGCTTGGGAAGCTGAGGCAGGAGGATCACTTTACTCTAGGATCCAGGAAAGTGGCAGAAACAAACACAGGGAATTATAAAAGCCTAAGCTACTGGTGGCAATGCCGGCATACACACAGCCCGTGTTAGCAGCTGGGCTCCACCCTTTCCTGCCCATGCTGTACTCTGAGCCTTCATACCTGGCAGCACAAGACTCCCACCCCACCCCCACTCCATCCAGATCTTAAAGTGCTTTGGCTGTTCTTAGCTTTTGGTCTTCCATATAGATTGAGAGTCAATTTATCAGGTTTCTTAGGAGGCCTGTGTGGAGGGACTGGGAGGCTGAGGCAGGAGTTTGTGGCCAGCCTGAGTTACAATCTAACCCCTATATCAAATAACAAAACAAACAAAAAATTCTGCTTGAATATTGATTGAAGCTAGAAACTGCTTCTGACTGGTTCTAGCTGGTTCTGGCTCTTAATTTAAAGATCCTCCAGCCTCCTGCTGTCTGTTACTGTGGTTCTGGGAGTCCATCAGGAAATTGTTTACCCTTTCCACATTGCTCTGTTAGGGTTATCCTGAGCTGCCAGCATTTTATCTTTAGCTGTGGCTGGTGCTTGTATATAGGCCTGACCTTCGGTGCCTGACTGGATGAGTCTTCTGTGCTGATGGTTTGTAGCTCTGGCTTTTAGTGATGTGTCACACTGTCTGAACAGCATTGTTTTGTTTGCTTTAGCTTAATATGTTCACTTTGTATGTTGTAGACTACAAAACAGAAACAGCAATACCCTTGCCTGGGGGATACATTTTGAGGGGTTTTGCTATTTTCTAACTGTGTGTGTATGTGCACAATTGTGTGTACAGAAGTCAGAGGACAACTTGTGGGGGATTCAGTTTTTTTCTCTTCTACTATTTGGGTCCCAGGGATTGAATTCAGGGCCTTGGACTTGGCAGCAAATACCTTTGCCACTGAGACATCTTTCCAGCCCAGGGGATCTCCTTCCACACAGAATGCTTCTTGGTTTTCAGCATTAGCTTGCTGTTTGGTGTGGTAACGTTCATTGGTGTCATTAAAATTACCTTCTGAATTTCTGATTTTGTGTAGTTTTTGTTTGTTTGTGGTGTGTGTTGTTTTGTATATTGAGACATGACCTCAGTCTATAGCACTAGCTCACCTGGAATTTGCAAAATAGATCAAACAGGCCCCAAAATCACAGAGATCCTCCTGTATCTGCCTCTCCCCTGGGATTGAAGTCATATACTACTGTGCTTGGCTAATTTTGCTAAGCTGTATTTATATGTAGACATTTTTTTTCAAGACTGTATTTTTTATTATCTGTACATGTTTTTTCACTTTTAGTCTTTATGTATAGGAGTAGTTGTTTGGATTTTTGTTTGGGGGGCTTGGGGTTGTGTGTGTGTGTGTGTGCTACAGATTGAACATGCTTTATCACTGAAGTTCACCTATTCCCCAAATCTATCTTCCCTGTTCAGCTCTATGTTCTTGGGGCACAACTAGTCCAGGTATATTTTTTTGAAAAACTCTGGCACTTGGCCATGTGCACATTTTGTCCGTGTGTTTTACATAGTGATAACCTTGGCTCATCACTCTTCTGTGCTTGTCCATAGGAAGTTCTGGCCTCATAGCAAATGCTGACAAATTCTGCGCTCTTTTATAACATTTATGTAAGTCTCAAGTCCTTGCCAAAAGTGAGCTATGAGCGCAACTCAGGAAAGAATCCGACTGAGATAGTTAGCAGCCAAAGAGAAAATGTTGTGTGATTGCAGTGGGCACAGGATCAGGATTGCTCAAAAGAAGCAGTGCTGTCCCCACCACTCCGTGAGCCCTCAAGAACACACTTGGAAGTACTGTGAGAATGTGAGCATATCCAGGGTCATTGCTCCCTACGGTGCCAGCCTGAGGTTGTGTGTGCACAGAGAAGTAACAAATCCTGGGCTGGGCCTCCATAAATTTTCTTAGGTCCTCATAGGCCCCAGATCCTCAGGCAGGCAGCTGTTTGACACTCTGTCGTTAGCGTCCATCTTGGTCATCATGCCCCATGTCTTTCTGTGAGTGTTCTTTGAACTCTGGGCTCTGGGCTATAGGACTCTGGCCAGCTTCCCTGCTGCCACTTATTTATTTGCTAGTTTGTTATTATGTATGTGCATGTACAGCATATGTATAGAGTCAAGAACAGCTTGTTAGAGTCAGTTCTCTTTCCACCGTATAGGTCCTAGGGATCAAACTCAGATAGTCAGGCTCGACAGCAAGCACTTTGATCTACTGAGCCATCCCCTTACCCTTCTGCTTCTAAAGAGCTTGGCAGTGTGGTCACCACAGCCAAGGACCCATTAAGAATCGGGTTTAAAACTCACCAAGGCCTTGATAGTATTGGTGAAAACAGCAAAGTGGTGCTTTGACCTTAGCTTCTGCCTTGGGCTCCTCCTTCACGGGTTGTAATTCTGACTTATTGGCTCTCCTTGGGCAGGGCAACCCTGGACATCTTTGACTACATCTACATAGATGCTTTTGGGAAGGGCAAGCAGCTGACGGTGAAGGAGTGTGAGTACTTGATTGGCCAGCATGTGACGGCAGCTCTGTATGGCGTGGTAAATGTGAAGAAGGTGCTGCAGCGGATGGTGGGCAACCTGTTGAGCCTGGGCAAGAGGTGAGGGCCCTGGCTTCCACTGCTCCTACCCGGTGTGGGCCTTGTAGGGCTCTGTGCAAAAACAAGAAGCTTGTTTAATGAGCTGCCCTGTGGTACCTGCTTCTGGGACATCAACCATGCATTGCTGGTGCCGAGGAGCCAGCCTCTGGTGTTTGCCGTGGACTTAGCTCTGCTAAAACACTGGAAATCAGAGTGTCTTAGTGTCCTCCTGACCTGGTGCTGTGACCTCTGACCTTACACCTTCCTGTAAGAGAACTGAGTCTGAGGTCAACTTTGTTCCACAGTTCAAGGAAGCCTGTCCTGGGAAATCACTGTAGCTTGCGTGTTGCCATCAGTTTCCTGATGCCTAATAGGATTCACCTAGCAGAATTCGTTTTTAGAACAATTGTCAATTGGTGGCACGAGTGAGCCGACTGCAGAGGGGACTGTAACCTCCTGTTCACATGTGTACGCAGCTTGTCCATTCCCCAACCCCCAGCACCAGAGCAGACATTTGCTACAAGTGCTGACCCTAAACTGTAAAGTATAACCAGGGCTTACTCCTATTGGTGTAACCTCCGTGAGTTTGGACAGAGGGGGTAGCTCTACTCACCAGAGTTCTGGATTTGTGTATGCTACTGAGGTGACTGCTTAATGAGGGTAGGTTTTAATGTGATACTGGACATATGTTCAGTGTGGATTTTGCTAAGAGCCTCACAGTGTTGAGCAGGAGTCTGGGAGTCAGAAAGTCTTGGGAGTCAGTGTCAATTGTTTTAGACTTCCACTGGGAAATCCGCACTGAGGCTGATCTCTTCTTCCCCAGGGAAGGCATTGACCAGTCCTACCAGCTGCTCAGAGACTCCTTGGACCTGTACCTGGCAATGTACCCGGATCAGGTGCAGCTCCTGCTCCTCCAAGCCAGACTCTACTTCCACCTGGGCATCTGGCCAGAGAAGGTAATTATCTTACTTTGATGCTCGGCCCTTGCCTTAGAGAGGACAGCTATAGCTGGACCAAGGCTGTTGAAGGTTATCCACAGGGAGTAAGTTCAGATTTGCTCCATCCCCAGTCCTGACCCACTAATGAATTTTTCTTTTTGTCTTCTAAGAAGCATTGCTTTTGTCACGGGGAATGACCCCTGAGCACTGGACACAAAGCCCCTGTCCTGCTTCTTGCCCAGTTGTGCCTTCCCAGAGTCACCTGACTGTTCAAGGAAAGGCCAGATAGTGCTTGGTGCTGGCTTTGCTGCAGCTGTTGAGCATGGGAAGACCCGTAAGGCTTCTTACTGTCTGGTTCTGGGTTTGCTCATGCTGTAATCCCCACATCTGGCAGTGCTATGGGTGCTATGAGGAGGCCACCTTTGGAGCACAGAGCTGACTTTGGGCACACTGTGTGCGCTTTGGTGTGAATCTGGGTGTACATGCAGGAGTCGTAGCCTATTCCCATCCTGTCCTTGGTCTGGAAAGAGGCCATCAGTCCATTTTGTTTGTGTAGAATACCTACCTGCAAAGGGTATCTGATTCTGAACCTCAGCTGGGTTGCTTCCCAGAGTTTAGAGATGGGCAGAGTCTTTCTACAGAAAGTAAATGCGCTGGGGGCTGGAGAGATGGCTCGACTGTTAAAGAGTACGTACTGCTCTTGTAGGAGACTTGACGTTGAGCTTCCTGGTGTGCACATGGTGGCTCTCAACTGCCTGTGACTCCAGCTCCAGATCAGTGCCCTCTTCTGTCCTCATGCACCCCACCCCCACAGAGTACATCCATGTAATTAAAATTAAATCTTTTTAAATGCATTGAAATTTATTTCCTGTGCATTGGTATGAAAGTGTCAGATCCCCTGGAACCGGAGTTATAGATGGTTGTGAGCTGCCATGTGGGTGCTGAGAATTGAATCAGGTCCTCCGGAAGAACAGTCAGTGATCTTAACTGCTGATCCATCTCGCCAGCCTCTAAAAATAAAATCTTTTAAGTTTATTTTTAAAAAGAAAGTAAATTCTCTCATTAAGTGGCTATACTGGGTCACCAGTTCATGGCTTTAAAGATGTATAGTGGGACACAAACATGGACAGTCCTGATTCCTTAGAAAAAGTTGTCTTCCATAGCCAGATAAACAAGTGTTCTGCAAGAGTGTGCCCTGGGAACTGTCGCCCACTCAACAGCCCAGGGTTTAGTCTTTTGAATTTGTTCAGCCAGTTCTGTTTGTTGAGGGATTTCAGGACAGAGAGAGCAAAGGTCCCTTTGCCCGCTGCCGAGCTGTCCCAGTCACAGGAATGGGCCTGTTACTGGGCCTTTGTGATGGAAATCTCAGTGCTGCCCTCATAGTCCCCAGCTGATTCCCACAGTCCCACTGGGGAGCAGCATCCTGCCACCTTCCCAGCGTCACTCAAACCAGTTCCCTTTTTCTTCTGCACATGCTGCCTGGTGGCACATCTGCTCTTTTGTTCTGAGCTAGGACCCCGCCCCTCAGTTCCTGGTGACCAACTTAGGGAATCAATACCCCAAGCCCATGAGAGAGGTGCTTAGGGGCCCATGTCATTAGACATGACTGTTCTCCAGTGAAGGAGCTCAAAGTGTGGGCCACCTGACGAAGGTAGCCTGCTAGAGGCCTGGGAGGGTATGCGTGAAGTGAGAGGAGGGGATAGCAGCCTGTGGGGCATGGACCGTGTTTGTTACAAATCATCTATCTGTCCCCAAGCAAGAACCTACAGGTTGCCTCTCTTTGCCCTTTCTGTTTGCGAAGTTGGGAAGAGCTGGGAGCCCAGTCCTCTAGGTCACTGTGGGTGGGAGAGTAGAGCCAGGCTGAAAGCCTCCCTCTGCTCCTCAGCTATCCTGTGGCGCTGTTTTGTTCTTGCCAGTTTTCAAGTGCTGAAAGTGAAGAAGTTACCTCTGCAGTCCATTGAGCCCACCACAGGTGTCATCCCAAGGAGCAGCCAGCTACACTTAGTGTTGCCAGAGCCACTGTGAACTGTGACCTGTGCTTTCTCTGCAGTGCAGGACATACCCCTCCTCCTCCCCTGGAGTGACAGCTCTAGTTGTCCTTATCAGCCCCATTGGGCTTGCCTGTGGCCACCACCCCATCTGCTCCCTGCATGCTGACCTCACACTTGTCCACTGTGTGCTGACTGCCCACCACCTGCCTTTGCTCCTGTACACTCCCTAAGACATGAGCTCTCACTCCCGGCCTCCCCCAGACCCTGTTCTGTACACTCCCTAAGACATGAGCTCTCACTCCTGGCCTCCCCCAGACCCTGTTCTGTACACTCCCTAAGACATGAGCTCCCACTCCCGGTCTCCCCCAGACACTGTTCTGACCAGTAGCCCTTCTGTTGCTGTTGCAAGGCCAAGAAATGGCCTTGCCCTTTCTCCCGATTCTTTGATGTTCTGCCTACCTCATGGCTTCTGGTTCCCAGGCTCTTTCTGGTCCCTTGTCTTAGGTCTCCCTGTGAGGCTTCACACATGGATGCTCTCTAGGCTTCCTCTACACTATGTACTGTTCCAGGGTCTTCCTTCAATGCCTCTTTTACACCTGGACAGGGGAGGGGAAGACATGAACCACTGACCTCCCTGCTTGGCCTTCTTGTCATATACATGGCAGTCAGGGTCTTAACAGGATAGACTGGTCCCTGAATGGCTCCCTGGGGATGCTTTTCTTACCCTAGTTTGGCTCACATATCTCCATGGTTCTGTCCCACCTGCCTGGCCTTCCTGCCCCACATCTGTGTTGTGTCATAGTGTCATGTCATCGTCATCCCCATTTCCACATGCTCTAATGCACCCCTGCTATGTCCACCATGCTCATGCTGCATTCCCCTCTGCTGACCCCTCAGCTCCATTGCCACCCCAACCTTCTTTCACACAGGGCCAAGTTCTCCTGGGACAGGGTGTATACAGTGTGCTCCCCACTAGCCATCTTCTGTGCTTACAGCACTGGTCTTGGCATGTAGCAGGTGCCCAGAGAAGTTCCTGTTCAGAAGTGGTTGGGTGACTATAGTTCCCTTGGACATAAGTGAAGGAGACTCCCAGAACTTACAGACATGGGACCAGCATTCTACTTTGGAAGGGGTTGTTTAAGGCATAGACTATTTGGGCTGGAAGAAAGTGCCATGGCAGGCTGTGTAGAATTGGCCTGGGACCACCCATGGCAAGTAGCATTCTGTAACCTTTGTCAGGGGCTCCTGCCCCACCCACCTGCAGCCTGCAGGCAGTCTTAACAGACAAATAAGTGAGAGCTCAGACTGAGACTTAGTGGACAGGCAGGACTTGTGCACACAGGGCAGTGGATTTGTGGGCTGGGAGCTGCCCATCGGTGGACTCTCAGACGTGGGTCTGTCTTCTGTGGGAGCCAGGACACAGCCCCTGTGCTGCTGTGTGTCCAGAGGAGGAGCAGTGGAAGGGAGTAACCCTGAGCAAGAGGGCTCCTGCTCTTCCTGAGCCTCCAGGTTTGGTTTGGTTTTGTTTTTTATTTGGATGGATAGTTTTTGTTTTTGAGGCGGTGTTATAGTATGTAGCTTATACTGGCCTTGAACTCGGGATCCTACTTCCCAGTGCTGGAATTATAGATATAAGTCACTAAATAAGGCCTACAGTTTAGGCTGGGAACATGATGCCCACTGTCAGCATTGTCCTTCGTAAACACACAAGGTCCAAGTCACATGTCCCCTTACCCTCAACCTCACACAGCTTTGTAAGGAACCAAAACTTCCTGTCTTATAGTCTTGAGTGTGGGCCACCTTTGTGCCCTGAAGAGTCCATGTCTGGCTGTGTGCACAGTGGCAGAGGTGCAGGTGGCTCATTGGCAAGGACACAATGACAGCCAGAGTCCGGCAGTTTCCGGCAGAGTCCACCAAGGCTCACTGTTAAATGGTATGCTCTCAGCTACAAAGGACAAATGCCATGATCATCCCCACTTAAGGAGTCCCCTCCTGGAAATGGGGCATGAACAAAGACTGGCTCCTAGTGGATTTTTTGTTAAATCAAGCCTTGGGTATTTGGTGCTAACCAAGAAATGTTTGACCCATTACAACTCCTAGTCCACAAGTGGCATGCCATCACTGGTCTTTGTCAGGCTACATGGGTAGGTGTCGATCCCACGCTTCGGAAAAGAAAAGGCCTGGCGAAAATATTATCTCCTAGTCTTTCTGTCTTGTCTTGAAGGTGCTTGACATCCTCCAGCACATCCAGACCCTCGACCCTGGGCAGCATGGGGCGGTGGGCTACCTAGTGCAGCACACACTAGAACACATTGAGCGCAAGAAGGAGGAGGTAGGCGTGGAGGTGAAGCTGCGCTCTGAGGAGAAGCACAGAGATGTCTGCTACTCCATCGGGCTCGTTATGAAGCACAAGAGGTGAGTGCCTACTCCTGGCCTCTGTGGCTGCCCACAGGCTGCCGGGGCCACAGCCATGCCGAAGAGGGAAGAGGATCCCAGAGGCATACCCTGGTACCTCACTGAGCATCCCCACAGGCCAGACAGCACGGCCCCTGCCTGCACCCAGCTTCAAACTGTGAGATGTAATGTCTTTCATGGACTCTGCCTGCTCCTAGTTTGTATGGGACTCTGGGGGTTGAGCCTAGGGATTCATCAAGCTAGAAGCACTGAGCTGTGGTCCAAGCTCCTTCTCCTGTTGTTCCTTCTCTGTCCCTGCAACCCCAACTCCTCCTCCTTCTGCTGTCCCTTCTCCATCCCCTGCCATCTCTAATCTGGGTTAGCAGGGCTTTCCTGAGCTATAAATCTGCCCATGTCTGTTCACCAGGCAAAATTTAACTCCAGAGTGCTAGTGCAGGTTCATGTCCCACAAGCAACCTACGAACTGTGATTACTGTCCCCGCGGCATGCCCTTGGTGTGCTCGTGTACCCAGTAGCAGATGACACTTGGTGATGGTTTTCCCTCACTGGCAAAGGGGGTTCTAGCTGGCCACACAGTCTTCTTTGCTGACATGTGGCTACTCCCTATCCCTCCATTTTCTCTGAGAGGGTAACCAGCAAACCCCTTCCTTGTTAGGGGCTATGATTTTCATTCACTTAGTGGATGCTTTCTTAACTCTCTTAGGGAAATTTCCAAACATGTAAGAGTGAAGAGAAGGGCACATGAGGCAGCTTGTGCTCCTAGTGTTCTGACTTTAGTTAGCAGTGAACACCACAACCATTACCTCCTCCCAGTTCTAGGCTAACAAAGCTAATGTCGCACACATTCACCCTAGCCATTCAGTTGGCCTCTCTAATGGGGAGGGAGGGAGGGAGGGCTCCCCTGCCCACTCTTATTTACCCTCTTCTTACCAAAGGTAGTCTCTTGCTCTTAGTTTCTCTTAAAGCTGGGCAGTAGTGGCGCACGCCTTTAATCACAGCACTCAGGAGGCAGAGGCAGGCAGATCTCTTAGTTGAAGCCAGCCTGGTCTACATAATTCCAGGACAGCCAGGGCTATGTAGTGAGAACCTGCCTAGAAAAAAACAAAGATTATTTACCAGATAGAGTGCTTTGTTGATGGTGAGAGTGGGGTTTGTAAAGAGGGATAGGGTGTCCTTGGGTTAAGAGCAGTAGGTAATGAACAAAGGTCATGGAAGAACCCCAGCCGGGCTCTCCTGACTCCTCCACAGCGCTGAGGCTCCCCAGGAGCTCACTTGCTATCTTCCTGTGCTCCACAGGTATGGCTACAACTGTGTGATCTATGGCTGGGACCCCACCTGCATGATGGGCCATGAGTGGATCCGCAACATGAACGTGCACAGTCTGCCTCATGGCCACCATCAGCCCTTCTACAACGTGCTGGTGGAGGATGGATCCTGCAGATATGCAGCACAAGGTAAAATGTTTGCTGTATCTGCACCTGCCCCTGGCTGACCACGCAGTAGGCAGAGCTCACAGTGTGTTCAGGGGTAGCAACTGGCCATAGTTAGTCACACACAGGCATGCCAACATGGGGTCCTTGTTCTAGCACTGCTCCCTGTCCTCACCAGCCAGACTCCTGACTTCCCTGTCTCCCAGACCTGGCTTCTAACAGTGCTGGCTTAAGTCGCCCTCATGTGGCCACAGGTGGAAACTGCAGTCCCCTGCACAATCTGTGTGCTTGGTGACCTAGGCGTTTGTGGCCATGGCCACCTGACGACCAGCGCAGGGAGGGCCTGAGCTGGGAACATATGGAGCTTAAGAGTCAGAGCAAAGACTGCAGTGTGAGCCTTTGTCTTTGTCCCTTTTGAATTTCATACACCTGACCAGCAAGGAGCACACTGGTTTATTAATAAGAGGGAGCGATTCGATGAACAGTGCTAAGTCGGTTTGGGACTCCGGCATTTCATACATGCAGAGCCTGGAGCTTGTGCAGGCCACTTCCACTTTACCTTGCCCATGAGTACCTGAAGCCAGGAGCCTGTGATGGGCAATGGCCTGAACCATCAGACTTGTTCTACCCATACAGTGGTAAAAATACTGAGGTCTGGAGTGTCAAGATTTGAGAAAACAGCAACAGTCCCCACATGAGTGATTGTGACCCATCGGAAGCCAGGAGGATCCGTGCAGTATGTCTGCAGGCGCCTCACCTCCATGGGTACCTGGGTAAGGTAAAGGGGCCACATGCTCCCCGAGTGTTCTGGAGGCTCTCACAGGTCAGTCTTCAGGTTTTGAAGCTGACTCCAATGAAAAATCAAAGCTCTCCATTTCTGAAAGTCACCGTGATTTAAAAACGGCCTGGGGCTTTGCTGCATGATAGGTGAGGAAGGCTTTTTGTCATCAGTCTTGACTCTTGGCTGTGCAGTTGTCCACCCTATACAGAGTGGGTGTAAACATGTTCAAATCAGATACTGAGGTTTGTAGAAATGGTTCGTGTAGTGTTTTCTTGATGAGATCTGTAGAGTGAGCACTCAGCTTTAGTTGTTCTGAATGGTCCCTGCTGACGCTTAAGCACACCTCACTGCGTGTGTACAAACACGTGGGGTAGCAGTTTGCAGTCACAGTGTAAGAAAAGACAAGTCTGCAGCCCAGTGGCATAGGAGCGGCTATGAATGTTAGCTTTGGCTGGTTTCCCTTGAAAGGCCCTTCTGCTGGCTACAGAACCATGGCTTCTCCTGAGGGTGCGTGTGATGGCTGTGGGGTACAAGGGTGGTAAGGAACTCCTTCACAGCCACACATATTCGCACACCTCCCTGGGCCAGCTCCTGTTTCTAGTGACCTTGTGAACCCTTTATTTGTGTGCTGGACTTCCAGCCTGGACTGTGCTCTGTGATCTTTGGGTGTCTCCTACACGTTCTTCCCCCTGAATGGGTGCTCCACCCTGCCTGAACCTGCAGACGCGCTCCACGTGGTGCCCCATTCACCGACAGTGGCTTCTCATCTAGTTCTGTTCATCAGTGAATAGAGATGAAGGCCTTTTTGCTAGTGTTTGAAAGAGCATTACAGGATCCTGCCTTATGGTGCACCAGGGCTGTGGCTGCACACCAAACCACATGGCTAAAAGCTCTTGTTTGATCAGCATTCTCTTTGCCCAGTTGTCATCACTAGGTGGCCCTTTACAGCTTTCCCAGCCCCAGCCAAATAGTTCTGCTGTGGTTTACTCCCTTTGCAAAGCCTGCCGCTTGAGAATGACTTCTCACTGTCCATCCTGTTCTCCTGCTTCAGAACTTGGAATTTTTTGATGCTTCCAGACCTTTGTTGCCTTGGGTGTCTGAGCTGGCTCAGCTCACTGTCTCTTTAACTACTCTATCTGTGGACAAACAGTGACATCTGAGGCCTGACTACTTGAGTGTCACTGCCGCACCAGGCTGCTTGTGGGCACTGTGTTTCCCATGTCACCCCACCCAGAGGATCTTTTCCCACCCCTGGTGATGCTGAGTTCAACCACAGGTAACTTAGCTTCTACAGTTAGCAGAAAGTCCATGGGGTTGTCCTGTGTCCTGTGAATTTTGCTTCCCAGAGACCTGTAACTCTGCACTTTGCCCCAGTACTGACACAGGAGCATTGCATCTTGGGGAGTGTCTGCTACCTGCTCCCTGTTCTGTGACTTGGAGGTGCTTTTCCCTGCTGTCCCTTCCTCCCTTTACCCTCCAGCCTTCCTCCCTCCTTCTCCCTCCCTGCCAGAGTCTTGATTCCATACCCCAGTGCGTTCTGGTCACTGGGGACAGTTTGATGCTCACAGCCCATAGTTAGCCATAGGATATATGCCTTGACAAACTAGATTTGTAATTGTTTTTAGAAAAAAAAATATTGTATGTGTGTGCCATGAGCAGGGGGATATACATGTTCCAAGGCACATGTTGGAGGTCAGAGACAACGTTATGGAGTTGGTTCTCTCCCACCTTTATGTGGATTCTGGGGATTGATCTTGGGTCCCTTGGGTTTGCACAACACATACTTTTACCACTGAGCCATCATCTGGAAGGTCTGAAAGCTACATTTTAAATTATGTGTCTGTGTGGGTGTGTGCAGTGTGAGGGCAGTACCTGCGGAGACAGAGGCATTGGGTCCTCTGGAGTTGGAGGGGTGGGTTGTTAGCCACCCCATGTGGGTGCTGGAACCAGACTCAGATCCTCTGGAGCAGGTGCTCTTACCCACCAGGCTGTCAGCGGCCAACAAACTTCATCTTAAAACTATTACTTTAGGTTTCCCTACAAACATTTCTGGGTTTTTATTTGTATTATTTGTTTTACTTTTTTTTTTTTTTTTTTTTTTTTGGTTTTTCGAGACAGGGTTTCTCTGTATTGCTTTGGAGGTTGTCCTGGAACTAGCTCTGTAGACCAGTCTGGCCTCGAGCTCACAGAGGTCCGCCTGCCTCTGCCTCCTAGTGCTGGGATTAAAGGCGTGTGCCACCAACGCCCGGCTTGTTTTACTTCTTTTGATGTAATTTTCAGTGATTCTAGTTCCCTGGGTAGAGGCCATTAGTGCTGCCATGTAGTAATCAGGCCTCTGAAGAGTGACCGCTAAAGCACCCGCTTGTGTGGCAGGCATCCTTACAGTGTAGAATTCCTGAGTCTTGTGTGTGGCTCCCTGCTCCACTAGGGGAGCACGCTGCTGAACTTGGTTGGCTTCTGTCCCTCACTTCATGGCTACTGCTAAGGTGCTGTGGGAGGTGCGTGCTGGGGGGAAAGCTCCTCTCAGAAGGTTGGATGTTTTTTCTGTTATCAGGTAGCTCTTGGTGACTTTGGATATGGAGCCCTAGCCTGATGACAGCTCTCCTTCCGTAACTTGTGTCACACCCCCACACTGCTCCTTCACCCCAGCCCCACACAGTCTGCTCCTGCTGGCACATGAGGTACTGGGCGAGGGTCCCAGTGGTGGGGTATAAAGTGACTGTTGGTCATACAGGGGTCGTTGGCCTTCTCTTGTTTAGATTCTATTTGGTAAAGTAGACGTGGTCTGTGGTGTGCATGGAGAGATGAGAGGACAGCTAGATAGCAGGATGAGTACCAAACTTCAGGGTATGCAGGACATACCAAGGGTAAAAGGACACACTTCAGTGCTGTCCCCAAAGAGGGAGGCACTGCGCCATGTGCCATAGAGGACTCAAGGTGGGGTTTCCAAGTGTATATCCATGGGGTTAAAGATGTTACAGATTTTAGATTAAATAAGCAAACATTTCTCTCTGAGAACTGCCAGTATTTGTGATTCTTAGAGAGGTATCAGGTGGCCTGTTCCCTCCAGATGCACAGGCACCTACTTCTTCACTCTCTTCTTTCCTGCAAGAAGTCTCTGTGCCTGAGGGTGCACAGCTGTTGTCCCTGCATTTGGTAGGCAGAAGGAGCATTAGTTTGAAGCTAGCCTGAGCAGCTTAACCTCCAAGGAGACATAAAATCTGGCTGGGGGTGCAGCTTGGGTGTGGTGTACCCTGGCCTCAGTCCCCAGAACCACAGAACGGGCTCTTTTATGATCTCCTCTTTTGCTTCACAGCATGCCTGAGGGCCAGCAGGCCAGGGTACAAGTCCAGCTGGAAATGGCCCTAGGTAGCCCAGAATTTATGCTGCTAGCTCCCAGGTTCTACCGACTGTTTTTGCCTGGGCTTCCCAGAGCAACCTCTTGCTAGAAGCCATATTCAGAAGCCTGTAGTAGCTACCTGACTATGTTATCCCGCAAAGTTGTTTACCCTTCCTCCAGGCATGCAGATGCCAAGAATTCTCTGCATGGGCCACTGTTCAACACCTAGAGAGAGAGTTGCTATGGACAAGGCTGCACAAGTACAGGAGTGCTTGTGGAGCAGGGCATCTCACCCAAGCAGATGGGCCATGGACCAGATAATTACCTGTGGCAGGGCCTGTACCCTGTGGATGCTCAACAGTGTGTACCCCTGAGCTCCCCCACTGCCAGCCAGATCCGCTCCAACTCTGACTGCCAGAAATGCCCTCAGACTTGGCCACATATCCTTCTTCCTTTCTTGGAGGTCCAAGACTCTGTTCTCTCTGGTGTTTTCTGTGAGGCATGGAGCCTCAGCAGCTGGCCTGGTATGGTCTGAGCCCCTGGAAAACATGGCTAGGGCTACACAGGCAGGTTCTGGTTGCTGGGCAGCACAGACAGTGGTATTGTGAGACTGTCAATGGGGGTGTTTTATTTTACTTTTATATTTGCCAATCTGTCCCAGTTATGGCCTTTCAAAAGTGAAAAGCATGAAGAGACTGTATTGCAAGTAGGCAGGGTAGGCAGGCCATGCTTGCTGATAGGTAGGCAGCCAAGCCCCTCGGTGCACATGCATGTTCCTCTCAGCTCTATTCTTCTGGTTCTGACCTACCCAGACCCCTCAGGCAGGTCTCTCCCTGTGGGCCAGGACAGGGCCGTGTTGTGAGGCTGATTCAAAACTGACCTGCAGTCTAGAATTGCCAGGTCTCCTGGTATTTTCTCAGGGAATACTTTCCCTGACCCAGCACCCTCCCTCCTGGTCCACAGTCAGGCCGCTACGTCTGCCTAGGTGTCTCAGTGTGCTGGTGACTTCCCAACATTTTTACTTCTCGTGGGGACACATCCCTAATCTGTTCTGAAGATGCAGCTCCAAAGTAGTACATCCACAGTTTCCCCAGACCTTTAAAGGGAAACACAGAGTACAGAGTGGTTGGCCACACTGTTCACCTCTCACAGAGATGAACGCCAGGGACAGTCCACTCTAGGAGACCCTCTGGGTGTCCAGGGATGTCCTGTGTGCTGCTTGTGGCAAGCCTTGCCCAGTGGCAAGTGTCTGTGCCCTGGCCTGGGAACAAGTCATTGGTATTCTGCATGGCCAGCTCCTCTCTCAGGGACTTTCACAGCAGTAGGGCTTTCTGGGCCACTGTCTTTTGTGCCTGGACCATGAAGAAGGGAGGGCCTTGGTCTTTTCAGTGAGACACCTAGAGGATCTGTTCCCCCACTATAGGCGTCTGTGATCTGTCCCTTTCTCCTGTGGCAAAGTCAAGATCGGGGAGAAGGCAGCCAGGCACTTCTAGGGGCTGAGCAGGATGTGAGTGTCCCTGCACCCACCAGATCACAGCAAGTACAAGCCATGAATGAAGGAGCTCCGGTGGAGAAGGGTGGCTGTGTGACAGGGGCTCCTCTCTATGGACAGGTGTGACAGGTTTGAGACTCACAACTAAGTGGTAGGGTGTTTTCTGACACTTGGCTGCTGGCAGAATGTACCTATGCCCCAGCTGCTTGCTAAGCCAGACCAGGTGCAGTGAGTACCCTGGAGGTGCCGCAGGGATTCTTGGGCCTAATATCCCACTCAGAGAATAGGAAGAAGCCTTCTGAGCAAGTCACAGGGAAGGGGACCTGTGCAACCCCTCCTCCCAACAGCAGCCACCTCTGCCTTTTCCTCTTGAGTCCCTGTAATACAAAAACGTCTCTGGTGGTAGCTTCGGCTCTGTTTCAAAAGCACGCCTGGAAGGGTTTCTGCAGAGAGCTGCGGCATAAAGGGAAATGCTAACAGCAGTGTCGGTGCCTCTTTGCCAACAGAGAACCTGGAATACAATGTGGAGCCTCAGGAAATCTCGCACCCAGACGTGGGGCGCTACTTCTCAGAGTTCACGGGCACACACTACATCCCAAATGCAGAGCTGGAGATCCGGTACCCTGAGGACCTGGAGTTTGTGTATGAGACGGTGCAGAACATTTATAGTGCAAAGGAGGACACGGCAGAGTAGACGCCACACCTTTGCTGCTGCTGCTGCTGCTGCTGCTACTGCCTTCTAGGGGAACAGGAATCCTGAAGGACGAGTGCCGGTCCCCTGGAGTCAGCACAGGACAGCCACTTCACCAGCAGCCTTGGCTGCCTCCCCAGTTTAGATGGTGTGTGCTCCTCCGGCCACAGAGACAGCGTTGCTCTCCGCTACACTAGTGAATCAGTTGAAAGGCACCGTGTCCAGTGGCATGGCTTGTCTGCTTGTCCCGTGGTGACAGTGTGTGACATTCTGTCTTCATGAGGTCTCACCATCCACACTCTGTTCTTTGATCCCCTTACCATCCCTGTCTCCATTCAAGTTGTGTCAGCGTTTCTCCAGCTGGACAGCCGGGTCCACATTTCCTGCTCTCTCTGGAACTTGGGCACCCTGCCCCTTTGCCTTGAGTTTGGTTGTATTCAGATGAAGGCATGGAGATGGGACTCAGAATGATTAGAATTAATTTTTTTGCTAATACACGAAACACAGATTTTAAGTGTTCCTTTTTCCCCCTTTTAAACTGGGGGAAGGAACAGCAGCGTCTCCCTCCCCCCCCCCCCCGCTGGGTTCTGTGCACATTTCTGCCCATCGTGAGCTTCCGTCTTATCCGTTGGTTCTCCGAGCACATGCACAGCAATGGCCTTTCCCAGTGAGGGTCTCCACGTTCATCAGCTGCTCCTGTAATATGACTACTCATTTAATCTAGGAATCTGCTCCAGGGTCGTGAGTGGATCGTAAGTCCATCATAGGTCTGTTTCCCTAGTGAGGCCTGCAGACCGGATGAAACTTAACTCTGAAAACTTGTAGCTCCTGGTCCCCAAAGACCAATGATCAGGAAAATGAACTAGAAGCCTAACACCCCTGTCACCCCTTATAGTCACATCCAGGCCCTCCGTGTTGAGAGTGTAGTGCTTATGGGAAGACGCATGTGTGCTTTGGGCTTCAAGCTGCCAGTCTGAAGGCTCCAGGACACTGTCTCCAGGATGAGGTCTAGCCTTGGGTCACCCTGGCTTCTGCCTGATGCTTTCAGTGAGTGTGAAAGAACGGCCTTTTAGCAGATCCTAGCAGGGGACCACCTGGTTCTCAGGCAAGCTGTGCTGTAGGTAATTACCCATTGGGCCTATGGCACTTGTGCCCTGCGTTTAAAATGCCATTGCTCTAGTGAATGGGGCTTTGAGGGGCTGCCTGCCTGCCTCGCCTGCCTGCCTTCTGCATGTGTGTTGTCACAGCACTCTAGATGACTACCCCTCCTTGACTGCCCTTCACCAGCCCCAGGAGGACAGGGGGAGACCATTAGGCAGTCTCTAGAAGGACAGGAAGCCTGAGGCTCTTACAGCCAATGTGGCTCTTGTCCAGCGTCCCTGGATCACCGGTAAGGACTCAGAGGCGGGTTTGACCTCACATTTGCAAGCTGGACTACTCAGAGCAGCTGCCTGAGGCTGGAGGATTTTACAACTAATTTCAAGGTGAAAATCAAACCCACACAGATTCACACTCTTGCATCCCATTACTAAGCAGCCACGGAGCATGCTGGGCGTTCTCATTGTTGGTTTTCTGCTTTGATTTCCTTTTTCGTAGAGAAACATCAAAGCTAAGAAAGATGGTTTCCCTCCCTGACCTGACTGTAAATATGTACCTAGACTGTTTTTAAACGCGTTTCTTCACCAAGGCTTCGTTTGGCTGAGGGAGCCTGTGTCACCCGTGTAAGTTGGTATTTGGGCACTTTATATTTTTCTAAAAATGTGTTTTGGATCCTGTACTCTAATAAATCATAAGTTTCTTTTTAAAAATTTTTCCAAAAGTTTTCTCCATTTTCAAAAGCCCTGTTATAAAAAGTAGAACTTTCACAATGTTAAAATACTAAATATTTGGTTATAGCAACTTCTATTCAAATGAATGCCAAGGGGTTTTTTGTTTTGTTTTTTTGGTTTCTTTTGTACAATTAATAAACTAACTTACCGAGAGAAACCACACTAGTGGCCTGCCCACTTTCATTCAGTAGCGAGAGAAGAGAAAGCAGGGTCTCTCTCCTGAACAAAGTGGGGAGGGGGGGTAGCTGGCCCTAGTTTTTCTTTTACTGTCTGACGAGTGTCTCACTGAGTGTGGACTTTCTGGGCCCTAGGAACAGCTCAGAGTGTCTGGTAGTTCAGAGGACTCCTTTTGTCTGTGAACTGAGAACTGCAAATTCAAGGAGGGAAAATCAGGACAGTGACATTTATTGTCACTGTTTGTATGGTAGCTGCATGCCACAGCACTCAGGGATGGTCTACTGTGAACAGTGGGCAGGGGGCTTTTCCAGAGCAGGGGGGCCTTCCACACCTGCAGCCCTGGATGGAGAGGCCAGACGGGTACATGTCTTTCTCAGTAGGACCTAGAACTTGCCCAGCACACACACCCACATCTATACCACCCCAGGTTCAGTGTCTGCAGGCATACCCAGCAGTGGCCTCAGATTTGAGGTGTCCAAGGCTAGTCCATCTCTGTCACTCCAGTTTACCATGGCCACCTTACGAGCTTAGAGCACCTTTGTGGACTCAGTTATGTGTGCCACACCAGTGGCTTCTGCTCTTGTTCAGTGTTTGTCTTTCTTACCTACCACAGTAAGTGGAACCTGGCCAGCAGCGGGTCCCTTTCCTCTGGAGAGAGACAGTCTGTTTGCTCTAGTCCCAACTGGAAGTGGAGGGAATTGGATGACCAGAGACTTAATTTAAAAGCATCTGTGGCTATTGTCATCCAGATGTGGCCTACACTATCACACTATCTTTGTTTCTCTGGCTTTGTTTGGATAGAAGGAAGGAATATGAATGGGTTCTGATGGCTATCATGGGTGTGCTGGCTTATGACAGACACTAGATAATCCCCTGGCCACATGGTTGGCAAAACCCAGTCACCAAACACCTCAGCTACACTGGATGGCATCTCTTGCTTGTCTTTTGATTTGAAAGGAGTGATGGTCGCTCTCCTTCAAGGCTGCTTGCAGGCAGGCTGCTTCTGGGTTCGGGGCGTGTTAGGACAGGGTCCTGCTGTGTAAACCTAGACTGTTTGTGTAGGTGGGTGGATGGGAAAACCACCGCTGAGCCCAGCCCTTCACAGTCCTGCTGTGGACACAACTACCTCACTGCCTGCTCCCCCAGCATGTTCTCAGCATCCGGAATCCTGGGAGTTCAAGAACGTTCCCTTATGGATTAATATTCTGTGCAATTATAGCATCAATGTGCAACAACTGAATAGTAATGATTGTATCAGGCTAACCCTGCTTCTGTAATAAATAGACCCCAAAACATAGCATTTTCCTGCTCTGGAATTGCTGGGGAGGAGGACGGGCTGGCATCCAGAGACTCAGGTTTACAGAAGTGGCTGCCAAGGGTCCCCTGGGCAGGGGTGGAGGGACACATCTAGGAGTTCCATTAATGGGTCAGGTCCACCTACTACAGCCGCTCACACTGCATGTGAGGTCACAGCAGTAGCTGCCACAGGTCACTCCAGCTTGTCCCTCAGCAGGGAAGCTAGCATTAGAGATGGCCCTCTGGGAAAGTGTCAACAGTTCCCCAGCCTTGTGGGGCACGATAAGCAGTGGGATGTCCCTCACATGCTGTCAGTCTCCAGTGTAGATACTGTGGGGTGTTATGATGGGTGTCCTGAGGTGGCCTCTGCTGGGCAGATAGTTCAGCCATGCAAGCTTGAGGCATGAGGACCTTCCTCAGCTCCTACACCGAGAGCTAGTTGTGGTGGCATTTGTAAAGTCAGTTCTGGGGAGGCAGAGGCTGCAGGCTCCTGAAGGCACATGGCTAGCTAGCCTAGCTGAACTGCTGATTTCCAGGCCAAAGAGAAGCTCTGCTTCAAAGGAGGTGGGCAGCCTGATGTGGTCCTCTGGCCTCTACACACAGTCACACAGGTATGTAGCAGCACATAAACATTTATTTAAAAAACAAAAACAAAAAACTCTGTACACTGGTGTTCGCATGCATCTTTGTCTGTATGAGGGTGTCAGATCCCCTGGAACTGGAGTTACAGACAGTTGTAAACTACCATGTGGGTGTTGGGAATTGAATCCAGGTCCTCTGGAAGAGCAGCCAGTGTTCTTAACCACTGAGCTGTCTCTCCAGTCCCTATATTTATTTTTAAAAAAAATCCTGAGTCAGAGGAACCTGGGAGATACCTCCCTGGAGGGATGTAAAACCAGTGAGCACTATGGTCCTCATGTGTCACTCCCCAGAGTCCTTCCTGGTCCCTATGTCCTCACACAGTTCTCCACTAGCCATGGGGACAGCAACCTACAAATTGCTGACCAAGGTTCCAGCTCCCAAGTCCCCATTAAGTGACAGGGCCAGAACCACTGCAGCCAAAGCACACAGAAGCCACCAGACCTCAGGAGCAGTGGAGACCTTACATAACCCAACACTGCTCTTAGTCCCCGTTTCTGGTACCAAGTCCACCCAGAGCCCCTTTCTCAAGCCTGGTTAGTTACATCAGAAGGGACTGTCATGCTAGCCTGTTGCCAGCTTGGAGGCCAGGCCAGTTCTCGATCCTTTAGTTGTTAACATGGTGTCACTCTTTTGAGGAATACTCTTGAGATCTGTAATTGGTTACCAGATAACCTACATAAATGGTACCTGGAGTTCTCTTCCGGTATATGCCATACTTCATCTGTTCCTCTGTGGATGAGCACCAAGATGCTTTCCTGTCTTAGCTGTCCTGAATGCAGCAAGGCAAAAAAAAAAAAAAAAAAAAAAAAAAAAGCCACAGAGTAGTACTTGACACAATGCCACCGATTCAAGCCACTTCAAGGTGACACCCCTTTCTCCCTGCTGCTGTCCTGACTGCTGTTCTCTTTTCCCGGGGATCTGTCTCCTGTGGACACTTGAGTCCGTGGAATGTTGACCATGAAGCCTTCTGTGGCCGCTTTCACTCGCTATCATGTCTCGATCGCAGCTGGGATTCACTCGCTATCATGTCTCGATCGCAGCTGGGAAGGAGTGCATCTATGACAGGGACACTGTTCTTCTACTTGGCCCTTGAGGGACACTTGTTCCAGCACTAGCCAGTGGGACCAGCTTGCCGTGAGGTCCTGTGAGACTTCCACATCCTGGCAGAGCCGTTATCTCTGTGTCAGAAATGGTTCTTGCTGACCTCAAGAACATTTTGCCTAAAATCAAGCCATCCTCTGGTGACAACCATAGCAGGAACAATTCGGTTGTTTGTGAAACACAAAGAAAGGTAGACAGGCCAATGGGCAGCTGTGTGTGTGCAACACCATTCTGCCTTTCCAGGGATCAAAAACTGCCAACCCAAGATGCTCAGAGGCTGGCCTGTTGACTCCTTGGTTTCTCCGGCTGACAACTGGGTTGCAGGCTTTCCTGGGGGAGCTGTCTCAGCTCATTAAGATGCTCCAGGTAAGGAGCCGTTTGCCAGGCACCGCCTCTGCTTGGAGCTTGGGCTGGACACGATGCTGCCAAGCAGAAAGCCTGGTTCCCCGGTTCTCTGGTGAGCATGGTGGGTCTGTGTGGTGGGGTTCAGCAGTCCCGGACTGCGCTAGGGCACTCACACAGGCAATAGAGACAAACACACGGTTCCAGGGTGAGGACACACGGGCAACCGCAGTGTAGTTCACCCTCACAGTGAGAGACTGCTCACCCGCACCATCCCGGCACACACACACACACACACACACACACACACACACAGCAGTGTAGTTCACTCTCACAGGAGAGACTGCTCACCCTCACCATCCCGGCATGAGTCACCCCAGTGTGGCCTCCTGGCAAACCAAGACCAATATCAACACACACACACACACACACACACACACACACACACACACACACACACACACACACAGCTCATTAAGCCCCAGAGCCGGGTGACCTGCCAGGAGGAGGGCCATTGAGCTGGGAACACAGCCAGGAGCGAGCCGGTGCATAAGATGATGCAGGCACCCTGCCAGCTGGTCTCAAGGCCAGGGCTCTGCTGTTCCCTCCAGGGAACCAAGTTCCCCTGTGGGGATGAGGGTGTGGGGACAAGGTAAGTTTCCACATCCTCTCCCAGTGACTCTGGAGAAGGCAACCCGGCTGGCAGCTTCCCTGCTTCTCCTGTGTCCATACACCTCAGATGGAAGGAAGGCATAGAGATGGGCGCCTGCCACCTCCTCATGGACTGTGTCCCTCTACTCCTCTGAGGCCTCAAGGCTGAGAAGTACACACTTGCCTGGAGATGGCATTGCTGCCATTTTAAAGGGAAATGCTGTCACATCTCCAAAGCTTGGGCACAGAGCTTGTCCCTGAGGCCAGTGGTGCCTCTGGGGTTTGAAACGGGGACCCACCAGGGTCTTAGGAAGCTTAGCCAGCTGTGAACTCAGCAATCCTGTCTTAGAGCTGTCAGCACGCCCTCTACTCGCCGGAGTGAGTGACATGGAGAACAAGGACCGAGGGTCCTCTCACCCTGAGACCAGGCCATGGAGCTCCTTAATTGTTGCCATGGCATCGCAGACCTGGAGGACACTGATCCCAGGGAAAGGCAGAGGGCCTTGGGGTAGACATTGAGCTGGTCCGGTGCTATCAGCTGGTTGCCTGGAGCAGGTGGAGCCTGGTGGGTCATGCTTGTCACCCCATTACTTGGGAGGCTGAGGCATGAAGATTATTGCAAGTTCAGTTGGGCTGTGGTAGCTCACACCTTTAATCCCAGCATTTAGGAGGCAGAGGCAGGTGGATCTCTGTGAATTCGAAGCCATCCTGGTCTACAAAATGAGTTCCAGGACAGCCAGAGCTGTTATACAGAGAAACCTTGTCTCAAAAAACAAACAAAACAAACAAACAAAAAGATTGCAAGTTCAGGCCAGCCTGACCACATAGAGATATTAAATTTAAACAGCAAAGTCACACACAGCCTAAGTCAGACCCAAGTTCAACCACTAGCACAAGAAATTAAATAAAGATATTCTATACCACGCCAGGTGGTAGTGTCACCTGCCTTTAATCCCAGCACTCAGGAGGCAGAGGCAGACAGATCTCTGAGTTCGAGGCCAGTCTAGTCTACAAAAGTACACAGAGAAACCCTGTCTTGAAAAATAAAACAAAAAACAAAGATATTCTACACCAGGCATGGGAGACATGCCTGTGATCTCTAAGTCCTGGGGGGGGGGGGGGGACTGAGGAGGATTTCCACAAGTTCAAGGCCAGCCTATGCTATGTAGTGAGAACCTGTGTGTAATATTCTGCACGCTGAACTACAAACACAGCTGTGGTCCTATTGAATCTGTGCCCACGAGAGGCTTTCTGTAATCCAGCTGGATTTTACGAGCACCGTGAAGCATCTAACTAAATCCCTTCAAGTGCTTTGAGTTCACTAACAGACACGCCTGGTCTGTGAGTGAGTCCTTTGGTTATGTCAAGACCCAGGGGCTCATTGCAAACAACGGTCCATTTACAAACTCGGGAGGATTCTCTTGAAACTTTCCAAGTACAGACACCCGCCACTGCATCCTGGGTGAAGGGTGACACTCCACCCATGAAGCTGGGAAGGAGGACGTGCCCACTCGTCACAGCTGCCTCCTTCGAACACCTGGCACGTCCCCAGCAGCGCCACGGGCTCCCAGCTCAGGTTATTTACAAAAAGCCTGCAGGATCTGCATACAGGTGTGCTCTGCAGGCTGAGAATAGTAATGATGGAGCCTGGCAGGGACTGCCTGCCCGTGACATCATCTGGGAGCAGCCGGGGGGGGGGGGGCATGTACCACCCTCACACCAGCACACACACACACACTCACTCACTCACACACACACTCACACACACACAGAACGAGGGAGGGAGGGAGGGAGGGAGGAAGGGAGGGAGGAGAGAGCTGTCCCTGGGTATGTGGAGGTCAGGGGACAGTAAGATTCAGTTCTGTTCTTCGTATGGGTCATAGGCTCAAATTCAAATCATCAGAAGGCTTGGCGGCTGAGGTATCAAGCTGGACATATTGGAATCACCTGGGAGACTTAGATTATACTAAAGCCACACTCCTGTCTGCCACCATGTCTCATTTAATAGGGGTGTAGGCACAGCTGAGCCAAAGTTTTAACCACTCCTGGGGACAGAGGTTAATGAACAACTGCATTTGAGCATACTTGTGCTCCAGCTTGTTTTGGTGGGGCCTTTCATCCCTTAGCAGATGGGAACCACCCACAAGTCCCCAGCAGGAGGCCTCACCCCTGTAGCTGCTTCTAAGTTTGTGTGAACGTTGAGAAGTCTGTGGGTTTAGGCTGGCACAAAGCGGTGGCCTCTGCTCTATGCCCTTTGGTGTATGG